CTGCGTCATCCAAACACCCGAGGATCACGGGGTCGACGGATCGCTCTCCGCCCCTTTGCCCTCTCTCTCACGCTTCGGCCTCCGCACACGAGTCCCCCCTCTCTGAAATAGCGCTCGGGGGCCCCGGGGAGGGGGGGCGGGTGCTGAAGTGACGGCGTGTCACCGCTGTCCCGTACCAGTGACTCACTGAGACCTGTGCGCCCCGGCCTGTCACCGGCCTGTCGCTCGCTCTCTCTGTCTCTCTGTCTCGCTCTTGCCGGGCCGGTCGGCGGCACGTCGTCTCACCGCTGTGGCCTTCTGTCACGGTGGAAAGCACCTCTGAGTGTGCACCTCTCTCTCTCTCTCTCTCTCTCTCCCTCTCTCTCTGTGAAGAGGTCAAACGCCCGAGTTCGGTTTGGCTTCCCCCGGAGGCCCAAGTGGGCAGAGGAGTCACAAAATGTCCGAGGGGACGGGTTTCCCCAAACCGCCGGGCGCACGGCGTTGTGTCCTTAAAGGAGGAGACTCGCGAGCCGTCGGGAGGGGTAGCGGGGGGGGGGGGGAATGGGAAGGGAACTTCCAGAGCGGAACTTGGAAATGTGACTTTAAACCGAACAGAAAAGCCTTCATGTGGCTTGACAAGTGCTGCGGGGCTTCCGCTCCCCAGCGCGCAGCGACGGATTTAAAATTGTAATTTGCGGGGTTATTAAAAGCCACATGCGAGGATGTGGGGTGATTTCTTTTGTTGCTGATGTAGAATGATGGGAATTCTCAAAACACAGAGGGATCATATTTCCATGTTTCATAGAGCTTTTGTTTGAAAAAAACGGAAACGAAGAATTAAGTCCTTAGTTTGATAATAGCTGAAGTTTATGACCTTTTATCTGCGCGTGTGTGAACCTTTTAAACACCGAAAGAACACTTTTCACGTTCACGTAACATTCCTAAACATGCAACGGCACGATCCGGTCAGTGAGGGTTTGACTTGTCGTGATCAATTAAACCCCTCCGAGGAATTAACATTTTAAAGAGATGCGGGGTTGAAACCCCTCAGTTGAACCTTTATTCGACCTGGAATTCGTTAGTGGGGCGAGTTTCCATCTCAGCCATTCCGCCTTAAAGGTGAGGCTCATTAATCTTCAGCGAGAACCTTCCTGGTTGGACGAAGGGGTCTTGGACGGAGCTTTCTCTGTCAATACAGGACGCACCGGGCCTGCGGGTAATGCTGTGTAGTTAAAGGTCCATGCTAAAGATTTCCTCTGCCTCATAAACACGCTGATCCATTCCGTGCATTTTGACCTTTTGGGAAATGCTTTTGGAAGGACTGAATTCGGCGGGATGGATTTGTCGTTGAAACTGTGGAATTCGGCGTCGCCGTGTTAGTTCTTCTTTGCAAATCCGATCACACGTGTTTGAAGTGTGAGAAGACGGCTGTGACATCAGACTATTCTCCTCGGTGGGAACAATTTTATTGGTGATATATTCAACGCAGCTAAAAAATATATTTTACAAGTCGGGAACTGTGAAAGTAACTCACTCGACTGTCTGACAGCAAAGTAAAGGTGATGATTCAACTCAAGTAGATTGTTTTAAAGACATCAGGGCAAAGTAACATAGTACAAAGTAACAACATTTGTTGTCGAGATCTTTTCCACGAACGGACAGTAAAGGATCCTCTGAGAAGCACTCAATGGTTTGATTATGGTTTTAATAACAGATTTTGGAACAATTTGCTTTAAAAGGCCCAAAGCTTTACATTAATTACTTCTTCTGCAGCCACGTCAATGTCGGAATACTGACCCGGAGGGTCTGAGTCGATACCCAACAAAGGTCATCCATCGGATCCTTTCCAACAAGCGTCGATCCATACAGCCGTGTGACCTGCCGGTTCGAACCGTGGCCGCTGGCTCTGCTCACACAAGGATTTATCGAATTCAAGCTATTTTTAGCACTCAAAAACGTGTTCCTTTGGGGGTTTGTTGGACAAAGGCCGACAGAGATTTCCCACTGTGGGTTTGCAGGTGACAAGACAGCGTTTAGCTAAATCGTTTTCATTTGCAGCATTTGTGAAAATAACGATATCACGTTTTGACTACACAAACCAGCGTAGTAAAGCTTATGCGTGATTCATCTCCCCTCTGCTTCCCTGAGTGTGCGCTTCCTAAAGGTCAAGGTGAGAGAGGTTCGGCCGCACGTAGACGCACCACTGGGAATGTGATTGATGGAAACCCCTCAACTGGGCGGCCGCTTCCCACCGGCGGCAATCTGCCGTTTTCCGCAGCCTCGTCAACACAAACCAACGTCGCGCTCGCACAACTTCTCCCTCACGCGCGGCCGGTGCCCCGGATATCCCGTTAAAAAACGCTGCGTCGTAGTTCGGCGGTAGCTCTTGAAAGTGGTTTCATGTGAAGAGTGAACAGGCGGGAAAGGAGGTGGCCGATCTTCCCGCTGTCCGCTTGTGTGCTTCATCAAGGAGACTTCGCTAGTAAATTTAACGCAAGCAACAATCTTATTTCCGAGTAGTTTTGTTGCTGATGTTTTTGGTTTTGAAAGGACAGAATGAATGTAACGAGTGCAAACTAAAGCCCTCCTGCCGCTCTGCTTCCTCGTCCTCTCACGTCGAACGCTTCAGTAGCTCACTAATAATTCTCAAAGAGGAGCAAGTAGTATTTCCACACAGCTAACCGGTAAATAATAAAATACACAGGCACCATCAGTCGTTTCATTCTCCTTTGCTGCATTTTGCTTTTGATGAATGTTTTGGCGTAAACGAGGCGGGAAGAATATTAGAAGAACAGAATTACTGTGTATTCTGTTCTATTTTTGCTTCGAAAGGCCTCATGTGAAGCACCGAGAGAATGAGAATAAACATGTCGCATTTTACTTTGAAATATTCAAACCCGGGACCACGTGTTTTTATGCTTGTGCAACGGCATGAAATGGAAATATTCCACATGTCCTCTGAATCATGTTAAACACATTCACCAAAAAGTTCCGCCTGACATGTTTGGCATTTTCAGAAAAACGTTTCGTCTCCTTCACCGGAATTCAAACTCATGCTCTGCTTTGCTGCACGGCATGCGTTATGCAGTCAAATTCAGATTATCGTCTGCAGTTGTGCATTAACTGCTCATCCAAACGGTTCTGAGTCATCCTTTGCTCGACCCATTCAAAGTAAAGGCAGCAAAGGCACAATGTGTCCCGTTACCACCAGCATCACGCTGAGCTTTGCTCACACGGGCTCCGAGGACCTGTGAGGTCACACACTCTGCATGGCCCATGTGACGTATCGAGCAGCGGCCTTTGGCCATTTTTTTACCAATTTGCATAGATTTATTTTCCTCCCACGAAAAATGTAAAAAGCATCTTTGCTGGCGCCCGGCGGCCACCCGTCCATCGTGATGCAACACGATCCCGCTTGCTGACACGTGAGATGCCGTTTAACAAAAAAAGCTTCTTGAGCAAAAATATACACTCCATGTGTATAAAGAAAAGTGAGAGGAAAAGAGAGCTGTCGCACATTGTTCCGTTCAGCAGACCAGTTGTTAATCCGCCGCCGTTTCCTCCCTGCCGCCGTCCACCCGTCAGACCATTTTGACACCTGAGCTACTAACATTCCTCCATTCATCTCCTCCAGTGACTCCGTTGGACTGGCTGCTCATGTTTGGTTGTTCAAACCGCCCTTTTTCTTTCTCTTTGACACCTTTTTCATTGACTCACTGACTCACGCTGCACTGGCTGACAGACAGATGTTAACATGAGAGCCCGGGAAGAGGATGAATATGGATGGAGCCGTCCGTCTTCTCCGTCTGTCCGTCAGGCCTCGCCGGCTCTGTGCTGGCGGCCAAAGAACCTGAGAACGAGCTCGATGTGAACTAATATTTTCATAAAGCGCATAGGAAAGGCAGACGAGGACGTATTTCAGTCACATCTGTATTCCTCATTGGAGCTTTGAGCTTCGTGCCGATGTGTGGAGGGCATCTGCCAAAAGGAACGGATGAGGAGAAAGACGTTTTGCCGCGATGGCGACGCAGAGCGATCGAGTGCAGATCGAGTGCAGCACGGCACGTGTCTCTGGAGCTGAAGCCTATCCCAGCATGCACTGCAAACAGACTGGAGAGCAGGTTAATAGTTAAAAGAAACCAGTCGGTAATTGGGAGTCTCCCTCCACCTGACATGCGTGCGTTGTGGCAGGAGGGCAGCGGCACGGAGCGAAAGGCCACGCGGTGACGGGGAGGACTAATTAACGCAATTCAAACGACGGCTGGAATGTAAATAAAACATTAAAAGGCCCAGCGACAGTTATTCAGTGGAACCAAATAATAGAAAATCAAACTACCGGGACAAGATGTGTATTTATGGCTCCATGTGACACAACGTCTGTGTGTTTGGATCGTTGGCTTGTTACTTTATGGCTGCTTTATTTGAACAGAAATCACACGAATGAATAATGGTGAAGCCATTGCATTTATGATCTGGTGAACAATGACGCCGTTTCCCTCTTGAATTGAATGCTATGCATTTATTATATCCTTTTGAGAGGAATCTGGCTACGATTATGTCCCCGTGATGTGGCTTTTCAGCACTTATTGGGTGTGATGAAAGTGCGCGATCCGCTGCAGTCTGAGTTCTTGTGAAAAGGATGAGCTCTGCAGCGCGTCTCGATTTAGCGCTGAAACACACTTCATATGTATATTTAATGACAGCCAGATATATCTTGTCCCTTGGGTGACTTTGAAAAACTCTCATAAAGAACTGTGTTGAATCAGATTACGTTACCAGAGTCTACATCCTCATGAATACGTTTAAGATGTTCTGCAAAGCATTTGCTTTCATTTCTCTCACGCTCAAATTTGGAGGTAAGTGAATCCTTTGAGGAGATGAAATTCATCTGTTGAATTTGTATCGGAGAGGAAATCAAATCTCAGGCTTGCCTGTGTAAGGACAAAAAAAAAAATCCCCCATGATTAAATACCGTTAGGATATCTGCTGATGAATAAGTTAGGGAGTGAGATAACAAAAAGAAAGTTTGAGGAAATATTTTTAATTGCTACTTATTTAGTCACAGAGCACTTTCATTAGAAATAGAAGAACCAGAGCGGCGATCATAAACACCAGAGTCAGTGGTAGTAGATGTATTCCCCGGGCATCGTTTCCACGTCTGACTTTTCCACATTCTCTGTGATGCTGCTGACTGATGAAACCGCACAGGGTCCGTTCATCGGCGCACAGACCCGAAGGGACGGAGCCGAGGGAGAAGCAGCACCTCTTAGGAAATAATTATCTCCATCTCCCCCTCTTGTGATGTGCTCACCGACCGGAGGGACCGAGTCCCATTTAGTCACTTAAGCACGACGGGGCAAAGTGATCCGATCTGATCAAAGCGAGAAGACACGACACATCCTGCGCTTGATTGATCGTCTTTTTCTTTCTATCCAAACGTAAGACGAGAGCGAGTCACAACACCTAAAGAGACCATCGATTTTACATGTCAGAGTTAATTACTACTCTGTAGGAAGATGTATTGAGAAACGCAAATTAAACTTCTCAATCCACTGCATGTATTTCACAGAGAAAAGTCAAACAATTGAATACAAACGTGATCTCATAACCGCTCAAATGTATCTAACATTCATAGAAATGGATTTAATTGGCTGTGGGATCTGTAGGGACGTCTTACAGCTCATTAGCTGGAACCGTGTAGCTTCTGAGCCCCCAGCCCTCCATCTCCTCCCCACAAAGCCAAAAGCGAGCGTTGCTCGGCTCAGCGACACTTTGGTGAAGCCCGTCGGCCCACAGCGGAGTCAAGCAGGGCGGCTGTGATTCAAGAGGAGAGGAGAGGGAGGAGGGGGGGGAAGGGGGGAAGAAGGGGAGGACCAGGTCTTCGCCGTGGTGCTTCGTCTCCATCCTGACAGCACACTCCCCACCCACTGGCGCCTCGCAGGGAGATGGTGGCCGCGGTGACGTCACATCGCAGGCTTTTGCAGCGGCGATGACGAGCGTTGAGCAGAAGTAAGGCGGGGATGAGAAGGCGGAGGACAGATATTTGGGACGGTGACGCTGGACTCCCAGTATGATTGCATTTTTGTTGTACTTTACCTGCATACCTGCATTTCTCAGAGGGTCATGCAGGAGGAAAGCAGCCCTACAGCTCGGCTCGGCCCACAGTGACACTCTACTCTTATTAAAGGGAAGTGAGCCTTGGCAAGAAAGATTTGAACGAGCCGAAGGAGGAAAAGTAGTCAATGAAAAGCCAAAGAAAATACATTTGTTACTTTGTATGCGTCAAAAGCCTCCAGTTACTTATGGCGCGTTTCATAAAGGGACGATTTGTGAGAAATATTCAAGGATGAGTGATGAATTTCATTGATTCGCCTTTCGTTTCTGTGGAAACACACACAATAACGAGACGTCCTTGGCGACTCCATCTCGCCAAAGGCTTTTCATAATGACGTTAAATCCTGACAGTTAAGTTGTTGGTCAATGTTTAGTACGAGTGTGCAACTTGGAAATGTAAAAGGATGAAATAGTGATTAACTCCTTTGTGACAATACTTATTTCGTATTCAACATGGAGCCGCAGCAGTGACATTTCTGCATCAAAAATGTAAATTTGGCATCGATACTTATACAATGTAGATACTAAGAAGATGTCAATCAGCTGTTAACTCCGTATGGTGAAGGCAAGTAAGTTGTTCCGTCTCTCTCGTAGACCCGAGGTTGGTCAAAGTTAGACTCAACTAAACTGAAGTGCCTTTAACCTGCATTCTTTCTGGTGGCCATTATGGGGCCAAAGAAATAAGTCTGATCGTATAAAAGTCCACGAGAAAATCCCTCCGCTTCTCCCTCGATTTACTACTCTCTAAATTACTCTCTGCAGCATGAAGTTCATTTAGTAAATGATGGTTTAGAGACGACGTCAGAGCTTCAGTAACGTGTTGTGTTTTAGTTAAAATTCTAGGAAATCTGTAAAGCACATTTGATTTTATATAAAAATTAAATATAAATACATCGACGGGTGCGTTGGAGAAACAAAGAGCCTGACAAGTTAATGTGTAAACGACCCTCTGGCTTCATTAGCTGTGATGTTTACTGTGCCTCTGTGGTCGTAACTCATCGTCGTCTGCTTTTAAGACAGCTCGTCCCTCCACGCCGCCACCACGCCGCCACCACGCCGCCATCACGCCGCCACCACGCCATCACGCCGCCTCTCCTCTCTCTGGAGACTCATCAGAGGCCCGGTGGGTTGATGGCTGAGCTGAGGCTTCAATGTGTGACACAGGGAGAGAGTCTTTCAGGTGGAAACAGGGAACGTTCATGGACACATGATGCGACGCTTGGAGAACTCAAAAGTTCTGTATGTTCTGTCTTTCAAGAAGAATTGGATTTTTTTTTTTTATATATAAATCCAGTGCAAAACAGCAGTAAATGAGTAAAAAACAGAAATACTTTGAACATCCTTAAGACACATATTGTGCCAAAGAGTACTGAAATAAAATAAATAAAAGTGTTGTTTATCTGAATGCAGTTTAAAACATAGCTGCACAGAAATGCTCTTTCATCTCCTCAAATGCATCATCAGCGCTGTGAAAAATGTATCAAAAAAAAGAAATCAAAGATCCCACATGCATGAGGAGTCGGATCAAAAGGAACCGGTCTCCAAGTGTTCCGGCACTGAAAGCGCGCTGAATCACTGACGTGTCAGCTGTTTGGCGGCCATCGGTCCCCCCGGGGCGGGGAGAGGGTCCTCCGGCGGCGCCGTTGGTCCGGCCGCGGCCTCGGCTCCGGGGGCCTCGGCTCCGTCGTCTGTCGGCGTCAGGGTGAAATAGCTCGTGTGCTGAAATTTGAGCACTTCGTTGCCCCAGCTGGTCCACCCGGGTTGAAGACTTCGGGCGAACAGCTCCAGGCACTCGGCTCCGCCTCCAACGTGGGGCTTCAACACCTCTGCAGGGAGACGGAAGAACGATTGGGATCGGCTCAACCCTCCATGGGGCAAATAACAGGCCGCCGTTGACCTGCTGTTCCCCTCCCACTCTGTGCGTGCACCGCGTCACGTTGGAATGTGAATTGCATGCAGACTGGAGACGACACTTATCCAGTATAATAATCAACCGGTTTGGCCTCCCGTGGGTTTGCTGTGTTTTACTGCCCTCTCCGGGTTAAAGCACGGGAAATGAATGACTAGATTTCGACTCGTCATCAACAACCTGCAGACTTTGTGTGTATCTGGGGGATTAAAAATTCCTTTCCTGAACACGCAGCAGCATTTCATGTAATTACTTCAAATGAATCGCCTTTTTTTTCCCCTCGGCTTCCCGCTGCATTTGCCCTGAAAAAGACACAAATTCAGGCTGTAAGATTAGTCCCCTGCTGCCTTTTCCTGCGGTGGCCCTTTGCTAGTTACTCTGTAATAGGCAGAGGGCGGCGCTGGTGAGGGTTCAGCACACCGTGTTCAACGTGGCGGTGACCTTGAGTCCAGAAGAAGAGACGATACTCCGGCCCACCTGACGGATACGTTTCACTCCCTCTGCCTCGGGCAACACTCAGGGAGTTAATGAGCCCGAATGCCTGATCCCCAAAACCGGTCCAACCTGCACAACGTGGAGTCCTGCCTCCCGCTCTCCCCTCCGCGGCACGTCAGAGAGACACGCGGGGGGGAAAAGGCCAAACATGCAGCTCTCCGGCTAATTCAACCTCAACCGGTGACTCAGCTCTCAAAGATGAACCGGGAATAAAAAAAAGGTCCAATTATCAAACTCTGAAATGGCAGAATGTATGAAACTTCTGCCCAGAGAGACTTCAAGCAATAAAGCATTAAACGTACATTGATTCGGATATTCCGCCTGACAGGCTAAATGGACGGATCTAATCTAAGACGCAATAGATGTTATGTTTGTTCTTTTAAGTCCTCTCACCCCGTTTAAGTAGTTTTCAATCAATAAAATCTCTAAGTTTGATTTTCAGCACACACGTTGTGTCCATCTGGAACGCGACGGCAGAGCCATGAAGGTTATCCGCCTGTCTGCTCTAATTACGTGTTTAAAGCAATAAATGACGAAATGGAAGTGTAGTGTGAAAAGAGCCACTTTAGTGGAGAATTACAACCAGTCTGCAGTCTGCCTTCAGCTCTACTGAGCTTTGGACAGTCTTATAAAACACAGCCCAGATTATTTCTGTACGAAAAAGGAGGAAACAGTCCAAGTATAATCGTCCACAATGCATACGACTCTTAATGCGCATTAGAAATAATATTGAGCTTGGTAGGGATTTCTAGAGGTTCAGGGAGCCCTAATTAACAAGAAGAACACACGACTTGTGCAGCGCAAACACTTTTTTTTTTTTGAATGCAGCTTGACCATCTGGCAAGGACGGGTTGTAGTGAAATGGTGTCCCGTATCTCTCCATAGCAACCAGAAATGCCAGTGATGGGAGCCCCATCTGAGAGGGGAGAAGTGGGTCAGGGTTTCTCAACACTGCAGACTCGTGGCTTCACACCATTGATGCCGCCCGCCGGTTCGGAAAGAATCGGATGTGCTCGACAAAGTGCTGCGGAATTACGGAGACCAGAGCTTAAGAGATAAAACCAAGAAAGCTCAGGTGGATTTATGCCACTCGTCTGGAGATATATTTGACATTTCTAGCAGTTGCATAATCGATTGCTGGAGAGAACAAAAGAAATGAATCCACCTTTCCCCGCGGTGTTGAATTATCTTGTCAAATAAATGAACTGTTCTGCTGTCATTGGAAGCTGTGCAGGAACTGGGTCGAGCCCCTTCTGATATTTCATGATACGCTGCAATTTACCATTATGACCCTCACGGATTCGAGCCACACCCAAACGGTCTCTCCCCTCTAACTGGAGGCCGATGCGACGGCGGATGATGGTATTCTAACAGTGTCCAGGCACTTGAGGTGGAGCCTTCTCGGTGCCTCTGCGCCTGCAAACACTGGCTGTGTTTTGCTCTCCATACTGCACAATAAATCACATCCCCCCCCCTGAGAGGGAGGGACGTGACGTGGAGCCCGGCTTATTCATCGTGCCTGCATATTCATTGTCAAGGTTTCACATCGATTCCAAGCAGCGGAGGCCGTGTTGGAAGTCACGTCCTGCAGCACCCCAAATCAGTGCAGATGGGACCAGTTTGATTAATTCCGAGCAGCAGAAGTCGCCACTCGGACCAAGCAAACCCGTCCTTGGTCGAGGATTCTCCTCCTCCCGTTATTATAAAACCATGCACGTAAACGCCTTCTCTCCTCAAGTTAAACATTCAAAAAGTCTCTTATTTCGACTTGCATGACGTTAACAACAAAAAATTGATAATTTCTTACTTTAATGTGTCTATTTCTCATTGAATGTTATGTGCCTCTGACATATTGTACAATCAGAATTTTAACGGTCAGAGTAGCCGTGGTAGATGTTGGGCTGATCACTGAGGCAGCAAAGCAACACAACAACCTTTGAAAGTGCAGCATCGCCCTCTGGTGGTGCAGGAAAGCACAACACGTTCCTCTATTTACCCGAGAGACAGGGCTTCTGGGAGTGGAGGGCTGACGGGACGCTGACAATCAAACGCTGGTCCTCCACGGGAACCTCCGGCGTCCCCGGAGAGCTGAAAGCGGAGAGGCGAATACGCTGCGTTCAATGGTCGCGTCACAAACAGCAGGACAAGCGAAACCGAAAAAAAACTTCGGAAAACATCCGGCCACCTTGCGGCGTCACCTGCGGCGCAACGATATCGGCCCAGCACCAACACCTCATAGGGCTTCTTGTGATCGGAATCCAGTGGAAACACAAACTCTCCGGATGCGGTCACCTGAGAGGGGGGAGGAGGGGGAGGGTGAAACATCTGGAATCACAGCGGCACGTCATCTTTTCAGGAGTTTGCGCACCTTGACCCAGAACCACTGGGCCACAACTTCCAGCCCCCAGTGTGGATACAGCTCGTCCCGGACAAAACGCAGGTGGCTCGGCCGGTTCGTGACCCAGGTGACCACTAAGCAGTTCGGGGAGGCCAGTGTCGGTATCGGGAGGCGTTTCAGCTGGGACGAGGGCAAAGAGCTGTACCTTAGTGGAGAAAAAGAGATTTAAAATGTGAATCCTCGCTCTGATTCAGGGGTTTCCTGTTTCAGAGACTTTTTATTAAAAACACACACACTCCCAGTTACCTGCGGCTCCTTTTCACAGACTTGTTTTCCCAGGGTGGATCCATGACTATTAAGTCAAATCGTCTTCCACCTGTGTGACAAAATAGGCAGAATTGGTGAAAACGAGTACAGAGTCATGCTGGAACTATCGACCGTAATTAATTCAGTGAGGGGTGGTTCAATTTATGCCTCGACCTTTTTTGGAAATCCTCGAGGAAAAGTAACAGAAATCACTAAAACTGTGAGACATTTCTTCAATTTATTCCCCGGTTGGCGGCGGCGTGCACTCACAGCGGACCAGGGGTCGTATCCTCGTGAAGTCGGACAGCAGGAAGGCGGCGTGCGGCGGTATCACATATTCCCCTCCCATCAGCGGGACCACTGCGGCCCACTGGGCCTCGTTCTCCGTCACCCGAGAGAACAGGTCGAGGTGAGACGTGCGGCCGCCTTCGGCGACCAGCGGCTGCGCGCTCTCGTCCCGCTGGTCGTCGTCGTCGTCCGCTGAGGGAAGCTCCTTGGCCATCTCACAGAGGGCGGCGAGGCCGCACTGCGGAGAGGGGAGAGGCTCTTTTGCCGCGTCCGGCGCGCCGGTCAGATGTCCCAGGGACCTGGCGGAAGCCACCAAGGACGTTGTTCCCTCGAGGACAACAGACCTGATCTGTGTTGGGGGAGAATTTTTGATCTCGGATCAGGGATCAGGGAAAACCTGTGACCTAAACCACTACAGGGTCGTGTTTCTACATCTGGAACCCATTTGTGCCATATCTTGTTTTTCTCTCTGCCTGTCTAATATGAAATATATGTATATATATATATATATAACTGGATCCCATTGAGGGAAGGTCAAGGGTGTTCTCCTACGACGTCGGTGTTTCATACTAAAATTCCTTTGTGCAGGGGGGTATTCTGACCAACACAAAGCTCTCTAAAGTGTATTAAAGCTCCTGCTCTCCCCAAGAAGCTTGGTCAGATCTTGCTGCTCCTCTGAGGGAGAAGAACTGTCCATTTTCAGCTGAATTGAGTCATTTAACTTCTGTCTGTACTTAGGGTTTGTGTTGATGATTTCTGTATTATGATTTTTCTATATTCTAGTTAGTAATAAATACTATCAAATTTCCACCATAATCTGCATCAGAGGACATTGTTATTCATTATTGTTTAGGAGGTCTAAGTTGGCAGGAATTGATTTTGCAGCACAAGTGATGAAAATAAAGTAAATTTACAGTACAGTCGTTAGAAGAGTCAACTTTATACTTCTACGCACAACTCTTTCTTAAGACGACATTCAGCTAGGAGAGAAGTATTTAAACCTACCTTCTCATGGAAGGCCCGTGAATCAATCTCCCCCTGGTTGAGTTCACTGTGTTTTCGTTTCCTTTTCTGAAAGTCAAATTTGATCAAATAATTCATGATTTTCGTTTCATAAACAGCAGATATTTATTCATTCATTCATTTAATGATGTATTTAGCTAATTTCCAATATAAAAATAATTGAAATACAAATGCAACCAAAGGTGTCTCGGATTTCCAATATATAACTGGTAAATATGATTTCTTAAGAGAAAGACAAAAATGTGTTCCCTAATAAAACGTGTTTTGTTGTCAGTTTTTGCTCAAAGAGAACTGACACCCACTTGTTGTTGCATTACATTAATCTAACACTACTTCACGCTGCACAACTGACAAGTCTTTACCTTCGATGCTTTGTCTGTTTCATGCAACACGCCCGTGTTTCCTTCACCCACATCTGCCCTGGCGCTATGATGAGCCTTTAACATCTGGAAGCATTGCTTTTTGAAACGACCCGTCCAGTGAGACGTTCGGTTGTCTCCTCCCGTTCGGCGGCAGCGAGAATAACCCCGATCGACGAGCGCGTGCGCATCCAAAACCCAGCCCCGCGTGCCGCGAACTACTACGGACATCGTGTGATTACGTAAAAAGATTCCGCTTCTTCCCCTTTGCTGCGTGTAGTTTCAATTCTCCCGAAGTCAACACGCTTACGGTTTCGTTAATGCGGAAGCCAGACGTGTGCGCGTGTGTGTGTGTGTGTGTGTGTTTGTCCCTGACGGGCCACCGTAGAGACGGAAAGAGGGCGGGGTCCTTAAAGGGCCAGACCCGCTTTCCTCACCGCCGCGCGCCGCTGCACGGTCGGGATTTAATGTGCACAATTTGATGAGGAAATAACACCCGCAAAACACGGTTTACTCGGCGGTCGCCATGGCGGATCAAAGAAGAGTCACCGTGTACGACTGTCGCTCCGAAAACAAAGCGCGACCCCAGAGAGAAGTGCTGGAAACAAGCGGCCTGGACTTCAACCGCTTCCTGCGACTTCTGCTGCCGGTAACGTTCAGCGACCCGCAACACCCCGTCAACAGCGCGCACGGAACGATTCGGCGCACGTTCACTTTTCTCATATTTAGCCTTAAATGTGAATATACGGTCTCAATTAGCCCACTTGTCCAAGATACGAACTTCATTGCTTAACCTCAGAATACTTTTAACACCTACTAAAGAAAACTAAAACGCAAAATAAAGACTAACAAATTGTAGCACTTAAATTGTACTTATAACGCCGCTCATCTATAGCAAATTGTAAATTGGCTTATTTGAGGAAATTGCACTTTCTTGTTTCTTGTTCTTCTGACTTTGTACCCTATGCTTGAATGCACTTATTGTGCTTTGGATAAAAGCGTCAGCTAAATGACATGTAATGTAATGTACTAACATTTGAGATAACCCTACAGCCTCCACCCGTATATATGTATGTAAATATGTAAATAAGTGTTTTCTCTCTAAACTCCTTCTATAATATCCAATAACTGGTCTATAATAACCGCACCGCGGTCTAAGTGTCCACAGAGACAATGTCAGTATGAAGGGATGCAGAAGAAGGCGGGCCTGGGACTCTCAGGGCCTCCGGGCGTTTCCGGGTGGGAAAGGCATCTTTGTAGGCTGCCAGGTGAGGGCGTCACCTGGGGCGAGCTGGCTGGAGAGGGTCCAAAGATGAGCTCCGCCAGGAGGCCGGAGATGGTTTGAGGGACCGGCCTCTGCAGGGTCTTCATCGGGCGTAATGTCAGAGCCGACGGCTGACTTCCCGCTCCAGCAGTGGTGTTCGGGTGATCCACAAGGACACCGCACAGTAATCCAGTTCAGAATAGATACGAAGCCTCATACCTACACGGTGGAGAGGCCGAGAGTGGTTTCACTTTTGGTTACAGTTACTAAACCTTTCGAAGTTAATTTGGTTGTCAAAGTGTTTGACTGATCAATATTAGACTGATTGAGCTGCAGCATTGAACTGATTCTTAATTTTTGACATTTCATCACAGAAATTCGCAATCCCGCCACATGAAAAATTTGTGCTGGCCACGACGGACCGAGTAATCCTGGATTTTCACAAATTTGGTGAGTAAATCGAAACGTTGGTTAACAAGTCCGCCGCGTGGATCCGCTGTAACCGGCTCCCGTCACACGTCTGTGCCCGTGTCAGTGTGCACGACAACGATCTAACTTTTTTTTTTTATCGTTCCCCATCGAAGAGGACCTTCAGGACGGCAGCACCCTCCACCTGCTGCAACGGGAGGACCAGGCTCTGACGGCGGCGACGGAGGAGCACATCAACTTCACGCCTCACTACGACACGCTGATCAAGGGCGGCCTGTACGAGTACTACGCCAGCGAGGGCCAGAATCCATTGGGTGAGTTCTCCTGCGAGCTATTGCGCAATTGCCGAGGTGTCCGTGACGGAGAGACGGCGTGACGCTGTTTCCTGTTCTTTTGCCAGCGTACGCGCTGGCCGAGCTGATCGACAACTCTCTGTCGGCCACCGCCAAAAACCCGGGCGCGAGGACAGTGGAGATACGGATGGTTGGTTGTGCATTTGCATGTGATTTTATAAACATATTTCTTTTGTCCCCCACTCCCAGTGTGTGTGTTTGCTGTTCGTCTAAACCTGCCCTTCTGCCTCCGGCGTCCAGGTGTTCGATGGAGGGAAGCCTACGGTGATTGTCTTGGACAATGGTTGCGGGATGACCTTCACACAGCTCAAGAACTGGGCGGTGTACCGACTCTCCAAGTTCTCCAGGGACAAAGTCATAGTTGGAGGGTCGGTGTGCTGCGCTTTCTTTATCTTCTAGTTTCCGTTGTGCCACGATTTGCTTCTGAAGTTGTTTTTAGGGGTTTTTGAATGCATCATTTTCTTCATTCACGTCTGTTGTTTTTCCTTTTTTTTCCCCCCTGCAGTAAGCTGGAGGGGTACACGCGGCCCGATCCAGTCCGGCGTAGTCTCAACAGCGATATATCCTACTTCGGAGTTGGAGGAAAACAGGCCGTTTTCTTCATCGGAAACTCCACCAGGGTATGTTAAGGGTTCAACGTCCATTACCCCACTGATGAGGACCGTGGATTCTTCTTCTATCTTCATGTCTTGTTTCCTTCTTTTTTTTTTTTTTTTTAGATGATCACTAAACCTGTCGGCTCCCCAGATGTTCACGAGCTGATTCTGTCAAAAGAGGGATTCGAGAGTAGAGAGAAGGACAAAAGGGATATTTACTCCACGGTCATTAAGAACAGGAAGGTAGGAGGATCAGAAAGGGCTCAATTGCACCTTCGAAAAAAAACAAGGTTATGAAATTCCCGCTCAATCAAAAACACAATATGTGAGTGTGTTTGTGTGTGTCAACCATCTCGTCCTCCTCCTGCAGCCGGGGGACTATTCTCATGTGAAAGGGGACGACGAGCGCTGCCTCCGTGCCCTGATCGGCGAGGAGTTCGGGAAGAAGAGCTTCACAGCCGTGGTGATCACGGGCGTCTCACCGGAGCACGTCGCCTTCTTGAAGCGAGACTTTGACGTGTGGACCAGACAGCTGGCGTGCGTTCGCTCACCCGCAACACCCGAAATGCTTTCAAAAGTTCTAACGGGTTCAAAATTGTCTGCTTGAAAGGAAATCTGTTTTTGTTCCCATTTCAGCAACCTGTATCACTATTACATTCACGGAGTCAACGGGAAGGACACGAGCAGCTGCTCTGCAAAAGTGGATCACCTTCCTAAAATTGACATCCAGGTGAGGCTGATTTTATCACAGTGTGAACTTTGCCGTCTCAGCGGACTCCTTTTTCATTTATTCTTTTATTCACAGATCATTTTGCGCGAGAAGCCTCCCAAAAGTCCCTCCGTGCTGAACCTACGGGAAATCGACGACGACCGGCAGACGCTGTTCCTGAACGCCACCGTGGACACGTTTGAGTTCCACGCCGCCACCGAGAAGGACGGCGGCACAGTGGAGGGAGTCATCCGGTACCACCCCTTCCTCTACGACCGGGAGACTTACCCAGAAGACCCCGACGCTCCGCCCGGTATTCCAGTTTAGAACGTTCTTCGTGCTCTTTGAACTATGACGTGCGCGTGTGTGTCTGTGTAGTTTTTAACTGCATATCTCATGTTGGTCTGTTTTCTTTTTGGTTTGTCAGCCTTAGATGATGACGCTTCCGATTGGGAGAATGAGTCCGCTGCCTGGCAACAGGCACGCGCGAGGAAGCACATATTTGACTGTTTCTGGAATGGACGGCTTATTCCTTACACCAAATTGCAGGAGTAAATACAATTCTTTCCATTTTTAAGTTTAAACTAACAGGAAGTAGCTTAGTTGTACACTTAAGGGATGTGTGTTTATTGGTAATTAAGACGAGCAGCTGATCACCGATAATCACCTCCTGGCTGCAGCGCTACGCTCTCGACCAGGAAGCAACCTCAACAAAATTGCATTCAAGAAAAACCGCGACTGTTTAATTAATTTCTCACACTTCGCTGAACAGGTTCGACTGGTGTGCTGCCAGTAAAGGACCAAAGGAGCTTGCCGAGTGTTACGGTCGCATTTCCGGAGTGCTTTTCAGTGACGACCGATTCGAAGTGAGCACAAACAAGCTCACCTTTATGGACCTGGAGGTGAAACTGAAGCAGAACAGCACCATCTTCACACGCATTGTTAACTCACAGGTGATCATATATCTTTCTTTTTAATGTTTTGACAAAATACAACATTTAAGCCTTTTTGTAGCAGCTGAATCAGATCTGGATATCCAACATATTTTTAAGATCGATCAGAGCCTAAAAAGCACCTTTGAATGTATCGAGCAGTCTAGTGGAGCAGGTCTGCTCCTCCTTCCTCAAGGTGCTTAAACGCGTTGAGTGTGAAAGCTCAGCGGCACATTTGCTCGACTGTAGCTTGATTTCAAAGGTTGAGAACACAACGTGCATCCTGTTCACATTTGGTGCCCCTTTTTCTCTGGTCTGTTCTCGCCCTCGTCCTTAGTTTTAGGGCCCAGGTCACCAGCTCCCATCGGTTTATGACCGGAGACATTCGCACTGTCCTTCCCCCACACAGCTGCGTGTGAGTAAATCAGAGGAAAGCAGGGCGGTGCCCCGAGTCTGGTGCAGTGGAATTTTTCCACCACGGCTTTTAATCTTATAAAACATTATGGCATCATTATAATGTACAAGACTACAAAAACAGTGCCCATGTTGCTCTGATGAGGCAAATCTGATGAATCGGCATCAGAACATCTGTCTTCCTACCGGTCAGAAACTGACATTTTAAAGCAGCTTTTGTTTCCATTTTAGAAAAAACAAATAGAACCTCCAATCTGTCGCTGAACCTTTTTGATTCATTTGTACGTCCTCAGAAACAGAGAGGCAAAATCCTCAAGGACTTCACGGAATGGTTGAAAAAATGCCACGAGAAGTGGGACAAGCAAGTGAAGTTCGTGGGCTTCAAGGAGACCATAGAGCGAAAGGAGTTGACCCCGAAGAAGATGCAGCACCCCTGGGCGACGTTCTCCTCCATCGTGTGGGACGGAAAAGTGTACAAAACCGGCCAACTGGTGAGCGTTTATTCATTTATTTATTTTCTCTTTTTCTTTTTTCGAGTGCATATTCCGGCTGTTGCGTTGATGCCCGCACGCGCGTCTTCACGCAGGTGAAGTCTCAGAAGACGGTGCCCATCGTGTACGGTCGCATGGGCCGGTTTCTGCTGTACGGGGAACACAAGGGCAGCGTCTTCGCCACGGGGGGAGAGGTGGAAGTGCTTCTGGTAAGGAGGGAATCATCGTGAGGAGAGACGGGACTTTCTTCAGTTTCTGTCGCACGTCAGTTCTTTCTACTTTTTATGGAGGCCGATATTGATGATTTTAAAATGTTTCCAGGAACCCAAAGAGTTTTACAACACGGTGAAGACCATAGCCATTTCCAAGATCAACAAGACCGCCACTGATGAAGAGATCCAGAGCATCATTGACAACGACTCTGCCAAGTAAGCATCTATTTATTTATTTATTTATTATTTTATGGGTTTTACCATGTTTTTTTTTTTAAATGTATTCCAAGGAAGACCACCATAGGTACATTTTACACAACTGCCTCAATTGAGTGTTGCAGAAACCCTTAAAACAAAAAAAGTGTTGTGTAGTTTATTCAGTACATACGTCAGTTTTTATATTTCATCATCAGCTGAAGTGACCGTTATTTGTTTGTTGCAGGTTTCCGGAGCTCCTGGAAGTGGAATGGCCGAAGGGGAACCCCTGGCCACAGAATGCGTCTCGTGCAGCTGGGACTGAGTTTGGTAAACTGCGGCACGGCCTGCACCGTTGATCAAAGAGACCTGGTGGTGTTGAAAATATGTCCTCTCTCCCACACGTGTGATTTCAGGGCCAATACAAGTGAAAATTCTAAACAAGAAGGGAGAGTCGTTATCCCAGATGCCATCAGTGGGCCTGGGAAAAGGAAAAAAAATGTTTGTAGAGTTAAAAATCGTCCACCGCGGTAAGAGAATAGAATATGAAACCAGTTCAATATGATGAATCTTTCATGTCATGGCGAGATCACATCCTGAGATACGGTGATACACAAATTGCTTGTTTTGTTTGTCTTTCTTATGCAGGTCCTGCAAAAGAAGATCATAAAACGGTTCTCCACTCTGTTGCCCAACATTCCCCCAGTTGGAATTATGCGTTCAAGAAAACGGGTAGTGTGTTTTTGTTTATTATCTTCCGTCATCAATGTCGCAGTGGATTACAACCCGTTTCTATCACACGTCCTGCTGCCAGCGCTGAACCAGACGTGACACGCGGCCGGACATTCGTCACATCCCCGTTTCCCCCCCCCCCAAATTCTGATTACGCTCGAGTCTTGATGTCTTTGTACCTTTTTTTTTTTTTTTTTTTTTTTTTTTTTTTTTTTTTTTTTATGCTCACATTCAACTATATTGGGCAATCGTGGGAGGCCACAAGGCCTCATTCCAGACATACTCCCGATAAGCCTCACAGGCCGCCGAGGAGATTGTGAGACGAATAAATCTACTGGGAGAGAGAAAACAAGCCGAGTGCCTCTTCTGTCTGAGCCGAGCAGAACTGTCAGGAGGGATAATTAATACCTCTTATGAAACTAAATGCACTTTGGCAGCAGTGTTTTCATAACTGCACGTCCTTTTGTTTGCCTGTCAAAAATGATCCACTGGGGTTAAGACACCGGGGGTGTATTCCTTCATCGTCTGCATACACACCCGTCCTGCTAAACTTGGGGACCTGTCTGATGTGTGTTTGTAAATCTTCACTGTGCACGATGAAAAAAAGTCAGACCTTCTTCCTGTCTGCCACTTCTATGGCTCATGTTAGATGTTTCTATATATTATAAACTACGCAAACATCTCATCTTCTGCAGCAAATCTGACCAACCCGGGGAACTATACTTTGTCCCTAAACACGAAGATAAGCGAAAGCAACGCCTACGTCTTTGGAGGCAGACAGCTTCCGAGCTTCAAGCTGACGTTCACCATCGTTGGTAAGGAGAGACTTTAACCATCGGACCGGTCATCACTGGGGCAGAAGCGATTCCCACACTGTGCACTCTCCTCCTCAGCGGGCACGCCGGAGAGCTTTGTCGTCAGCCCTGTGAGCACCCCGCCCCACGTGGGAGTCCCATTCAACATTTCCCTGTTTATAAAAGATGCTCATGACAACGCAGCGGTGGCGCCTCCTGATCTCAGACCTGTACTCAAATGCAGGTGGGTCACTGTCGCTTTCAATGGACCCTTCTTTTCATGTTCATTTGATCTAACACACAGCAGTCCATGCAGCTGATTTAAAAGCCTGTATATATGTATGTATCATTGGCTCATAGATCCTACCATGTGTTAATTTGACAGATACGGGGTAGGAGAGCGCTTCCCCCCCCCCTACCCCCCTCCTTTAACGTTATTATTATTATTATTATTTAATTAGGGACCTGGAGCTGAGTTACGAGGCCGTGAGCAACCTTGGGACCACGTTCACCATCAGAAGTGTCAAAGCAAAAGGAAAAGTGCTGAATTGCCAGAAATCAAAGGTTAGAAAATCTATTTAATAAGGAGTATGGAGTGCAAACTTAAAAAAATAAATAAAAAAAATACCTCAGACACAAAGACAGATTGGGCCACAAATGTTTATCCTTCAGTCGTTTCTTTGCAGATGTATGACCTGAACGTCACGCTGCCTGGCCTGAAGACGGACACGCAGACCGTCCAGATCTGTCTTCTTCCTGGTAGGACTGCAAGTATTTTATTTGTTTAGAACATTTTTAATAACCTTGCAATAACTCAAATTCACATGCAACAAGAAGGGTCGTTTTCACGGTCCTGTTTACATGAATCCCGTAAACCTTTTTTCAATTCCCCCTCATACTGTTTTATATCGTTACATAATAAAGTTTTGGAGCTCTTAACTTCTTTAAATTGACACTTTTTTCAGGTAATCCACATTCCCTCCACGTGACGCCAGAAGACGAACCGATCGCGTTGGAGAACGGAAACACCTTCACGTTCACCGCCGAAGTCCACGATGAGGCCGGAAACATCACCGCTCAGGCCAAACAGATCGTTTCCTGCCAGGTACCGTTTGGCTGGTGTGGAAGGAAAAAATTATTCTATCGGCTGTGGAGTCTTTTAGAACTAAAACAGAAAATTCAATTGCACTCCTGCGAGAAGAAGCACACAAAACCGTTTTGATTAACGCAGAGGGTTCTGTGTGCTTGGTTGGACTCATTAACTCACCTGTTCTACCTTCTTTTTATATTTGAACATAAAATCAGGTTAAGGGGTTTCCGCCGGTGACGGCCGACTGCAGCGCCTCGGGAACTGGACAGCTTGTGACGAAGCCCATCAACCTGCAAATAACCAACGGGGAGCCGCAGAACCTCACCGTTGAGTTTGAGATGCCTGTGAGTAAAGAGAACGAGCGAGCGCTTTGCTTCGCTGTAACTGTGGTGGAGGTTTGACCGAATGAAGAGTTCTGTGCAGAAGGATCGAACGCAACAGTTTATCAAGCAACAGCCCCGGAGTCGGTAGCGAGGGCATCCTTACCGGGGTTTAGCAAAAAGACAATTAATCAATACCGACATGCACGGCATTGTTAGGTCGTGTCTCATCTTACTTAGAGGGGCTTTCAGTCTATTGGGATTTTACGAATATGTAGTGTGACCACGTTTCATTATGTCCACATGATAGTTTTTGATTGTGTATGTGACTGCTCCACCTCCCCCTGCAGAAGAGCAAGTGGAAGGTCCCGTTGGTCCTGAGGAAGCTGAAGGTGGTGCCCAGCACCAGAGTCTCCCGCATGGAGCTCTGCGGCGATGACAATTTGGTGCTGAGAAACGGCGAGAAGATAGAGTGGCTGGCCGGGGGCTCGCTAGAGAACCTCTTCTACAAGCTGTATGACGAGGCGGGTCGACTGGTCCCTCCCACCGAGGAGATCGCCTGCAGGATCAAGGTGTGTCCGGTCTCTGATGCCATTGCATTTGAGCGCGCTGCGTCTCATTTCTGACTTCTCTTCGGTCACTGCGACTGTGTTGAAGGTCAACTGGACGGGAGACGTCAACGTTACAGACCTGGCCCTGGGGAAGCTGCCTGTCTTACAGGTGCCCACGCAGGTGCAGCCGCCGATCTTCTACCTGGTGTCCTACCAGGACCAGAATGTCTCCGTCTCCTTCAACATAGTGTAAGCCGCGTACCCGATTCAAAGCTTTGATTCAGTGTGGCTGCGTTTGAACAACTCCTCTAACAGCTTCAGCTTCATATTTAACGGATAGAGTGGTGTTCGTTGTCTCCCCCAACTCTCTGCGAGAAAGCAGCAAATAAGTCTTTGTTTGTTTTTTTGTACCCATCCTCTCTTTTTGTTTGTAGGCCTCGTCCGGATGAAGCAACTAAACTCAAAGCAACTCCGCTACACAACACAGTGAAGCTGGGTGAAATCCTCCCTGGAAACATCAGTTAGTTTCATCCTGAACCCGCTGAGATCTCATTTTTGAGGATCTGGCTGCAGACTGGATAACACACACGTTTTTCCCTCTGCAGGCTTGGAGCTTCTGGACCAGTATGATAATTCCACATTGACATTTACCTCCACCTGTAAGGATCACATCACAGTGGAAGCGGACGGTCTGGACAAATCGGCCATCGACTTTGTTTGGCAGGTGGGAAAAGAGACGCACAAACGTAATTCAGAGAAACTAAAAACTAAATTATTCCTTTAGACTGTGTCAACAATAGTTTTTTACGTCAGTAAAGGATCTGACTACTTCTTCCTCAAAGCGTGTAAATGTTCTGAAACTAACGGCCGACGCGTTCTGCAATCAGGAGAGCAGCGGTTCTGTTCTGGTGACGGGGGTGCAGTTCCTTTCGGGGCCTCTCGGGCCCAGAGAGTTGTGCTTCACCTACGGGAGCTTCGAGGAGCGCGTCCATGTGAAAGTGACCGCCGGAGTCCCCGCGCTGCTCAAACTCACCAGCGGGCCAGAGATGGTAAGAAAGAAGCTGATTCCAACCATGTCAAAAGTTTCAACAAAGACTTTTCATCTCTTCTTTTATTTTCATTCTTTCACTCAAGCCTTTGCAGGTGCTGAACGGCCACGGCATCGCCACGCCCTTCGTCGTCCAAGTGTGTGACGAGAGGGGGAACCCGACCACGGACCAGAGGGTCGTGGTGAGAGTGAACTCTTCCCCCCCGACGCTGAAGGTAAGCGAGCCGCTCGCCGCTCGCCGCTTTTCACACAGCTCAAAAGGAACCGTCCGGGTGGATAACGATTGTTGTTGCCTTAGGTGACGACGGCTGTTATTTCACAACCGGTGAGCGCGGAGGGGAAAGCCTCTTTCCCCGTGAGCGGCGTGAGCGGACCGAAGTGAGTGTCGCTTCATGAAACTGACGTGCATGAAGGGGGGAATCTTTCTGTCGTCGTAATGCAGCTATAGAAACTGACGGGAGTTACCCTGTTGTTCCACCAGGGGGTGCTATAAGCTGGTGTTCGAGGGCTCCCTGAACCAGAAACCCATCCCTGGTTTCACCGTGAATCTCACCGTCATACCGGATCCCAACAAACCCGTCAGCCTGTCGGTGGAGTACAACACCGCCGCCGTGTTTCCTGCCGGAGGCCGCTTCCCTGGTCTGCCTCCCATTCAAATCTTTATGGAGCTCTTATTTCCCTGCATGCAAAAAATATATGATAATATATGGGTGTGTGTGTGTTCAGTGTTCTCTGTGACCGTGGTGTCCGATGAAGGCTGCCCGATGGCGACTTTTAACCCCGCTGCTGCGTCCATGCGTCTGTGGAAGGAGGCGCCGCCGCAAAACACTTCTCCGCACCGGGAGGTGACTTCAAGACGTTGGAGCTGTCACAGATTTCTTTCTATTTTTCTTTAGCTGCGTTTCTTCTGAACCGCTTCTTCTCTTTCGTAGGTCACTGAGCTGAAGTGTTGTAAACCACTGGGCGACGAAAAGAAGGACCGCTTCCACTTCAGGTAAAGCGCCTTTGGGGTCCCGTCTGAGTGGCTGCAGGATGTTCCACAACTCAATTTAGCCTCCGGGGAGCCAAGAGATGTGGGAATGGACTTGTGGGAAAAGAGTCTGCAGATTGCTCCACAGTAAAGTAGCTAGTTTACACTCAAATAACAGTTCATGTTTCCGGTAATAAAAGGATGAGACCGTAAATATTTAGTCTTGGCTTAGCAAGCCCCAGAAACGTGGGAAACAGTTTTCCTTTGTTCAACTATTCCTTTAAGAAATGTAAATGTGTTTTTGTTTTCTTCCACTGCAGAGATAAACCGATCCCAAAACAAGTTGGAAAGTACACCATCCAGTTCTCTCTAAAAATAGACGATGGAAAACTCCTGTCCAGTAATCAGGTTGGTTGACTCTAGAAATCCCATCCAGCAGTAGAAGGTCAGGGTCATCACGCCAGCAGTGTCTCCCGCCTCCTAGATCTCCATAGACGTGGTGGCCAATCAACCCGTCAGGCTGGCACCCGACCCCCCGCCACCCACCCGATTTGTTTCCGACAGCAAGGTCATTGCCCACCGAACCTTGGTGGAGAATATGACCCTGAGGATAATGGTGAGCGGACAACCGGTTCACTTTTAAAGCCGTCGCCCAGCAGCTGGTTAACGGAGCTGCTTTGACTGATTCCAGGACGAGCACGGAAACGCGGCGGGGCGGGACCTGGGCGGGACGGTGGTCGTCTCCATAGAGAACCTTGGTGGAGGCGGCAGTGGCAGCAGCGGCCAGTCCGTCCCTCTGTTCGAGGGCCAAAAGAACAGCTTGACGACGAGCTTGGTGGAAGGCAAGGCCCACTTCACCGTGAGTCGCCGGACGCGGCTTTTCTATCCCGACGGGGCGCGACGGGGCGCGCTGAACGCGTGATGATGGTGTGATTCTTGTTGTGCACAGAGGCTGGTCCTCATGGAGAACAGCCCCGGGGAGGACGGAAGTGACTACTTGCTGCTCTTCAGACCAGAAGGGCCGATGGTTCCCACGACCCTCGACCCCTTTCCGCTGCTCTTCCACTTTAACAAAGGTGGGGCGTGAGATCTGTCAGGCTTCACGTGTGAACATCATTGTAGCTTTAATGTGACGTGAAAGCAACGTTTGACCTTTTCATTCCCTGATTCAGCGTTATCTGTGCAGAGAGTTTTGGTTTCAAGATGCATCTCTTTGTCTCCTATTAGTGAGATATTACCTCAATGTCTCACTGGTTAAACATTTTTGTTAAGACTTCAAATTGTTGTGTTTCAATATGCAAATGAGGCTTCACTTCACAAGGATTTTACAAAGTTGTTTCTCTTTTTCAAAAAAATGGGTTCAACTCAACACTGTCACAAAATAAGTCAGACAATAAATTACCAAAAGTTTGTCTTTTTATTGTCTTTTTTTCGGACTTAGATGCTGAGAACCAACAGAAAATGTTTGAGCTGACCAAGAAGAAAAACACGCTGACGACTTCTATCGAAGCGCTCAGGGAAAACTTCGCCACATCAACTGAACTCCTTACTGCGCTGACCTGTAAGATCTCCTCTTTTCTTTTGTCCAAACAAGGAGAATTGTGTTGTTAACTCAAGAATGTTGTTTAAAATGTTAACTAATTGCAAATACTTCTATCATAGCTCAATGTCTGAATGAAAGTGAAAAAGAGTCTGTCATTCGAAAAGAGCTGATCAAGAGGAAGTTGGAAAGTGGCCAAACTGTACGTGTAGGATGTTCTCAATAAATAGATACATACATTTCTAAATACATGGGTGTGTTCTGGAGGTGACATTTACATATTTGTTATTCTTCGTAGATCCCAGAAATTGAAGAACTCCTAACCAGAAAGCGATCTGAATTGGACCAGATCGTCCGATCACACAGAGTTTGCTCCATTCCCGACCAATTCAGAGGGCAGCAGGATGTTTTGGGAGCGGTAATGTTGGCCGAGGGCCTCGAAAACCCTCGGTGTAATTTGACTGAAGGACGACCTCCATACAGATGTGTGCGAGTTTCAGAGAAGCTTTGCCTGTTCCGCTATAACGGTTTGTTTCTATTTCTTACCTTCTGAATGCAGGTCGGCCACTTGGCCTTAGTGCAGGACGCCGACGCCGCGCGGGTGATCTCCTGGCAAATCAGGGGCGACATGGATTGCGTCCTCACCAAGACGCTGGCGGCCGCGCAGAGGATCTACAAGGACACCAACGGCCAGCAGCAGGTCATGTCCCTGGAGACTATGTTTGTGCGAGACGACAACAGGTAATTAAGATGGATCCCTTTTATTAAACGACGCCTTCTTCAACAGCTGTATCTCTCCATTTTCTTTCATTTCCGTATTGGTGCTTGAGTTGCTTTCCTGCGCGCGCTTGATTATAGTTTTTTATTTCTTAAGCAGGCTCCTGCTGCCAGCCTTCCAACAATAGTAATTTAAAGATCTTGTGGCAGCTCCATGTTGAACAAACTAGTGAGAAAGAATGTGCCGAAAGGTGAACAGTGACCCCCTCTCTGACAATAAAGTACAATTACTCTATAGATGACAAAATAATAAAATGGTCATAAATGTATTTGAAGTTACGTCCCCTTTTCATTCATCATATTTAGCCAGTTTTGACATAAATGAATAGTGTTGTGTTGCTCTAGTTAACTGGGCTCTGGGAAGCTGTGACGGTTTGTGTGTGTTTCAATTTCTCTTATTACATTGTTTTTCTGGGGGGGTTTTGTTTGTTTTTTAACAGCTGACTGCTGAAATTTTTGTTTTTTATAACATTTGCATTTGTTACAGACCGTTGCCACACATAAGAAATGGCCGTGCGCTCTTTGACCCCCCCGGGAACCCGGTCTACGCCATTGACCTCCTGCATTTCCCAAGCGACCCGCAGAGCTGTCGAACCGGTGAGCCGCCTCACACGGGTTGCCCCCGCTTAGCTTAGCATGTTCTAGCCGTTGTGCTTTCATTGCAGGTTTATATTTGCCGTAGTGCAGAAGCCCTGTGTGTGTGTGTGTGGGGAGGGGGGGGGGAGCTTTCAGAGGGTTCCCAGGTCTTTTTGTTTGCTGATGTTGGGGTAATTTCCTACTACTGAGTTCCGGGTAAATGGTTCCATCTGGGAAACAGCGTCACGGGGGGGGGGGGAGCTGAAAATGATTATTTTTTTGCTCAAATTGAACAGAAATGTATCAGAAACTCCTCAGTCTCCAACAATCTCCTTTCTGTGCCGGTTCTTCCGTCGTACCGACATAAAATAATGCCTGTTGTTTTTTTCTTTCTTCGAATGCCTCTCCGTGCTTTCAGCTTTTAAAAGCATCCTGGGGAACACCATTCTGATGGACGACCTGAACTCGGCAAACCACTACCGGAAGGCGGTGGGTGATGAGCGCCGGCGCGGCGTGACCTTTCTGACCGGCGGCCCTATTTCTTTCCTCCTCACAACGTGCCGTTTCTTGCAGGTGGTACAGCACAAGATGCCGTGTCCCACCATCCTGACCCGGCAGGGCGACAGGATCAGTGGCAACGGCAAGTTCGGAGGCGCGCAGAACAGAGCCCCACCGATGCACGCGTTAAAAGTGTTCGGAGCCCCCCTCCCTCCGCATCACGCGGCTTTAAAGGAGCACATAGGTGACGTCACTCACGTGTCTGCGCTTTGCCTTTTGTGACCCTGCTCGGTCAGTCAGATTGCGCTTGAACGTCTCTCGTTGTTCTGGACAGAGCTGCTGAGCCAGCACCGGTCCGCTCTGGAGAAGAAGCAAGAGGCCGCGAAGGAACGAGGGGCTCACTTGAAGATGATGCAGTCTCCTGAAAGTCTGAAACAGCGTAAACAAATGGAGGAGATGATAACGCAGCTGGAGGAGAACGAGAGAGAGCTCGGTATGTTTCAGGTGGAAAGGACAGAGAGGTCCTTTTCAAACATACATATATGTTGTTTTCATTCTGTTGCATTCTGCTTCCAGCGTCGACCCCAGTAAGAGCAGGGAAACGGGGCCTTGAGAGGGCCCAGCCATCCGGCACCGCGGGAAAGAGATTCAAGTAGAGGTCGCGACGTGGACCGATCCAACCGATCTCTTCTAGAGTTTTATTTGTATATCTTTTAATGATTTTATAATAATCCATCCATCCAACCATTATTTTTGTAGATGTGAATCAGAGGACAGTTGATGTTGATGTTTACCTGTTTTACCATAAATGCTGAAATTAATTGTTACAAACTTGTTGCTGGAAACATTCTTTGGAGCGCAGACTTTCATACTGGTGCTTAAGTCGCATATTTCGCGCATGAGTTTGCGTATTGGAGCGAGCTGCACACATTGGATATTTTAAAAGGCGCACGACAGAAGCACGCCCGTGTTGTTTACGAGCCGACCCTCCTCCTCTGGGGCCGGATAGTTTTGGGGGTTTACTTGGCAGATGTGGATGGAATGATTAATTTCAAAGAACTGCTTTATTCTCTATAAAAAAAAACACATTTTTCTAAGATCTGCTTTTGCCTTTGTCATTATTTCTATCCAACAATAACGTCAGCAGCCTACAAAACTTTAAACTGAAATGATGTCCTATTTTGAGGCGCGTGTGCGGCGAGCCACTGGCAGGCGAGGGATGATTGCCCCTCAGAACCAAGACAACCGTCCGGAAGCTGCTCTATGACATGGTGATTTTGGATGAGGAGCGACTTGGGTGTGGGCTTTAGTGTGTGTGTGTGTGTGTGTGTGTGTGTGTGAGACAGACTGGAAAAGGCATCAGTCCGTGTTGGAGGGGGTCCTGAAACGTCATATCCAAGGACGGTGGAAGGAGCTCGATACTGGGGCATTTAAATTAATACAACGTCACCATGAAGTGCGGACTTATTCAGTTTCTATTCGCGTTCCCTCTCGTCGGCGGGTCGCCCTTCCAGCATGCCGTGTTTCAGGGAAACTCTCATTCCGGCAGAGAAACGCGATCGAGAAACAAGTGAGTGACGCACGTCTGTTTGCGCCATTACGAGCCGCTGCTTATTTACCATCTGCTGTGCGTCAATGCATTCGGGCGCTTGAGGAAAGTTCTGTGCATCAGGTCGGGTTTTTGTTTTGGGGTTTTTTCCCCTGCAGAAACTGGTGCGCGTACGTCGTGCACAAGAACGTGAGCTGCGCCGTGGCGGGCGGCTCGGAGAGCTCCGTGCAGCCGGAGGTGTTCCCGTGTCCCCCGGAGACGCCAAACTGTGCGCAACAAGTGATGTAAGATGACTGCACAAGTCCAGGACCGTGGGTGGAGGGGGTCCTTTGGTTTGTGGTGTTGTTTTCAACAACGTGAGGCAGCTTGGTCGTGGACCGGTTCTGGTTTGTGTACTTGGAGCTGCTTTTGCTTTGCATGGAAGTGACTGGTGTCGTTATTTGTCTTAATTACAGCAGCGGTGGGAGAACATTTCAGATGTTTAACTTGGTTAAAGTGGTAAAACCACAGAGTAAAGCTTCCTGGATTTCAAATCTCACTTAAGTAAAAGTTCTTATTATGCAAAATGGCTTCACTTCAGAATAAAAGTCGTGGGTTTGAATGAGTAATGTGTAAGTATTACTCACGTTGCAGCTTAATTCACGAGAAGCAAATGTACTTGTTCATTTTAAATCGTTTGTTGATAATCTGAACCCCTAAAGAAGAATAAGTATTGGAGTAGAATGTACTGCAGCATGAATTGGAATCAGGTAAAAGCTCTATAACACACTTGTGCAGCATCCTGTGAGTCTTTAGAATGCATCCTTGTCTTCGTGTGTTGAATGCTTCCAGATACCGGACACAATTTAGGCCCATGTATAAGATTGCTTACAAGACCGTAACGGAGCTGGAGTGGAGGTGCTGCCCGGGGTACCAGGGCCACGACTGCTGGGAGGTGAAGGACGTTAAACTGCTCCAAGTGGAGCGCGTGCCCCATGCGCCCTCTGGACATGTTCCAGCCCCACGAGGTGAAAGACCTGATCAGAACTAAGGGAATCCAGCATTGAAATAGTTAATGAATCAAGTTACTGTTCAATGTTCCTGCTTCCCATCCCTCTTTCTGTTCTCGCGACAGCTCCGGAGCAGCGCTCAGAGACCCAGAGCAACCATCCCTGGGGGCAGGAGGGGCAGTTTGGAGGTCAGGCAGGTCACAAGCCCGCGGGGGTTGACGGAGGATCCCAAAGTGCACAACACCTGGAGGAGGAGGTGCAGAAGCTCTCCCAGATGGTCCTCGACATGCAGGCGAGAATGACAGACATGTCCTCCAATCTGAGACTGGACTTCCAAGAGGACGCCAGCAAAATGCTGCTCACGCTGCTGAACAACCACAGACCGCCTGCCACCGCGAGAGGCGAAGAGACGCACACCGTCCAGGTGCAGGACTTCTCTTTCGGGAGCGAGACGACGCAGATGGACGAGGTCATGAACAAGATCGGCCAGGTCTCGGACGATCTGGAGTCCAAGGGCAATGCCCTGGACGACCTGCGGGGTCGCGTCGACCGTCACGGCGAGCAGATTCATCTGCTGATGGAGGCCGCCCACGACCAGCTGTCCACTGCCCCTCCCGGCCCCCCAGCCGGGGACGCCGACCTGCGCGCCTACCTGGACGAGAGGATCGGCGCACTAAGAGAGGAGTTGACGGGGGGCATGGACATCAAACTGGCAGACATGAAGAACCTGTGCGATTATAAATTAATGTCGGTTCAGGAGCAGTGTGAGGGACAAGAAACCAACTACCTCGGCCTGGCGGAGCTCATGGACTCAAAAGAAACGGACCTCCGCAACGAGATCCAGGACCTTAAGACCAAGCTGGGTGATCCGGGAAAGGAAAACGCCCGTCTTGCGGAGAACCTTGAGATCTGTCTGAACTCATCTGGGAAGACTGAAGCTTCCTGTTGCCTCTCCGTAGAGGAGAAGATGAAGAAACATCAGGCTGAGGCCATCAGGGACCTGAGGGAGACTCTGGAGGACAAGCTGACCTCCATGGAAGACACACTCACGTCTCTGTTGGTAGACACAAGCAACCACTCATCAGGCGGTCTTCTGACTGATGAAGACCTCAGCCAACAGAGCTCCCAGAGCTGTAGAACTGCTATCAATGCTATGGAGACTCGTCTAAAAGCCCAATTAAATGGCCTTGGGACCATTGAGGGGAAGCTCCTCAACTTCAGCGCCAGCATTGAGAACCTTCACGGTGAGTTGAGCCATCTGAAAGGGCGTGCGGGCAAGTTGGAGGACTCGCTGTCGGACGTCGTCGAGCAGCGGCCTCCGTTTCACAACGCCACGCGGGCTCGACTGGGGGCCGAGCAGGAGGCCGAGGACCTCCTGGAGCTCCACAGGACTCGGCATCAGGAGCTGAGGAACCGCCTGGACGAGCTGGGCCGGCGGGTGAAAGCCGAGGCCGACCTGTGCAGGGGTCAAACCGAAGACGTCGGGAGGGAGATGGCGCAGATGGGCAGCCGCGTTGGGAGCGTGGAGAGTTTATGCGGCAGGCTCGAGCCTTTCTCCGACAGCCTCCACAGGATCAAGGAGGGTCTGAATAAACACGTGACTGGGTTGTGGACTTGTGTCAACCGGCTGAATGGGACGGTAAAAGCTCACGCCCGCGACATTGGAGGACTGAGGGGAACTTGCGTCGGCCTCCAGCACGGCATATCTGATGTAGCCAGAGACCTTCAGGCGCTAACCAGCGGCGACGCCCGAAAGACCGGTAAGCTGCAAACGTAATTATTCTACTACAGTGATTTAAAGCGACAAATCACCCCGCTTTGAGCATCACAGCCGCTCCTTGAAGACCAATAGTGGACGTCAAGGAGACTGCATCCACATTTCACACAGTGTGTGCAGGAGACTAGCTCAGCGAACGCACTGTTCTCTGCTCGTGCTACTGTACTTTCCATTATCCTCCTTGTTGCATCGGGGCCTTTTCAGCAGCAAGTTGAGTCTCGCTTCAAACACATTTTTACAGGTTGATTTCAGGCTATTTCATATTTATTATTCAGGGAGGTTTAAATGGTACCGGCTTGGGATCTACGAAATCGCTGTAATTTCCTTAACCTTTGAGATCATTGCTTGGACTGATTTAGTTCATTGTCCGTTGGTTTACTTCATTTATTGGGGCGTGTTTTGGTGTGGGAGTGAGAGGAAGTTGGATTTTCATTTAACCATGTTCTCAGTTGCACGAGGCAGGGTTGATTGAAAGCACATGCTTGATGTAATAACCCCCACTTGTGTTGAGCAATGCCTTGGCATTACAAATATATTTTTTGCTTGACTTTTCTGTGCATCCAAGAGTGAATTAATGTCCATAAACTGTAATTGAGGGTCTTTTTTTATTTTTGTAGATGGGGACAGTTGATGTTGATGTTTACCTGTTTTACCATAAATGCTGGAATTAATTGTTACAAACGTGTTGCTGTAAACATTCTTGGGAGCGCAGACTTTCATACTGGTGCTTAAGTCGCATATTTCTCGCATGAGTTTGCGTATTGGAGCGAGCTGCACACATTGGATATTTTAAAAGGCGCACGACAGAAGCACGCCCGTGTTGTTTACGAGCCGACCCTCCTCCTCTGGGGCCGGATAGTTTTGGGGGTTTACGTGGCAGAGGATGCAGCGTACGATCCAGTCCACAATCTCATGGGAGGTGACCTACAGTAAAAAAACAAACAGAAAATGTATCCAAACTTTTGACTGGCTTCTTTATGGTCCTCGTCCAGCTGTCTCAGCCCCCCCTTCCTCAACCTGGTTTCGTCTGGGAGTGCGGGAAATGGTGTCTACTATCGCCGATAAACAACAGGCTTCACACTCTCTATTTGTCTTGACTCCTGGGCCACCCGTGAGCGACATCTAAAAGTCCTCCACTCCCGAGCCTTCAAGTCCATCTGCGGTTTTCTCGCTTTTCTTCTCTTTACCTGCATGGCCGGGTTCCTTTTCTGTTGAAATAAACAGCGTGAAACACTTAAAGCATGCACTACGGTCCCAAGGGTCATAGGTCAATATGTTTACCATGATGTCATACCGACCTTAAATGAGAAGGGTCAGCAGGGGCATGTGGCAATATGTCTTTCTTGAAAGGATCGGGTCGCTTTCAGCGCGTATCCATTGATTTACTGTTGCTTGGCATAATTTATTATGGCTCGCCACAATAAATGAAAGAGAAATACATGAGCCTCTGAGGTTTTGCTTGAAATCCTCGTTTAACAATGGGCCTCGAGTGAATATCCACCAGTTGAGCAGAAGAACTGACCTGTTATAGTTATGGGTTAGTTTAATAACCAAGTGATAAAAATGTAATTACTCTGAGTCTTGAGTATTACGTTGTTAATAAATAGATTTAGATGTAGATATTCTATTCCTTTATGTCTCCTTATCGTTACTATCATATATTATATGAGTAATTAAGGTTTGTGTGTGTGTGTGTGTGTGTGTGTGTGTGTGTGCGTGTGTGCGTGTGTCAGGCACAGGTCCTAATCCTTTCTCTTGCTCATCGCCACTTAAAGCCTCCGTCACGGGGAGCTTCTGAGATAAGGGAGCGTGCTTCCCTGCTGGCGAGGATGCTCAGCGAAGAGGCTCGCTGAGGTCGCTGACCTCACCGGCGATAAGGCGACACAAAGGGGGACGCATTCTGCTCAGCAGTCAAACACGATAACCCCCCCCTCCACACCCCCGTGAGCCAAAAACAAAACAAGACGAGACCCGACCGCATCCCCTCAAGAACTATGAAGCCCCGAGGGTTTGGTCTCATTTTGGCCGCAGTGGGTGCTGCTGTAACTCACTGAAGGAATCCTTTAATCCTCCAATGTCTGGATATTGATTCATAAATCTAAATCTCATGAGCTCAGTGGGCTTTTCTTTGTTTTCCCACAAGTGAGTCATGAAGTCGACCCACGCGACGCTGCTGCCGTGTGGTCCTTGTCACGCGTGATGCCGCTCGTCGGGCCCCCGGGGCTGTTGTGGGTCTCGCTGACCAACAACAAACGGAGGCCTCGCGGGAACGACGCGGGCGAGCCAGCTGCGCTCGTTTACTCTTTGGTCACGGCGATCGCTCCGGCGTCCGTACACACATCCTGTGTTTTCCTCTTCTGTGCCCCGTCGCAGCCGCGTCTGAAACCACTTTAGAATCCAATGTGAGGAGCGACACCGTGTGTGTGTGTGTGTGTGTGTGTGTGTGTGTGTGTGTGGTTTTATGGTTACACACCGGGCCCCCTTCTCCCCACATGTCCTGTTTAACAGGCGCAGTTCTCGGTGCTGCCGTAGCGGAGGATCCACCCCCCCACGTGGGTAGGAGACAGTGTACATCTGAATTAACACGACACTACTATATCGGTAAGCACTATCCTATTGTTAGGTTCCCTTAAGCCGAGGTTTCGGAGTGTGAGAGGGGGGGGTCCCGCTGTGCCACCAGCCAGGAGGGCTGATTGCTTGGTTTTCGGGAATGCAGCGGTGCGTGGCCGAGTTCTCTGTGGCGGCGGCCTGTCATCTTCTTTTGTTTACGCCCGTGAGGACAGGCCCGGACGTCCCCTCGCTGTTTAGCTGTTAATGACAGACCACGGCGGCCGTAAAAAAGGGAAACTTAAAGTGGAAATACAACATAGAACCGAAAGTTATTCCTATGAGGTGCGTCAGTAGTGTAGAAACATTGAAACATGTTGACGCTTTGGACCAGTTTTTCTTATAACTTAACTGTAGTTTGGTCATTTCGTCTCTTCTGCTGATCACTTAAAGGTATTAGATTTCAAGGCCTCATCTGGCGCCTACGTCTGGCTGACCTGAAGCCCCGCCCCCATCGCTCACTCCATGTCTACGTCTTTCAGGTCTTCAGGCCGCCGTGGAGGACGCAGGACCTCTCCAGGCTTCGAGTAAGACCCTCACTGGGCCAGCTGCCCCCCAGGAGGCCTCCCTCCCTCAACCGCCTGTGATGGAGACCGGAGAGGCGGGACCCCCCGGCAAGATGACCTCGTCCAAGCTGCCCAGAGGGACGGACGGCAGCATGATGCCTGTTTTGGGTTTTGCTGGAGCTCCAGGTGAGACGCACACCCGGACGCTTCTCCCCCGCATGTCGTTAGCGATTATCTCGCTTCATCTTGTTCTCTTTCACAGCTCACCCAGTCAAACCCGCTGATGCACTAAAACCCGGCACGCTGGTCGTCTCAGGTAGAAACTCCAGCTTCTCTCCTTTTTGTTTTTACTCAAATGAAAAAAAAAAAAAAAACCTCCTAAATGTGATGAAACTACCTTTCTTTCGGTCAGCAGGTGCGAACGCGCACCGCGGACCGTCGCGGCAGACGGCGCCAGGTCAGAGTTCGGTCGGCCGCGCAGGTCCCCGCCTCTGTTGAAGGTGACGCTTGTCAGCTCACGTTTTGCCGTCCTGTGCTCAGGTGTGACGCCGTCCTTCTCGGCCGGCCTGACGCTCCCGCCCTTCCCGGGACGCGCCGGAATCGTTCGATTCAACAAGGTGCTGGTCAACGACGGAGGACACTACGACGCGCACACGGGTAACCCTCGCTACGCACCGGCCCGGGCATTGGAGCAGTTAAAAACACGACGTGAGGCTCGCTGTCCGTGTCGTCCTCAGGCATCTTCACGGCTCCGACGGACGGCCGCTACCTGGTGACCGCCGTGCTGGCGGCCCGGCGGGGCGAGAGGCTGGAGGCCGTCCTGTCCGTCTCCGACCGCAGCGTGCAGCGGCTGGGCCCCACGGGGCCGGCGGGGCCCCCGGCGGGCGGTCAATGCGACTGCGGCGGCTCGGCCTCGCTGAGCCTCGTCCTGCCGCTGAGGAGAGGAGACCGAGCCGGAATGGTCGTCACCGCCGGGGAACTCGCCGCCTCGGCCTCCTCCGAGGTGCTGTCGTCGTTCAGCGGCGTGCTGCTTCACGCCGGCCCGTCGGAGCGGTAGCGCCGCTGCTTATAGAGACGCCTGGTTGGAAGCGTGCGTCACTGGGGACGCGTAAAGGAGGGAGAGGAAGAAAAGGAAGAGGAGAAAACCACCTCCGAACTCCCTTACTTGCGTCATTAGTACTAATATGCAGCGTGTTTATGACCTCGGTTCTAAACAGAAATACTAGCTTGAACATTTAATTAAATACCAATTGTTAAATGCTAAAATTCTAATTGCAGTTAATCCAATTTATCCACTTTCTTTTGAAATCAGTCAGTTTTTTTTCTCCTTACAATTCATACCAGTTCTCATTATTGCAGATATCTGGTTTAAGCTAAAAGAGTCAACACTCGTTGTTAGTACAGCTTTTTTTAGTATTATATTATTATAGATATTATATTATTAGTACAGCCAAGACAAATTCCTTGTATGTTTGGCATATTTTGGTAATAAATGTTTCCTGATCCTGTTTCCTGATCCTTGCGCTTTTATGAAAGAATCATCCAACATTTGAGTCAACAGTTTAATTGAATACTAATACAATACATGTAATACAGAGTTCATACTTTACACTATAAATGACTTTAAACAGTTTTTCCTGAGCTCATCTGTCACCGGTTAACAAATGCAAAGTATGGAAATACTCCTTAAAGTTGATCACTTTCATAGAAAGAATGCTTTAAAGTGAATTGCAGCTGTTACTGAGCATTAGAAGGATGAAAACAGAAATATGTATTACATTACTATACTTTTCACAATGGCAAAATCAAAACAATCCTGATTTGGGAAAATGACGTAACCCCAAATAGCAGCAGTATTCCATGTACACAAAGTGCAGTTATGCAATTATTATGTACAAGCCAAATAATTTCCCAGTTTGTCCTTTCAAGGGTAATAGTGCAAAACCATTAAGCTTTGGAGCAAAGATGTAAGACATTAAATAAAACCAATAAAAAGGGTGAATAAGGCCTTAAATGGATGAAAACACTGTTCATGTTGCTTTTTTTTGACAGCTTAGTATAATTTTACTCCGTACATATTAAGCAAGTGGCCAATTTTAGCACTTTTAGGGAATTTCTTCTCATAAACCCTGTAACAAAAAAAAAAACTATGAAACTGACGTGTCATACGTTGGCTTTCTAATCTGCCAACAGCGTCTTCAAGAACACCTCAGCTGTGTAGCTCAAGCACGAGGAATGCAGGTGCATGATGGGAATACTCCCAAAGGTCCAGTGACCCACTAAATGGACAATGCTAAAATGGTTCCGTCATAATCCAGCTCTGTTAGTGACTCACTGAACTCGTGGACGCGCGTCCGAGTCAGAGCAGCTCCTCCGGACGCGCCGCTGCGATCGGCTGCCTCCAGTAACAGAAGGAGCTGAACTCGGGGCAGCTGAAGGTGGCGCTGTGCCGCGAGCTCCGCAGGGGGAAGACGTGCTCCACCAGCTCACTCAGCCGGCTGTACCTGTGAAACAAAGCGCAGCGAGTGAAGCCCCGCCCCCCTCCTGTAAAAAAAAACTCCGCCCGTCTGGGCGCCGCTGCTGGAACACTCACGATGTTTTATTGCCTCTGGCCTGCTCCAGGATCAGCTCGCCTCGGGGGTTCACCGTGAGGATCCGGCACACGGGCACGCCCACCTGCTTGTAGGCGAACACGTCCTTCAGAACGGGGGAGAAGACGATTAAGGGACGCCGTCAGTAAGTCATCGCCTCGAACGGGTCGATTTGATGATGAAGAAGAAGAAGAAGTTACGTTAAAGCCGCAACAGAAATGTGCCACGTACGCTTTCTCGGTTTCCGAAGGCTGCGTAGAAGGGATGTGCGTTGGGGAAGAACAGGTTCTTGATGTCCGCGAGGCATTCGATCTTGAACTTCTCTGGCTTTTTTTCGATGACCTCTCTTAACGGGAGGAAATGCAAAGACGGCGTTACTTTAAACATTTATAACCATTTTGTAGAGCGAATGAGAATCCAAATCAGTGCACATACATAGCGAGCTGCAGCGAATTCATGGTTTACGTCCGTACCTGTGGAAGGCCGAGAAGAGGCTGCTGGGGGAGAGCATGAGGGGTCCCTGAGGCAGGAGGGTCCCTCTGTCGTTCACCCGGTGCAGATATCCTCGGGTCATGTCAGCCATGCCGATCGCTCGGGCCGAACAGTACAGGAACTTGTAGCCATTCCTGTGGCGGTAGTGATGCTTTTAATCTTTTTAATTTACCTGAGCCACTTGGCCGGTCTTATTAAACACGCAATAACAACGTTAAATATATTTTTTCATGGGAAAATAAGAAGAAATTTAAATAATAAATTAAAGGCAAGTTGTTCCTAAATGAGGTGAAAAGACATTCGTCCCGCGGTATTACAGTACAGACGTCGCTGTCTTACTCGTGCACTGAGTGGTAAAGCTTGGCGACGCCTTGGTGAGTCCAGTCTTTGCCGAGCTGAGGGAGAATCTGACCGAACACATCTGATCTGTGGGGGAAAAAGAAACGATGCAGGGTAGAAAATACTAATAACTACACTAAAGAGTAAATAGCGGGGAAACGCTCTGTTCTAAACGGATGTGACTGATTTTAAGTCGCGGTGGGATCATTCGCGGCCTGAGGACACTTTTCTCTCTCTCGTACTTGGTGATGGTGCCGTCGATGTCGGAGATTATGACCTTGTCGTCCCAGCTCCACAGGTAGATGGTGCCCTCGCAGCGACACGTCCCCTGGTACTGGGTGGTGATGCTGAAGGTGACGTCATTGGGCCCCTCCCTTAGCTTCAGGGTGGCCTGCAAGACGCGTACAGTCATTGGAGTTTAAAGGCGTTACCGTTAATTCAGCATCGTCAGTCAGTGGATATTGTTATTATTTCTTGTCTTGCATACTACTATCCACACTAGCAGTATCCGTGATCGCTTGTCTTACTATCTGGTCAGAAGACAGGCGGAGAGACTTCTTGTAGGAGTGAAGAGCCGGCGCCGGGCCTTCTGGCTGCTCAGCGGGCGGCGGAGGCAAAGCCTTCAGCTCTTTAGTCTCGTCGTCGCTGGACCACTCGGCTGCTTTCTGCCTGGACCACGGAAAACAGACCAGCAGAAAAATGTTGAGACCAGAGCAGGGACTTTGATTATATGATGTTCATTTAGAGTCACCAGAGGGCAGTGCATCTCCTCCTCTGCCTGCAGCTCTGATTTGTCAAACCGTAAATACACAACGTGCTCTTGACTTCTTATTTTCCACGAAAAACTGTATGCAGCTTAAATAATCTTTAACACAAATAAGAATATTAATAATTACGTTTTGCCCCTGAGCTCTTAAGGCTGAGTTGATTTGTCCCAGAATGACTAACCGGCTAATATGGCCTGTGTGGGACATGTTTACCCAACACGACTCGTGTGTGTGTGTGTCTGTGGTGTTGTGAGGAGGTCTGAGCTTTGTTGCTGACTCACTGTGTTTCTGGCGCCTGGTGGGGGGCGGGACTCTCTCTGGTCAGAGACTCCTGGTTCTCTGACTTGGTCTCTAATGACAACTGGAGAAAGAACAGAGACGTTACCGGCCGTTCTTCACATGACGATGTCGACGATGTCATCGTGACCATGTTGTTGTTTTTTTTACAACCAAACAATGATGTAGACATTTGCAAAGAGACACCGACAGCTTCAACCAGACAACGGCTGTCAATCACAAGGCCCGCCCTAAAGTATGCTTGTGCTAAATTGGAGCGGAATCTACTAAATTAATGTCATGCTGTAATCGGACTTGAAATTCGTTTTGAGACCATCGACTCGTGTTTACAATGTTTCCTTAAGATTAAATCCAGTGACAAGTAGAGTCATTTGTCGAAGACTTCTATACAACCTTATTTTGTTTATCGACCGGAGAGAGGCGCCCCCCGATGGCCATTAGAGAGAATGCAAGTTTTCAAAACCAGAGGTTGCCCTCTGCTGTGAGCACACAGATGGAGGTGTAACTTCATCTAAAAGACTTCCGGCTAAGGTCGCACATACGGTACCTGCTTTATGCTGCTCTTTCTCCAGAACCACCAGCGCCCGGACTTTTTGGGCATCTTCTCCTTCACCCAGGCCTCCTCTGTAGCCTGACATTCAGACAGATGATTCATGTGTCAAAAGACTAAAGGTGCAGCTGCAGCAACAGTATGAACGTGTTGAAATAAAAGGATACCTTTGGAAGGTTCTTCTGAAAAGCCTGCATACTAAGTATTAACGGTGCTGCCAGAGTCCAGTTGTAATATCTGGAGGAAAAAAAGGTTTCATTAGTTAATGATTTATCTTCTCAGACTGTGACGTTTCAGTAACTGAATTAGGAAGTAGGAAAACTCGCCTGTTTGCAATTTTTACCACCAAATTGGGATTGTCGATTATTGCTGGATTCTCTGCAAATTCATTGTAGGAGATGATGTGCTCCATGAACCTTTCTGAAACATAAAAAACCCGACTGAAAAAGATGGACATTGTATTCATGACTTCGAATTGCTGCTAATAGAGACAACTGGGAACCTTTAGGGATCTCCGAGTTCTCCCCGACGCCCCCACACAGCGACAGCGTGACGTCGGGGAGGTCTCCGGCCGAGTCCGACAGACACTCGGTGCCGCTGTCGGCCGCTGCGCTGCCCACAGACTGGGGAGACTGGGATCCAGAGCGCCTCCCCATCTCCACCCAGTCTCTAGGAACCTGTTCGGACTCACTTAAAAACAAACCAGAAAGGTCAGTGTCGTAGAGGCCTGCAGCCCGCATCTTCCTGGCTTCAACTTTTTTAGATACAATTGTGGCTAAAAAGCAGAAGGGATCATAGGACTTCTCTCTGGGAGGATTCCCCGGTTTGTACCTTTTTGGGAAGTACCGGGCAACAACATCTGGATCAAGTGCGGTCAGGTCATCCAGGTAAATGTCTTCAGGCCCCTGGTGTTGGCTCCTCTTCCTCACACCTTTGCATGAAAAGCAGACGAAAGACGCCTTCTCATTTTTCACGTCACTTCCTTTTCTTTGAACTTCTGCCTGTGAATGCAGCCCCTGAATATACACCCAGGCCCAGACGAACGACCACATCCTTCCTGTTCACATTCACTCACATCTGATCTGCATGGAGAGTTTTACACTTTCCCACGCTTAGCAACCAATACACAACTGACTGTGATAATAACAATCGTATCCACCCGATTGAGTCCGCATCAGGTCAATACTGGTATCTTTCTATTTCATTCTTCCCTTAAAATGAACTTTACTTTTACAGTTAATGTGGTACCAGTTTGTTTTTCTGGAAAGAAAGAAACCCGCTGTATTCTGTAATGTATCATTTGTTCATGCTCGACATAAATATATCATCATTCTTAGGACACTTATTATTATCTTGAAACATCTTTTCCACTCAGATACGAAAACAACTGCAGCTGCACCGTACTTACCCCTCTGTTTGACGGGCGAGTCGGTGGGCTTCGAGGGGGTGTCGGGACAAACCGCCGCTGAGTCTTCAGCGACGGCACCTGCGGAGGCGGCAGCGGAGCCGCTGGCCCTGCGGCTGGGCGGCGAAGACTTCCACCGGGTCGCCTGTGCGGGGGTCGGCCTGAGGTCGAGGTCAGCGGGACATGGCTCGGAGGTCAACCTGGACCTCGAATCGGAAAGGTCCGCCCTCTGCTCGGCGACCCGCGGCTCGCAGGTGGGCCGATCGATCGGAATGGTCCGCGGCTCTGGTTTTATGATACCGCAAATGAGATGTGTGGTTCCCTCTCCTTCCCTTTCCTCCACGGCTTCTGTGCTGGAGATAACCCTGAAATGTGTGTTCTCAGAGGGAGTGATGGTCAGCATCTTTGCCTCTGGTTTGTCCTTTTTGGTGACCTGGATGCAAGAAAGAAAGATGGTGTTTACACGCTGAATAATCCTCACTAGGTCTCCAAATTTGAGGATAGGAAAGAAACTTCTGGACCAGATCCTACAAGTCTAGATCTGCATCTTACCCGGGTGGATTCGGGGAACTCCCCCCAGGTCCACTGCATGTGGGACTCGGCCCTGTGCATGCTCTCCGCCGGCTTCACCATCAGCTCAGAGTCGCTCTTGGGCGACGTGGGCTCCGACCCCTCCCTGCTGCAAGCAAACACCACATTTCCACTGAGTCAGCCGTTATGGCCTTGTGGTGATTTTGTTTTGTTCAGCCCTTCCTGTTTTGGTGAAGCGGGTCGTCTCATTGTTTCTGTCTGCCCCTGTGCACAGTGTAAATATTGACTACGGGGGTTGACGTACCCTGAGCCAGGGGACCAGTCTCCATCCGAGAAAGGGTAGCTGTCCCATTCCAGGCCCGTCGGGGTGGAATGTTGCCTGTGGTCCATGGGGTCCTTCATCAGGGTGAGCGCCGATGCCCTGACGCCAGGAAGAAATGAAATTAACCAAAACATGCACGACGACTAACGGGGATCCATCTTTTAAACTCCCAAATTACCCTCCATTGTGCCCACTGTTCTCCTCGTCTGAGCTGAGCTCGCACAGCTCCAGCTCCCCGCCCGCGGGTGTGGTTTGGCCCTCCTTCCGCGGCTCGGCCTTGTGCTTTTTTCTGCGCCTCCTCTTCTTCTTGCCGGCCGTGTTGGAGCAGGGTTGGATGCTTCCAGAGGACGGGTCCTCTGGACTCCGAGGCTGAGCGCTCTCCGACGCAGAGCCGCCACATCTGGGTTCTCTGCTCCTCAACAGGGCCTCCTCTGTGGGGATGGGGGAGGTCACCAGGTGGGCCGGAACGATCTCCTGTGAAGAACAACGACAAACAGGATTGAGAGTCTACACCCGTGCTGCTGCTAAATGCTAAATGCTAACTATGTTCACTGTCTTAGTTTTAGTTTAGACTCATTTAGATTATTAGTAGAAATAAACAACATGATAGTCTCCATTGAATATGGACTCACGTTGTGCTGCTCCGTCTCCTGGACAAAAAAGGCCTCTCCATTGTCTCCAAGCTTCATGTGCAGCTCTACAGGTTCCCCGTTGATTTCTATATCGATCTAAGGAGTCAAACAAAAGCTTTCTGTGAGAAACATTTTGGACTTCACCGGGAAGTTCAACACGGCATCAATGCCGTTTGTTCATGCACAACACAGCTTATGGTAAAAAAGAAAAACCCCGAGCAGATTTCAGATTTACCTGAAGAATTAGAGTTAAGCCAGAGAAGGAAACAAACAGGGAACAGCTTGTACGTGGCTCGCTGCTTTCAGCAAATGCCACACGCTTCTATGCATGTGTGGAACTGACCTCGGTGCAATCGGGTTTAAAAGGGTCAATAACATATGAAGACATCCAGTACATGAGCTTCTGAAAGGTCACAATCTTTCATTTTATCAATAAGGTTGCAAAACGTCTGCGTGAAGTGTCTGCAAGGTGACCACATGTGGTGACGGGTCTAAACGCATCGGAGGATAGACCACGAAATACTGGAGAAGCGGATGTGCACTCACTACTTTCTCCCTGGAGCGCAGCACTCCCAGTTTCCCAAAGCGGACGTGGAAAGGGGAGCACTGGAACGTCCCGTCGGGCTGCCGGACCACCACCACGTCGATGCAGCCCGACAGCGTGGCCTGGTTGATCCCCTTGTACAGCTCCTTCACCGTCACCAGCAGCTGCCCCACGTAGTTCATGGTGTCCACCTGAAAAGACCCGACTACTTTGTCACCTTCTCAAACAGAGAGGCTGCGCGCTCGGCGTTCTCCTGGCGCCCCGCTGGGTTCACGGGGTCCCGGTAGCGAGGCCCCCGTTGTTCAGAATAGTCTGCCAGGGAAATGGCAGCCGGTCCCTGAACGCAGCAGCTCTGTCCCATTTTCCTCAAAAGAGTCCTGAGCAGAGTGTGTGTGTGTGTGTGTGTCTCTGCCACATTAAAAACCCCAATTTGGGTCATAATAACCAGCCACTCGGGTTCTTCTTAAAGTCGCACGTTGCTACCTTACAGCTCAGCGACGCACCAGCCGTTTCCTCTGGATCCTCCCTGCGAGTCACGCGAGGGTCATTATGTGCTCGCACCTCGGCTCAGCGCCTGTAATTACTGTCGAGGACATAACGGCAGCTTAACTTCAGGGCTGAAAGAAATAGTATAGCGATATAACGATGTGTCACGATATAGTTGTATACACAGTATACAGTCGCGCGATGTCTCGATAAATGATTTAATCACGGTTTGATCCATTAGCCGGACGATAAATGACCATAAAGAAAAGCTTCACTCTCTCTGTATTGAAATGGGAATCTTCGTCGCTCGTTTAACGCGCCTGGATGAGAGTCATCAGCTGCACGCACAATCTAACTCGCCACGTTTAGAAAAGAGCCTCAACTTCAACCACAGCTCTTCACTCTCTGCTGCAGCACTTCAGTGCTGAATAAATGTGTTGTGGTACGACGAGTCCGGCCTTACCCTTACCCGACAGGCGAAGCCCAATGACGAGGACGGGTCAAAGGCGAGGAAGCGGATTCTGAGTTTTCAAGGTCAAATCCGATATAACGAAAGCAACTTTTAGAAGCAGAGGCGGTTGTTTTGTGCTTCCATTTCGTGGTTGTACATTCACAGGAAGCGAAATGCGATGACATAATAGTTTCACTCTGTCTCGAGGCAATAACACAGCCTGCATGGAACCGGTACATTTATTTTAACAAAGGCCAAACAAACTCCTAACGCTTTATTTTTTGTGCCATATTACAAAACGGGCCGGCCCTTCGGTGACGCAAATCCAGTGCAGCCAGAACTCCTCGGCGACACTCCGAGGGGACCTTAAGAGGTGTTAATCCTGTTTGCGAGATTAGAACAAATCTAGCTTTCCCTGTCTCGGCACGTTTGTCCCAACGCGTCCACGAGGACAACGTGAGTCTGAGCCAGCCGGGGTCGAACCAGTATGCTCACTGTGTTTTTCCCTCAGCTACAACTATTGTCACCTTGTTTTAGATATCAACAGTTTCAATTGGGTCGTCAACTCTGTCTTTATTTCAGCCCAAATACCATGTTTTACAATTACTTGGATACTTCCACTGTTACTGCTCAGTCAGTTCTATGCACAGCAGTTATAACACTTGCTTACAATTAAGATGTAATGCAGCACACTGACATCAGAATCCTCCCTATTTGTGTGTACTGTTTAACACAGTGCAGTGATTAAAGCTGCTCCGTACGTGTGAGGTTCTACAGCAGGTTCTAAAGCATCTACCTCCTTCATATAAATGTAGTCCAATCTGCAAAAAGCACCTTCACACGTGACTCATTCGGTATAACAAAGTATTTAACACATACGGTGCGTTTAAGGGACACGACCCGAGGGTTTAATCGGACAAACGCGACATTTCTGAGAAATGCCAGAATCGTATGAACAGCAACAAGGCGTCGTGGTAAATACCCGCTTTATCCTCACGTGCACCGGTCCGCGCGCATCGCAGATATGCGCACACGCAGCACCGCGGGACGTCTCGGTACTTCGCGCCTCTCAAGAGTTCCACAAACGCAGCACGGCCGTGTTCTGTCTCGTCCGGTGATCGCAGCCTCGTAGCCGCTGCAGAAGAGGCTCCTCTGCGGGAGTCGCACCTCCGGTCGGCTCGGGCGCCGGTTTGAGTCTCCGGTGCCGCTGCTGTCGCGCAGCCGGGCGGGTCACGTGATCCGGAGGCGTCCCGCTCCCCCCCCCCCCCCCCCAGCTGGCCGCAAAGCGCGGCGGGGCGGGAGAGGTTGATCGATTATTGGAGGTTTGTCCGAATAAAATGTGCAGTTAAGCAAATTGTTTTTTACGTACAATGCTCGTCAGTTTCCTTGTTTATGTTTTATTCTTAGATTTATTTTCAGAAGTCGAACATCAACCTTTAGCATGTTCAGCATGTTCATTTATATCTACATTTATTTCCAATGATAAATCAATGAAATTGCTTAGTTCAAAACCATAAATCCTAAATGGTGATATAACATTTCATTGTATAATAGGAAGAGTGTATATTGTGTAACGTGTATTTCTTGTTCACATTGCAGTACAGTATTCTTACATTTTTATTTAATGTTGATTAGGGCCTATGTTGTATTGTGTATTGTTGTATTCTGTGTAGTTATATTTTGTTATTAATTAGACAAATATGTCTAATATTGAGCATTTTTGGGAGGACCCTGATATTTAAGTTGCTTAGTGCTTTTTGTGGATATGAAAGTTCACAATTTGACAATCTATTGCACTATTGCAAAAATAATGTGATTTCATTTGAAAACACATTTTCCCCTCCCATCACTTGGAGGTCAGAGGTCCAAATCAGCTCCAGGGCAGCAGTCCTGCAGGTGGTTTGAGATTCTCAGGTATTTGCTCCTGCACAATTTAGTGGGACAGTTTAATCTGAACCCCCAACCCCAACAATGGGCAGTGTGCCAGCATCAACAATTCAGTTGCTCTGCAGGGAAGTACGAAGTTTCAGTTCCCCACCAAACACCTGCTGAGTCAGACCGTGACTGGATGGTTACACAGGGATTTCCCACATTGGGAACTTGTCAAGTTTTCGGCTTGAATTTCGAAAGATTTTAACTACCTCGCACAAAAACATTTCTTCCTAAACCGTAAAAGCAATGTTCTTTAGAGTATGAGTGCGAGTAAAGTCCCATGAGACATTTATTTTATTGCACAAATGTGGACTATTTTTATCATTAATATTTGATAAGAGCAAATGCAAAGTCTAACTGGAAACGCATCAACCATATACGGCTTAAAAGCCCACATCAAGCTAATATAATCAATCGTTTTCTCTATCAGATTGAGTGTGTTTCAGCTGCGGGCTCCTCTGCTGTGTCTGCCGGCGGCTCGGATGCTTCTGACTGCTCAGCGGTCAAAGGCCGGTCAGCAGCAACTACTTCTGCACCCCCTTTTTGTTCGGGATCGCGAGCTTCGGGTTCCGCTGCAGCCTTCTCCACTGGAAGCGTCTTAGTTACAGATTCTGAGAGCAAAACAGACATTAGTCAACATTTCATCACTGTCGTGTTTCGGACGTCACATATTTCCTTTCAGGCCTCTCACCCTTCCTCTTCTGCTTTTTGGTTCCAGTGACTGCGGTCTTCATCTTTTCCTTCGGGGTGTTTGGTCCAAACACCACGTTTCCCTCTGCGTCGGTGGAGTACGAGGTGGTGCCGAAGTCAGGCGTTTCCTCCACGATCTCCAGCTGAGAGGAGAAAGTCCCCAGTTAGACGTGTGCAAGAAGCCTCGCTGGCACCAGAATCACACCAGTACTTACCCGGGACGTCCAGTGAGGTCAAAACTATCCGGACACACTGTTTTCGCCTGATGTAATATTTTTTACCCATTTGCATTCAGATTGAATGTTTGACTGACTCACAAAGAAAGTCATTGCTTCATATTCCCTATTATTTAGCTTTTTCAATGAGATGCTTTTAAAATGTAAAAAATGGACATAATGTTAACAATACCAATATTAATAATAATAATAAAGCTTCTAAAGTTTCTAGTACCTATGTGGAATTGTTTTTTTATTGTTTAAATGTAGAACTAAGCCTAGAGACCTCCGTACCTGTCAGACTTAAGTTCATGTCATATTTTAACATTTTTTAATAATTTGTTTTTGATTACGATCAATGCCACTCATGTCTGTTAAATACAGGCTTCAATGAGGAGACAGGAGATGCTGAAACAGCCTCTGCCCAAAGCTCATTAATTACCAGCTTGTATCTCCGTTAATGAGCACCAAAGGTTAGTTTTACATTATGTCTTGGATTGCTCGTGGTGTCTTGCTGCAGTAGCACTCAAACAAAGAGAATCCTCTTGACTAGTGTTGTCATCACTCTGGATTGTTTTGGTGTGAGTTGCGTAGTTTTGGAGAAATAGGCTGTAGAGATCTGCCTTCCCTCCAATATAATGTTGAATATATGGCTCTCACGAAAAAGTGCTCCTAAACTAAACTGTGGATTATCTTGATCATACAGACCTATTTTTACCCCCTTTTCTATTCATTTGGTTTATTGCCCTGAAGTGAAAGCAGCTTTATTTGCCGGCCCTGTTTGTGCTCCTCTTAAAGTGTTTTTTCTCCTGGTTGCCTTCATGCTGGTGGTTGATCTTCTAGAAGTCTACAGAAGTGGTGCCTGGGCGTGAAAATGCAACCAATCACCTAGAAGGTAGAAAGTGAACAGTGGAGGCTTCAAACCCAAGTGAGACGACTCAAAGAGGAGGAGGAAGTGGAAGTGGAGGAAGTGGGGAGGTACATGCTGGTTTTTATTAGTTTCTCTGATGCAATAACAACTGTTAACCAACAGTGATCAAAACGGTCTTTATTACAGTGGCTTCGTTATCATCAAAATAAAAGCGGTATTATCAGAATTAATGATGCACCGTGAAGGTGATTTCACATCATTGGTGAAACACGTTACAACAATGTTGTAACAATAAAACAGGACTAAATGACACTGCATGTTTCAGCCCATTTGCAACAAATGCATCAACCTGTACATGCAACAGTGACTTTTGCGTTACATATTTTACTAATACAAACTTAGATAAAAGCATGGCTCAATCTAATGTTAAAGATGTTCTTTTTTGGCAGTAAAGTATGAATAATTTCTAGCAAATGGGGTAAAACGTGTAAAAACGTTTGGTTTGGCTCTTTGATTTAACGATCCATTCGTCCCATCAACACGACACGTCTGAAACTACATCTTTGGCTTTAAAAATGAGTGCAAACGTTCCTCTCCGCACGCCGCAGCTTCACTCAAACTACATTGGAAATTAAAACAGTTCTGAGGTGATTTTTTTCTTACTGGGCCAAATGCTAATAAAAATAACTCATCACAACACTCATTTTGGAGTCAGCACCTCTAGAGAATAGAACACAAACCCCCTAAAAAAAAAAACACACCCTGAAGCCGGTTTTCTTCCCCTCAGCTCTTTCCAGTGTCTTCTTTTTCCCATTTATACATATTTACGACAAGATGCGGAGCGCTTTTACTTCTTCTTGCCGCCCGCCTCTTCGGGCATGAAGACACTTACAGTGAAGTCCCCGCTCTCCGTGCCGTACTTGTTCTTCACCAGGATGCTGTACTTGCCGGAGTCCATCGTGTTCACGGCGGTGATGGTGAAGCTGGCGAACTTGCCCGAGGCGATGCTGAGGATGCAGTGGTCGTCGGAGGTGATCTCCCTGTCGTTCTTCAGCCAGGTGACCTCGGGCAAAGGGTCGCCCGAGATGTTGCAGGTGAGATTGAGGGCCTGTGGGAAACATGTCCACGGCACGCGTTTAAGACCACACCGGAGTGACGAGATTGTGCGCGCGTGTCTGGTGGGAGAGCTTACCTTGCCCTCCTGGATGGTGACCACGTCGGGAAGGCCTCCTGCTACTCGAGCACGACCTGAAAGGAACAACGTCAGCTCCGAATGACTGCTTTTAGTCTACGGCCATTCAAACAGGGTTCCACATTCAATACTGGATGTGAGAGGTAGAATAAAAACATATTTTACAGGACTTATAGAGTTATGTGATCTGACTTTTAAATAAAATCCAAGTTGCAGCATTTAAAACTCATTATTTATCATTCTAAAGACAATAATGACACGTCTTATGGATGAATCATCACCTACAGACCATAACTGTGACACTTTAAACTAGGTACACTCACTTCTCTCTGCAATGGCAGCAGCTCTGATGAAATGAAGAAAAGAGAGAGTTAGTTTTCTGAATGTTGTTCCTCAAATCATTGAGCATTTAAAAGTGATACGGAATAAGTAGCTCACTGGAGTCTCTTGAATTCTGCAAACGCGTCGTCAAATGCTGCAACACAAAAACAAATGAAACAATGATTTGAAATAATGCAAAACAAGTGCAAAAAAATGAATTTGAATGATACAAATAAGTACAAGAAGTCTATTCGAGTCTATCATCAAACGTTTCACCTTGACCGGACAGCTCAACGGTCCTCCGCAGGCCCGCTTTGCCATCGTGGAACTCGATGGCGTATTTGCCCGTGTCCTTCTCCGTGGGCTCCGTGATCTGCAGCCACAGCTGCTCTCCCACCACGCCACTCTTCACCCGGTCAGAAAAGGCGATGGCCGAATCCCTGAAACACAGGAACATGAGCACGACGACGGTGCAGACGGAACCACACGCACTTTACTCTCAGGTGGAGCCATGAATGCGTCAGCTGGAGTGTGTGTAACTGATAGATTTGAACAATGAACACACAGACTGCGATGCAGGCGTAGGACCTACTTGTAGTGCCACGTCACTTGGAGTAAATCGTTGTAGAAGTTGACGAAGGTGTAGAGTCGGACGCCCTCATCAGTGCTCGTGATCTTCAGCGGGGTGGAGGAATTGGCTGGAATTCAAATATCAGTTTTGAAATAAAATGATTCAAATTAAAAACGATTCATGCACCGAAATGTTTATTGCGTGGACTAAACGCTCATCTTCTCACCGATAAAACTGAAAACTTCATTCATCAAGTCTTTGAAACCTGGAAAGGGGGCAGATTTGATCATCAGAGAGAGATAGATTTGCTCCAGTATCGATTCGCTTGTGTCAGTTTGTGACTTCAAGGTTCACCTTGATCCGTCAGATTCAACGTGGACGTGTCTTTCCCTCTGTCGTCCTTCAGAACGACTTCGTACACACCAGAGTCCTTCTTGGAAATCTGACACGGAGCACGAGGTCAAACTCTTTGAGCGAGGATTCCACCATCAACACTCATATGTGGTGTGACATAATTATAACACACATATATATTTAATAACCTCTCCCCTTTCTGATATTCTTACTTGAGCAATTTCCAGCTTGAGGACTCCCTCGGTGAAGCCGAGACTGTCGTCCGCTTTGATCTGGTGGCCGTCTTTGTACCACAGCGCCGACGTCTCCTTCTTCATGTTTCCAACCTGGCGACGGATGGAAGTCGTTGACTGAACTCGCCATTAAAAGAACGCGTGCAGGAGAAAAAGCAGTCACGTTTCTGTCTCACCTTGCACTTGAGGATCACGCAGCACTCTTGTGTCACCTCATAACTCAAATACTCGATGAAGTGAGGACCTGCAACCAACATGGCACTTATTAAAAAGAAAACTCATATCACTTAATGAGAAAAGTATCAACATTTTTGATATACTTGCAGCTCTGAAACATGAATATTAGACATGCAGTCATCGGTACCTTGCTTTCTGACCCATTCTTTCATCTGGAACTCTGATTCCTTCTGCAGCGCCTTGAACACTGCAAGTAAAACAAGTTTACAATGTTAACAAACCGCAGATCTTAACCATGATATTTGTTGCAGCTGGTAAAAGTTGTAACATGAAACAAAGTTGCTCAACTTGAACACCTGAACACTGTCACGTAATAATGATTAGAATCTGGTTTAACTGCCAGCTGTCAGTCTCAAACAGGCTAAACTGCCTGAATCCACCGTAATGGAATAAGTGATTGACTGAGCGTACCGTCGCCTATCAGCACCAAGCTGGACTGGTTGGTCGCTTTGCCATCCTGCAGCTGGAAGGTGAAGGTGCCCTCGTCCGCCGGAGTCAGACAGTCCATGATCATCTCGATCACGCCGGTGTTTTTGTCAAAGTTCATTTTGTATTTCTACAAAACAACAAAAAGCGACGGCTTTAAAACCCTTCTTTTTTTTTTTTTCACGGGATTCCGGCGTATTTTATGGCTTCAAAATTGTTCACTCACGTCCCCCTGAGAGACGGCGTTATCGTTGAAGATGTAGTCCACTTTGCCGTTAGCCGTCATCTTGTCCGCCTGCAGCCAAAAGCGAACCTTTCCCTTCTCCAGCAGCTCCACGGCCAAGTCCGACTTCAGCGGAATAACTGGCGCGAAGGACGAGGGAGAGACAACTTTAACAAACAAAAAACTGTCCGGTCCACGACGTGCTTGTGACATGCTGACGGACTCACCGGGGAACTTGTGGTCATGACTGATCACCAGCAGCCTCTTCAACTCTGTAAAATGCACCAGGAAATCATTCACGAGAAGAAGCACAGTAATTCATTTGATTTCCATATTAAACCGTGTCATTTATTGACCCACCTTCTTCAGAGAGACTGTAGCTGGATGAAGCACCATCAGTGTGGGTGACCAGACATGAGTAGATACCTACGTCCTCCTCCGCAGGGGTGTTGAAAGCGGCTTTGGACCTGAAGAACAGAGGAGAACTACGTCAGATTTCAGGTCGATTTGTGTGTCAGTCAAAGAGTGTCCACCTAAAAAAAGAAAGTCCTCCCACTTGTTTCCCTTGGTCTCCATAGTCAAGCGGGACGGATCCGTGATCTCCTCGTAATTCTTGGACCACACAAATTTGGAGTCGGCCGTCATGTCGCCGCACTCAAAGTTCAGGGAGACGACGCCGTTGTCATCGACGTCCACCACTATCTCCTTGGTGCCTGGAAACCAAGAGACGATATATTTTATAGCAACGAGCTCCTCGCCGCCACTTGGTCCCAAGCAAAACATCTCTTCCCCCCCCCCACCTGGTTTGGTGAGCGCCACGACCGGCTCCGTCACGGCGGAGACTTGTCCAACGCCGGCGTAGTTCTGGGCGCGCACCCTGAACACATATGACTCTCCTTCCTTCACGTCCGTGATCTGCGAGATGGAAGAAGAAGTTGAGATCAAGGATCACCCGCGGATCACAGGGAGGTGCTCGGGGGGGCGGCGACGGCGACCTTGATGAACGCGCTCTCCGTGGCCTTGGTGTTGACTCCTCTCCAGGCCTCCTGCGGCGCGCCCGCCTCCTTGATGTCGACGTAGAAACCGTTGACCGGGTCGCGGCCCTGGTACACAGGCGGTTTCCATAGCAACACCAGGGAGTCACTCCGGACCTCTCTTACTTGCAGGTCGTGAGGAGGCCCTGTGGTGAAATACAAACTCAGGCTTAATAACTGCAGATCAGTACGTCTGATTAAGTTTTACTAAAAGGATCAGTAAACAATCGTGGACACCGAAAAAGGAAACATGCTGCAACGTTTTACGTCTTTAATAAGCAGTACAAAAAAAAAAGGATCGTATTACCAAGACTCATAAAAAAAGCAATGCCTTTCTCCCACTTAAATCATCCATTTAACAATAAATACATTAACAACAAAATACAGTAAATTGGATTTTCTCGTAGGAATAAGTTAGTCGATTTGATGACATGTTATAAATGTGAGTTTATGCAAAAGCCCCACTTTAAATTTTGTGTTTTCCCAAGATGTGCTATTGGGTTCCTCGGAAATTGTGTAAAAGGCACCAAAAACACAACTCAAACCACAACATCCCACTGGACAGGCTGCCCAAATAGTTTCATGTGGATGGTGGGATCTTTTTTTAAGTAGACATAAGAACATTTGTCATTCTGCTGCGTGGAAGGAACCGACCTGGCACGGCGATGGTCCACTCCTCGCACAGGAACGTGTCACTGGGCTGCGACGGGATGCCGACGCCCGCCATGTTGGCCGCCCGCACCTGGAACTGGTACTTCTTGTTCTCCCTCAGGTCGGACACCTGCAGGGCCAAAAGGGACACGGAGATGAAGCTCGCGTCCGCCCGAAACCCTCCCCCACCACCACCCCCCTCGTCTGGGCTCTTGGCCTCGACCGACCCACCCTGTAGGCCCTCTCACTGACGGCCCTGGTGTTGGCCTCGTGCCACTTCTCCGGCACGCCGTCGACGACCTCGCGGTAATCCAAGAAGTAGCCGGTGATATCCGCGCCGCCGATGAAGCTCGGCTGCTTCCAGGCCAGCACCATGGAGTCGCGCACACACTCCAGGACGGAGATGCCGAAGGGAGGAGCCGGGGAGGCTGAGACGACAGAACGCGCGCATTAACAGGAGAGACAGCAGGGCGGTGTAGTGGGAAACTGAAGCGCTGCAACGAGGCGATGCTCTGATTCATTTATACTTCTTCAACTTCTAAATCCTTGTAAAAAAATCTATTTAATGAATGCATTGGAGATAAGTCGATGCTGACGAGCTTCAGTGTTCCACTACAACCAATGTTTCCAATTCAAGGAGGTAAGGCGCCGTTAGAAATGACTGCCTTCTAAAGCCAAAACATCCCTGAAGTCTCTGCTGTTAAACACCTGCAGTGACAGATGTTGATATCAGGCTTCTGTATTATGATTTGCTCAGAGGAACAGTTTGAGAATTTGGGCCATTCTTTGCTTTCTTAAAATGAGCTGAAAAGGGTCGATACATCTGTCACGTATAAACGCTAAATGAGAAGCAACGGCCAGAAGATGGTTAGCTTAGCATAAGACTGCAAACAGGAATGGAAAATTTAGCCTGATTTTATCCAAATAAAGTGACATACTAAATCACACTAAAAGGCATCTTATTAGTTTTATTATGTACAAAGAGAGCCAGGTTTCTCCCGAGTCTATGCTAAGCTAAACTTATCTTGTTCTCATCCAACACAAGAAAGCGAAAAGGCAACCAGATTTAGAAAAATGTCCCACTGTTCTTCTGTTCTTAATTAGAAGGTAAGAAGTGACACAACAACAGAAAAAGTGATATCTGGGACTTGGATGAAGAAGCAACAGTGAGAAAAATGTTCCTCCAAAAGCAGGATCGTGTAACATTGTGATAACAAAATGTCCTCTTGTCCATACTGCCCCTTTTTTTAGGGGTGAGAAGTTGGTCAAAGCGTCCCAGAGGAGAATATCTGAGGGGGTACACGGTGCGCGACCAAAAGGGTGTCAGGTCAAATGTCTTGTGTTGGCTGGATGTCCCGCTTTTGAAGTACAGGGTGTGATTAGCCGACTCCTCCCATGACGTACTTACGCGTGCGTGCGTGTGCGTGTGCGTGTGTGTGTGTCAAAGGGCTCTGGGTACTGAATGTGACGGTAGGTCCTGAGGTGCATGAGGTGACGTTAAGCCACCCAGCGGGGGGGGAGGCAGCGGGCGTTTGGGGAAGTGTTGTTCCGGGAAAACTAGTATCAAGCGTGTTGTTAAGGTTTGCTGGTGTTTTACGCACTTACCTCAAGGAGCAGAACACCGGTACTAAACTATCCTTTGCCTGTCTGCCATGTGAACATGAAAGAGTCCGTGACCCGGGGCTCACCTGTCGACCCCCTCCGGGGCCCCGCCGCCTCCCGATCAGCAGAAGCGTCTACAGACAACTTACGTGCGCCGGGCCCACAGCCCGCGGCCGAGGTGACCGGGCCCCCCGCGGTGACCGGGCCCCCCGCGGTGACCGGGCCCCAGCGCGCGGACGCGGCCGCGTCAGTTAGTGAGTCACAAGCGGAGTCAGACGCAGACTCTGAGACCAGGTCTTTTGCCGGGTCAGGGGCCCAGGACACACTGCCTCTCTTGCCCCCCTCGCGTTTACACTCCCCGGGTCGGGGCGGCGCGAGGGCGGAGCTGGCGGCCGCGGCCCCCTGCCCCCCGGCTTCAGTGTCAGCCTGAGCTTTATTGTGCTTTCGCATAGTGTCGGGGGGGGACTGGACAGTTTCATGCGCGCCCGTCCAGCGTGGCCTGTGCTCGGTTAGTGGGCCCGCGTTACCCCCCGGCCCCATCTCGGGCAACACACCGTGAGGGATGCCGCCCCCTACAGGAGGTTTCAGAGAGAAGCAGAGGAGGCTTTTAAAAAAAAAAAAAAAAGCAAAGAAGACGACCAGAGACAGAAATATTATTACATTCACTTATCAAATTGCAATAAGATGTCTTCATCTGACCCGGAGTGAGAAATGAAGACAAGATGATCAACATCCATGTGAGGAGGTGAGTAGACTTCGGGTGATGAGAGCATGCAGACGTGTTGTAGGACACGTCATGACTGTGCAGCACAAATCCGCCATGAAAAAACACTGTTCTTTGGTAACAATGCCAAGTATAAACATTTAATAGTTAGTGTGTGTGAATTAGCTAGTTCATGTAAAGTAACTATTTTACTATTTCTCCTCAACAAGAAGAAATTAGAGTTTAACCTTTACTGGATAAGATATAATGTTAATTAAGTTTGTTGGTAATTGCAGCAGAACAGCCAATTACATGTATTGTAATTTAACAAAGTAGAAATAAATGTATATTACGTGACAACTTTAAAATCATTGGCATTTTTTACTAATTGTGTACTAAGTGAGTGTGTTTCATGGGGGAAAACAAAGAGTAGAACAGAGCTGGTGAGTGAGTGAGTGACATTCAAAGGCTGAACGATATGCTGGTTGTGACTTTAGGGAACAAATGCAGAAGAGCAGGATTGGTCTGTTTTTGCACAAGTATGTGCTCCAATTTAATGTTATAATTTACTGGCTTTCACTGGGATTGTATCTCAATGTGGAGTTTTTCCTTTAGTGAATTGTATTACTCAAACAAACATTTGCCTTATGTTGAGATCTAGAATTATTCTTCATTCGTATTATGATATAATATCATTATTGTAACAATACTGAGGGTTTTCAGCCCTACTATTTGTAAAGTGTTGCTAGTTACAAAGAATGTTTCCAATTTCCTAAACCATTTTTCCGCATACTTAAATTGAACAGAACAATTCCACGGCCGGGTTAGCTGCTGTAGGAGAACTCGGTGCCGTTTGAGGGTACCGGAGGGGAGGGAGAGGTGTGTCTGCCGCTACCTTTGGCACCACGATGTGATGCCGACGCGACTTTTTCTCCAGGAAAGGTGAAATGGGGTGTGGGAGGGTGGTGCTGGTGCTGGTGGTGGTGGTGGTGTGTGACAATGGGCTGGTTTGCAAACAGCCGTTGCATTGTGTCGCACTGACCCACATTAGATGAAGAAGTCTACAAGTCCTGACCCCGCCTCAGGCTGTGCAGGGGGGAGGAGGAGGAGGAGGAGGAGGGAGGGTGGATGTGGCTCGACAAGGTGGTGTTTAGGTGGGGCACATAACAGTGCAGAGTAACGTGGCGGGGGTGACACAGGGTGGAACCATGGTGGAGAAAGTGTGGGGGTGCAGATGACATGTCTCAATAGACGACATCACGTTGAAATGATTTTCCTTCATGTCCTTACATTTTTTTCTGTTTTTCCTCATAATAAATGTAAACATACATTAAAAGAAGATTCTACCATTTGTGGCAGTATTTAATCCAACGACATGGTTTGGTGTGCAATGCATTTCAAAATTCATCTTGCAGGGAAATTTCCTCTTCTTGTTGATCTCACCTGAACCCGCCTCCCGACTACAACTACTTCAGGTTCCTACATTTCCCAGAATGCCTTTTGTGTTTTTACATGTTACAATCAAGAATTCATGCCTTTCATATTTTCCCTTTTAAATTATTAAATAAATAGATTTTGTTGTGCTGCGTTGCAGCCAGTTGAACCTTGTTTGAATGCAAATCAGCACAAATTAGACCTCTGTTGCATCTCAAATTATGATTTCTCGATTGTTATATAATTAATGCAAAATAATCTGTTTTTTAGTGAAAATTACATTTTCACGGTGAACTAAAATAAAATATGAATTCACTCACATAATTATCTGTGTTGCAATATTTGTACACAGATGTTAAAAATAATGTCTAACAAGGCTAAATGAATTTAGAAATGCACGATACAGCACCAACAGCACATTTTCAAACATTATTAAAAGCATTTCCTTGGCGGCGGGTTCCTCCTTCCAACCCACTACGCTATACTCTACTTCTCGGTGCCCTCTGACCCCTGAGGCCTCTTGTACCTGACATGTGAACCCTCGGTTTCGCTCACCGATAGCAGCCTTCACCTCCACCGGCTCAGACTCCGGGGAAAACTGGCTGAGCCCCGCGGCGTTCACCGCCCTCACCCTGAACACGTACTTCTCCCCCGTCGTCAGGCCGTGGCAGATGAACCTGCAAGCGGGATCGGGGGCAACGAGTTCATACGGAGCACAATGGGCCCGCGCGGGGCCTTTCGCGTCAAAGAGGAAGAGGGGGGGGGGGGGGGGGGGGTCACCTCACCTGGTGGCGTTCACCGGTTTGTTGTTGCACGGCTCCCACGCGCCGCTGCCCACGACGCTCCCCTCGATGTAGTATCCCACCATCTCCTTGGCCTCCCGCGACGCCTCCCACGACACCACGACCGACGTGTCCGTGTTTCGGGTCGGGACGACTTTGCTCGGGGCGGACGGGATGTCTGCGGACCACAACGTTTGCACACGTTTCTTTCTTTCTCGCTTTCGTCAACTCTGAACGTCGCCGTCGCCACCGACCCACTGACCGAGCTTGTCGCCGACGGTGGTGGCCTCCGTGGGGTCGGACGGCTCGCCGACGCCGGCCGAGTTGCAGCAGCGGACGCGGAAGCTGTAGGACTTCCCCTCGGCGAGGTCGAACAGCGCGAAGCGAGGAGACCTGACCGGGATCTCCGTGTTCACCCTCTGCCAGCTGTCGGTGCCCGAGACGCACTGCCGAACGGGGCAAACGAGGCGTTAGGCGCGGCTTCAACGGGACGCACACGTGAGGGAACAGGGTGTAATTTGTTACCTTTTCCACGTAGTACATGACGCCCTCGAGGCCTTTCTCCCCGGGTGGGTTCCAGCTCAGCACCACGTAGTTCTTGGTCGCTTCGGTCACCTGCAGCTCAAGAGGTCGGCCGGGGACGATGCCCTCTGGCGGCCCAACGGCAATGAATTAGGTCCCTGAACGCACCTGGTTCGGAGGCGTAACTCGTATAGATGATGTGATTCCCTACCTGCAGGTTCCTCCTCTGTGACAATGATTTGGCCGGTCCACGGAGCAGAGGTACCTGACAGAGGAACATGATGAGAATTCAGTATTTTTATAGTTCACTAGTTCTTATTTGGTCTGTTTTCAAATAGATGGGGAAACATTATTTAACAAGTTTTCTTTTTATTAATCTCTGTAGCTTCTAAGTGAGAGGAAAACATCCCTAAAAACCCATTTCTGACTAAAAGCATCATTGTCTGCAGACAACAATGTGCAAACTCATTGCCCCAGACTCTCTTTTCACTTTTTATGAGTAATTAAAGCATTTGAAAATACGCCGGCCTCTGTCCGTCCCCTCACCTCTCTTGCGGGCGCGGTCAGCCGGGTCCATGGCCGCCACCGGCTCAGAGGCTCGTGACGCGCGGCTCATGCCGTTGGCGTTGACGGCGCGCACGCGGAACATGTAGGAGCGGCCCTCCACCAGGCCGGTGACGGGGAAACGGGCAAATTTAACGGGAGTCTCGTTGCACTGGATCCAGTGGGTGGTTCCAACCTCACATCTGTGCGGATAGAACCATTTATGTCGTTATACTTTGTTTTTTAAGGGAGAATATGTGCAGAAGATTTAAAGTGGATTTTAAAATATCAGTCGGTGACATCTTGCTTTAGTTTTTTCCCTTTAGCATTATATCAGTTCTGTAATGTCTTTTTATTCTGTGCATTTGGTACCTTTTCCTGTTTAGTCCATCCAATTTATTTTATATTTTTTAAAGGAAACCATATAGTTGCCAACAACGTAAAGCAAAATGTCCCAGACCACTGCAATTAGACCTTCGGCCCTTAACTCTTCCTCCACTGACCCCTGCCGTGTATCCACTGACCTGTCCACAAAGTAGCCCGAGATGGAGTCACCGCCATCGACAGCCGGCTGCTTCCAGGACACAATGATGTAATCCTTGTTGGCGTCCAGGCAGCGCACATCCAGAGGGGCACCCGGAGCTCTCTCCACCTCGGCTTCAGCGTCTAACAGCAGCAGCATCGACATGGTCAGGATCAGCATGACGTGGAGGCACTTGAAGCGTCTAAGAGTCGACATGAGGCGCTGGTACACCTGTGTACCTTTGAGCCAAGGATTTGTCTATAGTGAACGGACTCCACCGTATAGCTGGTGGAGTTTGAAGGTGAGGTTTCGTGTCGGGGATGTTTCTGGTCCTCGAGTCAAACACAAGGCGAGAGCAATACAATGGGCAGGAGGACCGAATTAGCTGGAGCGAAAGGGGATAAGAGAGGCGACTCTTGAAGAAGCACAAGCGGTAAAGCCAGGCCACCTAAGAGTTGCATCATTAACTAAAAGCTAAACGATAATCACAACCAGAGAGCACCACAGAGAGCTGGAACGACAGTGGGCAGCGTTGTTTTTCCTAGAAGCAGATGTTTGCAGTATCTATCGATGGCTGAGCTCTCTGAGAATAGACCGGTGCAGCCAGACTCCTATGGTGTCTGTTTTTTGGCACCGGCCTCTTCTTAAGTGCAGAGACTGTTAAGACGGCACCTTAACCCATGAATAAAAAAACCGAAATATAACGTAATGTGATGTGCTGGGCAATCCTGAGCTGCGACCAAAGCCAACAACATGGTCTATTTTCTAGGAACTTTTAAAGGTCCGTCTCTGAAGTCTGCAAAGATAAGCTTCCATGTTTACTTTTCCCACTGTATTCAAACAGATGCCTGGCGGTTTATTTTAAAACCAGTCACTGGTGTCACTGGTGCGTCAAAAGGTGCCAGCGGACGTGCTGTTGTGACTTTGACCTTGATGACAAAACACCAAAACACGGTAAAACACTAACATTCCCACCTCTGACAAAGACGTAGGCTGAGTAGGTTTCATATCCGGACTTGGTGGTGACGCGCAGGGTGTAAAGGCCCTCGTCCTCTTTGTTGAGGTGTGTGAAAGTCAGCGTGGCTCGGTCTCCACTCCAGCACATGTGGTTCCACTTAGAGGGACACAGCAGAACATCTGGCAGGAAAAAGGTGGATGCCACAGAAAATAAATCACAAATAATGTTTTGATCTAATATTTTTTTTCCAATCACGTTTTTCCATTTCAGATATTTTCAATTTTTTTAAACAACATTTTTTTACTTAACATATTTTGATGTTTTTCCATAACATTGTTTGAACCAGATATTTAGACTTATTATTCAGTGACATTTGTCAACATGTATTATAAAAAACAATTTTAACCTTTTTTTTCCATGACAATTTTTTACTAAATAAATATTATCACATTTTTCCCCCCAAAAAATTTGGATTACTATTTAGATTTGGGGGGTCGCCATCCATATCACAACCCTACTTGAAGTTTATTTTGTTGTTCCTGAATGCAGGACTTTTACCTGTAATTTGTAACAGACTGTTTCCTATTGCTACTTTAAGAAAGCATTTCTTCCCCTGTTGAAACCTCATCCCAGGGACATTTATGCAGGCATCAAGTTGGGAGTAGCTGAACCAGTGATGCGCGTCTTCTCACCGTCTCTGTACCACTGGACCTCTGGCTGGTAGCGGTGCAGAGCCGGGTAGATGATGACCGTACATCCCAGACTCATGGTCTCGCCCTCTCTTCCAAACGACACGCCAAACGTATCAACAATGTGAGTCTGGAAGTTGATGCCGTACTCGGACACTGGGCCATCTGCAAAAGAGGCGGGACATCAGAGACGGATCCGATCGATAATCATATCCACAGGAATACTGATCGCTTCGATCCAGAAACGCTAGATCAAAATTGTATTTATCGAATGTGTAACAATAAATGACAGCAACAAATACAGATCAAAAGAGTGACTCAGAGTTAAGTGCTCAGAATGCTTCATCATGCACAAAAGACACATGAAAATCCTATTTGCAATTTCAAAAAATGTATTTATATATTCAGTCGTGAACTGAACTTTTTGAAAATACAATCAGGATCTTTATAGTAAATATGTACGGTTAAAGTAAGAAATTCTTCATAACACTTACTAATGCATTCTTCTAATGCTCTTCTGGTTAACAAAATATAATCTCAAAATGTGCAGCACATTCCTGAGACATACTTTACAGACATTAACCTCTTTATACCGCTTTAAAATACCGTGAACTCTAGACATCAACACAGCGTGATCATGCACGGACCGGCAGTGGAAACAACAACTTCACCAAAACGTGTTCAAACCACAATCCAGAGACCCCCGTTACCTTCAGTACCGGCACCTGCATCGTCAATGCCAAAGCATCAAGGAAACAGAAGAGCTGTTAGTGCTTTAGCAGCAGCAGCACAACCCCCCCCCCCCTCTGCAGCTGTACGGTACATGCACGGCACAAAACATCAGACACACAAAAACAAACAACTGCTGACGAGAATCAAAAATATTGCAGCTGAAGAGGGAGTTTTTTCCCAGTTGTTGGCAGAGACCAGAACAATTAACTGCTTGCTAAAACAGGTGAGCCGCAAAAAGACCTATTTGTGTATCAAGCCAGTGTTTTTCACCCTTGTGATCATAAATGAATAAATTCTGCCGTACAGCACACAATAAACAATAAAGACAAACACAAATACGAGGTAAATTTCACACTTACGTCTGGGTGATGGCAAGGACTCATCAACTTCTCCCTTGAACCCTACGAAGAAAAGCAGCGGCTACTATTAATACATGCGACGCACACAGTGTGTGTACTTTTATACTGACACGGTGTTGAATTCATTTGAGAATGTGCACACAGATTAAATCGCAGGTGCCACGTTACACATAGCGGGTGTCTAATTATTGACACTTGTAACCAACAGTACACTTGGTTCTTACAGTTAATGAAAAGGTATTGGGCAAATATAACCACTGTTTTTTGTGATTACAATTATTTTAAGGCCCAAATTTAATTTTTGGCAGCATTTGGAATGTGATGGTTTGGTGGAAGACTGAAACGTACTCTTGACCACGACGGAGGCAAATACAGACTGCTCCCCCTTGGAGTTCATGGCAGAGACGCGATACTGCGCCGTGTCATCAAAATCACACCTGAAAGAGGAGAGCATCAGGTGATCCATGTCCATGATACGCACATTCTCCCCCTTGAGGACTCATGCGTACGGTGCCCTTTCCCCGCCCCAACCCGTGTAAATAACACCCAGTATGCGGGCGCCCGACTGTAAAGCGTTCCATTACTCCTGGCCAGGAATACTGCTGTAAAAAATAGACTCCACTGGTGATGTCATGGGCACCAGGTGGTGTGGCTCTCTGTACATATCTACAGCCGACCTATTCCATTGAAATGCGATAAAGATAGTCCCATATGTTCCCCGGGGTGAGTTCTGCCGGCTCGTGGGACTCAGACGGCCTTCGCTTCACGGTGACCCGCTCGGTACTGTATGTACTGTAGATTTAAATGGTTTATTCTAAGGTAACGAAAACACTTTACCACAACAACAACAACAAAAAAACACTATTTCCATCCCATGCTTTTCTACAATCTACATGGTCAGTATAAAAATCTCACTGGCTGGAACAGAGAAATGGAAGTTTTCTGCCTTAAGCGTGTTTAAAGAAGACAGCTAAGAGCTAACGTGAGAAAATCAAAGTTACATTACAGTTCTAACACGTCCATTACGGCGAAGGACATGTTATGGATATCAAACTATGCCATAAGACGCCCCAGTGACACTCTGTTATGTTAAGATCTGTGGAAAGGAGGCGCTTCACCTACTTGTTAATCTCCAGGGAGTGCACGCTGTATCTGCTCTCGATCTTATACTTGCCAGCATTGGAAAGAGGGTCAATGGCCACATTGTTCTTGTACCTTTTAGGTGCAGCACAGAAAACACAACAGACAAACGACATAACTGAATCAAGAGGACGAACAGAGCCGGGGAAAGTAGATGGAACTCAAGTGAACAAGCCGGATCTTGAGGGGACAGAAAGGACGGATCTGAGGTGATGTCACAGGTGATGTCACATGTGATGTCACAGGTGATCCGTGACCTACCAGACGACCCGCGGGTCCGGCCAGCCGCTGACGGTGCAATGCAGCCGCACACTCTGCTTCTCCCACACGGTGTGGGAGCGAGGTTTGATCACAAAGTCCGGGGCGTGCATCAGGCTGTCTTCGTTCATGCGCTTGAAATGTTCCCCGTGTTCATGGATCTAGAAAACAAACAGTTCTTCAGCCTTAAAAAACGCTCAGGGCCATTGTACTGTCACCAACCAGGCAGAAAATACTGGAAATAAATATACGCTCAAAGATCCTCATCATTCAAAATGCGTGGTTGATGCAAAAAACAAAGCAACAAAACTGAGCAACAATCAACCGTCTCTTTATTTCTCTCAAACATGCGGCGTGTCCATTATGTCCAATAAATTGTTGGGGGTGTTGAGGCCCCGTCTCGTTCCAGTGTGCATCCAGTGACTCGATGGATAACATGACAGCACTTCTCTGTGCTCACACTGTGTCTCAAGAAACAGGATCTCCTGAGGAATTTGTCGCTATCTAGCGCTGCGGAGGCAGATAAGCACAGTGAGGGGGCGACGGGGGGCTTTTATGCAGCTCAACTACTCTACTACTTCACATAATCACCCCGCGATATTAATAACTTCCTTGTGTAAAGAGTAAACCACAAACTACTGCAACTGACTGTTTTCAGTAGCGTGACTGTGCAGATTAAATGTTACGTTTAGATCTTTTTCTCCTATAAAAAGGCACATTTTTTGATGAGTTTGGTCTACTGGGACGATTTCAGCAATTAGACCTTCTGATGGCATTGAGCAGAATAGGCCACTGTGATGCCACACATAACAGTCATCCCCTGATGAATCTTGCAACACGGGGGTAGGCTGTCACGTGTAGCAAAAACGCCGCATGATATGAAGCAGAATGGTCCACAACGGCAAACGCTCAGGTCCAATGACACGGGAACACAATGATCTATAACGACGGCGTCACAGTCACAGTGGTGTCCCTGATGTTTCTGTGAGGTGGAGGTAATAGTCGGTTAGTAATCCGTGTTATCGCAGGTCAACGGCTTTCTTTATGGCTGGAAATCCCCCCCACTGACCCTTTTGTTCAGAGAGATGCGCTCGGCCGACCCGCGCATGGCCTCCCTCCTGGAGATCTGCTCTGACCTCTCCATCTCCAGGCCGCTGGTGAACAAATCCCTGCGGGCCATGTATCCAGCCGTGTCTCTCACCCTTCTCTCCTCGGTGTCCGAAAATCCTGCAGCGAACTCTTGACTATGGGTTTGTGGAGCAGAGCCAGAGATAAGATACACGGGTAGTGAGGCACACCGTTAAAAGCTGAAATAACTGTAAGATGTAGCACAACATTTTTTTTTTTCGGATTTCAGTTTGACGTGGGCGGGAAGTTCATTACCTGCCCCTGAAGATAGGCACTACGTAGCCGATGATTTGGTTCTCTTTATCCACAGCCAAGTACGTTGGCTTGACTCTCGTGGGCACGGGGCTCAGTCTGCTCGCCTCCAGCCCAGAATACGAAGTCACTTTAAGGCTGAGAGATGTAGAACAGCATCAGCCCGGCGCCCAACCAGGCAGAGCAGCTAAAAGCATCACACCAGCATGTGGGGGGGGGGGAAAGCCAGGAAGAGGGTGGATGCGTTGCAGATGGAGATTCGGTGGATGGTGTAGATGGTTTAGTTTGGATTATTTTCACTGTTATTTTTGTAATTTAACAATCAATCATCTGACTGTTTGGGCTTTCTTGAGACTGACTGAGGTAAGCGATGCCATTTGAAGGAGTAAGAGACATATTTGAGATGTCAGGTCAGATGCCACCAGTTTGTCCCTGACAGCCATATCTGCCGCACAGAGTGTTGGAGGCTCAGGGTATGCAATCACAAGGACGTGATAAGCTGGTGGGGGCAAGAGAGGTATTTCCTGTATCTATCTGGCTCACTGTCGTCTCAGCTGACCACGTAGGCTCTGTGGACCCTCCAGGATCAGAGCTGCTTCCATTAAAATGCATTCAATCAACACTGAGATCCAGTACCAGTTACTTCACACACCAAGTCCAAGGTCCATGTACATATACACGTAGTATCTAGGCCAAAACTGCATCAACGCAGCCACACTGACTGTAAAATCGTCATCACCTCATAATCCTCCTCTCCTCATCACAGATGTGGTCATTGTTGGGCTTTGGCCCAGCCAAAGGAGTGTAAAGGCAGAGATCAAGTGATGATGGTCAAACCTCCGACCTGTTTACACTCTGCAGGCCAATGGATTCAAAGACCCGCCAAGTACCTCATTGAGTAAGTTCTCTAACATAAGAAAGAAAAGCAGCGACAGAGAATCCCCTTCATTACAGTTTTAAAAAAAAACTTCCTGACACTGCTATCACTTTTATTTCTTTAATATTTGTCTGACCTCTGACAAGAAACTAATTGGCCCCATGTATATTCTCTTTTACAAACACTGGACAGCTGATCAATGCATTCAACAAGGGACGCACAAATCTTGGCAAAAGAGATGACCGCTAACAATCAACGTCCCTCTTTCCCCTTTTGGAAATGACAATAAGCCAATGATTTTCCAAAACGCGATAACGCGTGTGAATGCTACCAGGTTTTAAAGGTTGACAAGCTGTCACTTGTTACTTTCCCTTCAACGTGGAACGCAACGGCCAAGATTCTATTTCAGTCAACGCCATATACCATAACTCAGCCATTACATAACAGTGCTTCCCCTGACAGCTGATGTAACAAAGGGTTTAAAAACTAGACAGAAATAGCATATTTCCAACAACAGTTGTTGTCTATCTATGCGAAGGTGTTAAAGGAATTAGTATGTCGGCATGCAGGGAAGCAAACAAGAGATTCATGCAGGAATCAGAGCGTTTTTAAGGAGGGTAGAGGTCAAAGATCCTTTTGGTGTGCGTGAGGGTCGCTCAAAGAGAAGGAGAGGGACAAAGGATGGCGAAACCCTAACATTCCGTGTCATTATGGCAAGAAAGATGATCCCAAAACTGTGATGGGGAGGGGGGGGGGGGGGGGGGGAAGTGACACACCGAGGTTGTTGGAGGGGGGCACTTGATCAGTTGGGGTTGGGTGATTGGGAGTTATGGGGGAGCTTCCCAGAGAAGTGGATCGACGAAGGCATGATGCTCTTCCTCCCTCCTTACCCCCCGCTCCTGCTGGTGCTGGCGGAGGTGCTGGCGGAGGTGGTGCCGGCCGCGGTGTACCTGCTGCCGGTCTGGTAGTGGCTGAGCCTGGACTCCGTCTCCTTGCTGCGGTAGCTTCTGTCATAGTGGCGATGGTGCTTCTGGTAGAACGGAACCGATCCGGACATGCTGCAGGCCCCTCGCGGTACCAACCCCGAGTTTCTGAGACTCTTTTTTTCCCCTGTGTGACTAGTTAGTGTTCAAGAGCAGGTGGGTCGGCTGTTACATACGACATGTTCAAAACTTTTGCTGCATTTTAATGTCAACGGGTTTAATGGAGAAGATGTACGATCCGCATGATGCCAACGTGAGTATATGTAAACATTTCAGCCAATGTCTGCAAGGTATTTTCTTGATCAAAAAAGACTTTTAAACGTCATTAAGTTACAAATTAAAACTTGCAGAATCAGCTGGCGACACATAGAAGATTCAGGCGCTCGGGCACTTTCCCATCATGCTTAGGCAGACACAGTGCAACAAGTACAACCTCATCACATATTATCACTGCACAACTTTTGCCACTCACCCTGGACAAAAAGCCTCAAACTCCAAGCTTTGAAGGGAAAAAGAAAAGCTCAATATCCCAGCAGGTAGGTGCGTACAGGGCTGCAGTTCCTACACAACCAAAATAATGTCGGCCCTTGCCAGAGTGTGCAAGCAGTCGCAGCCTTTTATGGTGACGTTGGAGTTAAATATAGCAAAGAGCAGAGTGTGGGGGGCCAAGTCGACTCCCGTGGGGCGACACATTAATGGGGGAAGGTTTCCGCCATCGGAGCCTAATAAACACATGCTTACTTTTGTATTTTTTGTCCATATTTTTTAGATGAATTCTTTATCCAACGTACACACGATCATCATCAATCATATATATGAACCTGCACTGTATGAACTGTGCTAATTTGTAAATGTAAACATATTTTAAACTTTAATTAAGGGATTATGTCAAAGAATTTACCAGTTATTGATTATTACTATAATAATTAATAAACAAATGTTGATGCGGCTCAGAAGTCAGCTTTCATTGAGGCTCAATGATCCTGGATTTAGGCCACAGTACATCATCGTTTGTTAATCTCTCCAGCAGCTTTTGTCTTTCATTTTTTTTCCCAGCTTTGAGTGTTGCTAACTTTAGCTTTGTTATTGTCTCACATGCAACAAATGCCAATCACTTTATCTTTGTCGCTCTCGCTCCAAGTCCCACCATTATTTGTGGAAGTACTCAAATGTCCCCTCTTGTCCCCTCAGCTCACAAACAGCTTTTAAATGAAAAAGGGAAGTAAATCAATGCTGTTTATAAAACACACTCCGGGTGGCAGAGTGATACGTGAACATGAATTTATGAATGTTATCATGTAAACTAAGGTCTGCCTGTCAAAAAAAAAAGGTCATTGGGCCATTTGGCACACAGATTTTATTTGGCTGCCCAAAAAATGTTTGGCCAACTCGACTGCTCGTAACCACTATGATTGACAAGTAGAAAATACAGTTGGTCCTGAGAAAAGCAGAAGTGACACGAACGACTTGTTGTAATCTGATGCTACTATGCTACGGCGTTACTAGCGTCAATGATGATTAGCAATAGATTGATTTAGCATCAAAATGCTTACTGTAATAAATGTTTTCTGGATGAATTGTTCCTTAGAAGTTAGCCTGCGTAAATATAACCTAAAACAAGTGAAGGCGTATTACTGGAACAACAATGTCCCCATGAAAGTTAATCAAATATATTTATATCAGAGTCGCCAGACACTGAAATGTACAGTAACCTCCGAGATTAGTGAACGTGACTAAATGTCAGAGAATAGCATCCCTCTGGATATTTCATCACAGATTTCCAGGCTTCACTCTAATCTGAGTATGATCCTCAAACACTAAACGACTGCCCGTCTCAGCTAACGTAGAAATGTCCTTTTCTTTAAATAGAAAGACTCAAGGGGATATCTTCCCAGGAGCATGATGATGACGTCATCCTACGGCACTCTGTTACAACACAATGTATAATGTGGTCATTCTGAGGCCAGCAGATAGTGTTGATTTGTGTTATCATATCATCATACGGTTGCATTGAATCGTGTCATTGGCTTCAGCTGTCCAGCAATTTCCAACTCAACGTACGTCTCATGGGATCCGTTGGTGGTATTTTTATGCTCCGCTCGGTACTCCCACTCCTCAAAGCCACTCGAAAGTTGAATGATAACGCTTCCAGACACGAACAAATTAAATGAGCTCTCACACAGGATTGGATAACATGCTGAGACAAACTATTAATGGCCTCAAGAAACTGTCTACGATATCACAGAGAAAAGGAAAGCTTTTATTTGAAGCCAGCACACTCCAGTGGATTAAGGGGGACACTACAGTTTACTTAATAAAACATACTCATTTGAATAAAATGTTACTCTGCAGGGCACAGCATGAACAACTACAAAGAGATCACTTGGTTTCACCCTCTCCTCCCCAAAGGTGTGACCTTGTGTGTGACATCTAATTGGTTAGATGCAGTTGTTGAATGTTTAATTTCTAGATGAACGCAGGCTGTATATTCATGGTACCAATAACTATTATCGACACTAGTTGTGTATGACTACTGGCACATACTGTGGACTGGTTACCCTTTGATTACAACATATAGGATCACTATGGGTGACTGGTGGCACACGTTCAGCCATTTTGTTATCATCTTTGAAACTGATCTGACAGCTGCACAAAAAAAGACAACAGCTTGTTTTAACCTCTGACTCAACAGTTTGACATCTTGCTTTTTAAGCTCTGCAGCACATTCAGGCCCTTTAAAGCAATGAGCAACTGTTGTTCGCCCATGGAGGACAGTCAGTATCTATTATTATCCGTCTTATTGTTCTGGTTAAAGTATGTGAAATTTCTTTTGAATTCATCATAACAACATACCAACAACATAAGCAAGCTGACACAACAGAACTTACATTAATAGCACCCAGTTGAGTTTAATATCATTATTTTTATATTTCACTTTACAGCATCAACTCAGTGGGTAATATGAACTTATTCTTGTATTTGACTGGCATTCATGATCAAATAGCAACATCATCAACAAGAAAAATAAAAATAATACATTTTCCTAATTGAACATTCTTCCCAGGGGTGTCGTTTATTTTTCCCTAATTCCTCACAGAGCGATGCGCCTTTCTTCCCTTAAAAGGGCATATCCAGGAATGTCAACGCAGGCCGACCACTGTTTTTGGAAGTTACATTTTCGCCATCGGGGGTGTGAACTACTATTATGTATTTTAACACCCTCAATAATCCAACATTAGTATTTTCTTCGGAATTGTATTGTGTAATATTTTAATTAAACGTAGAATTAAAAACAAAACTCGTACATATTATTTATTAAGAGAGAAATAACAGCTTCGCGCTTTCTGGTCTCCCCCATTCTCCTCACTTGGTTTGATCTGGATGTTCTGAACGCGACGTGATTATCAGGAAGTGAAGGGCGGTGGTTGAGAAAAGCGCAGCGTCCAGCCAGCCGAGTCGTGTAGTTGTCAGGTAAGACGAGCTGTTTTTTGTCTTTTCTTCATTTGGTTGCAGTAAAAACCATTTGCTACCAGTTAGTAAAACAACTGGGGATAATTTTAAGGGAATACCGTATGTCTGAACGTGGTATTCTTCGGTTGATTGCACTGAAAACACGGCTAGCTGTTAGCTGCGCGGCTGATCGCTCGATACCGAAAACCGACATCGTTTCGTGGTTATTCTGGACTTGCAACGTGAATTAATGTCTCGTTAAATGTAATTTTACTCGTCAACCTGCGTTAACTTGGTTCAATGGCTGCCTGGTGTTCGTAGTGGACAAACGTCAACGTGCGTCACTGCTTGATAGTCATTAACGTCTCAAGCTAGGCCGCTAACTGTTTAATAGTTAACATTACTTACCCGCTAATTGAGGTTTAAAGATATCAAGTTTATGTCAATTAATTACCTCGAGGAAAAGCTGTGGATTAGGAGGATTTATTGGCTTTGCTCAATACGTTCATGAAATCCATCGTCAGTGTGTCGTCAGTAACCGTAAAACCGACCACAAAGTAAGCTAACCTTACTTTTATTTGGGCTAATTTCTGTAAATGTTAGATTTTGAACTACCCAACGTTGATCATTGCTTTGTGTTTGTGAAGAAACTAACTGTAAAAGAGAATAGTATAGCAGGAAGTACAATTATTTGCTGTATGCTTCTCAAATTTGACAATTACTGCTTTTCCTTGAATGCATTTTAAACAAATGTCATGCTATTGGGCAAAAGAAGGAATTCCAGCATGTGATTCCCAGTTTCTACTGGAAATGATTGAGTGCAGCTGCTGAGGACAATAAAACTTGCATCACTGGAAGTTCATCTCAGATAATATCACCATATTGATGGCGTCTTTCAATAAAGTCAAAGCTCCACGGTGGCTGGGATCGTTTTTCATCGACGTCCAGTGGCAAAAAAAACTCATTTGCATCTGTAAACATGGAGCTGTGAATGAAGGGCAGAGTCTTCATTCAGGACATTGCCTGATAAGGGCATCTGTCCTCGCATCACAAACTCTCTCCTGCCTTCAGTGAAGCCAGTGAGCTGATCAACCTAGAAAGCTGGCTAACATTTCCATTTATAGCTCAGTAGAGGACGCCCCACCTGGGAATGACTGCCAGAGAATTAGAATACCCTTCCGCACAGTTGTGGGCATGGATCACAATCTAATTTCAATGAACTTTATGATCCCCGTAACCTTTGATCAGATAGTCTTCCTGGTGTTCATCCTTTTGCTCTTATCATTCGGTATTTTCTTCTCCCTATTGTATTTATATTTGATAATGGTCACCTACGTTTAAGGAGAAAGCTCTTTGCTGTCTATAAAACAAAAATATGTATACATTTTTTCTTTCTGCAGGTAAAACAAAAAGGGGTCACTATGTCTAGCAAAAGAGCAAAGGGAAAGACCACGAAGAAGCGCCCTCAGCGCGCGACTTCCAATGTCTTCGCCATGTTCGACCAGTCTCAGATTCAGGAGTTCAAGGAGGCCTTCAACATGATTGACCAGAACCGGGATGGGTTCGTGGACAAAGAGGACCTTCACGACATGCTGGCCTCACTCGGTGAGTAGGCGAGTCAGCTTTTACTTTAGGTTCAACCAACGTGTCTGCAAGAAGCTGTAGGCAGCTCTGCATTTTCTTCACATCGGTGTTCACTGTACTACTAGTAAGCAAATATTCGAATCATCCGTAGTTTATGTGAGTTGTATTTAAACCACTTATGAGGTTGAAACCCTTCAGACTAAATGCACTGTAACCTGCTCTATTTATAGGAAAAAATCCAACCGATGAGTACCTGGAAGCTATGATGATGGAAGCTCCTGGACCCATTAACTTCACCATGTTCCTCACCATGTTTGGAGAGAAGCTCAACGGCACCGACCCCGAGGATGTGATCAGAAATGCCTTTGCTTGCTTCGACGAAGAGGGAACAGGTACATTCTGACAATTTTTAAAATGATTTCCTGTCATCTTTCCTTCACTTCAGCTGGGTTTGAAAAGTGTCCTCTAAAATCATTTTGCTTTGCCTCAAACAATCTGTATTAAGCCACTTTGTCTGAAGTGTGGTAAAATAATTGCATGCCAATACAAATTCTTTCAGAGATGATTGTGATGTTTATTTATTAAGTCTTGTCTGATTTGAACTGTTTTCCCTTTCAGGTTCTATCCAGGACGATTATCTCCGAGAGCTGCTCACAACAATGGGTGACCGGTTTACAGACGAGGAGGTGGACGAGCTCTTCAGAGAGGCCCCCATCGACAAGAAAAGCAACTTCAACTACGTGGAGTTTACACGCATCCTTAAGCACGGTGCCAAGGATAAGGACGATTAAAGAGCCCTACCAGCCTCACCCTTTCCATCCTTTTCACTTCTTCTGTCAGCTAGATCACAGTGCTGCCTGTCTCGACTCTCCAGTACCAGCCCCATTTTAAACTAAACCAAAGCAATAACTATCCACTCAAGTTTGTTGTGAACTTCCAGTATTGCCAAATGTACACCTAATGAGGAGAAAACAAATTCACAAAGGTTGTAATGTTTTTCCTGTCACGTACAGATGTGAAGTGGCAGCACCTTGGAAGCTCTAAGGATAAGTCTTTGCTATTCATGTGATCAGGTTTAGCTGAATTTTTACATTTTATAATATAAACTTTTTAAATAAAGCCATCTATCAAGTTGTATATTGCTGACTTTCTCCCTTCCATAAATGACAACTGAAATAAGTGGTGCCTTATTCTGTCTTTATTTTTCCTTCTAACAAAGGTGCTTAAACACATTCTTCCTTTCATGAGTGCTTGTCAAGACTTGATCAGTTGACCGTCCCCCCTCAGCACCCCCTCAATAAATTCAATCAACGTGTGCCGACTAGCGCTAACTGAACTCTTTCTGAAAGGGTGAACGAGCACCAACGTTACCACACTTAAAGGTTAATTTAATGTATTCTGCTGCAGTATTGCAGCGCAATGTATTCAGCTGCACAATTGCAAAATATACACTTCTAAAGCAAAACATTTTAGCATTTTTGTGGGGGGGTGAAGATGCATCCTGGCTCAGAGTAAATCAGGCTATCGATTAAAAAAATGTTCTGATAGTTTATCACAAAATAGGTCATGAGATATTGGTCAATACACATAAAAAATAAAGTCTTTTTTTTTTTTAAATCAAAAGCAATGTGTGAAGGTATGGTATACCATATATTATATAAATATATATTTCATATGTTTAAATTATATTTGCGCTGGCAGGCGTCTGTGAGCGCAGTTATGTCGCCCTCTACTGGGGGATAAAGATACGAATCACCATATAGTCTTTAAAGGGGACCTCAATGTCAATTCAGAAGTAAAAGCGGTGGATTAATGGGAAAGTCTTAGATATCCTAGTTCATCGGGATGTAACGTTTGAGGTTCCATTCAGATGGAACGTCGGCTGAACTACCATATGTAGCTTTACGTAAATTACAATCCGACGCCCTACTTCCGAAACTACCGCATTACGAGGTTCCCTGAACGCCTCAACATGCTTACGGAACCTCCACGTTAGGGCAACATCTTCGCCCTCACCGGTTCCGCGTCCCCATGCTGACGTCGGAATGTCGAGGTACGCGTTGTTTCTTGTTTCGTCTATTCACTCGTGGTTTATTCCCCGGGGACAGAAATCCAGCTTTTAAACGAGTTCATCAGATCAGTGCGAGTCTTCTGGGCTAGCCAGGAGGCTAGCAGCTAAGTGGCTAACGTTCGCTAACGGCACCCTAAAGGTGGGTTAGATAAGGACAGTAACTTTTTACGTTACGTTTTACGTAGCAACAAGTGGCATTTAGTTAACAATACTTTATATGCGTTGTACCCTCTTTTCAGTTTGTGTTTTTCCTCGTTTCAGGCGTCAGGTCATGGCTTTGAGGCTGATCCAGAGGTTTCCGCTGCAGAGGCATTATGGGATTCAACGCTTCCTTCCGGTGGGACCAGTCTGCACCGCCGGGCTCCCAGGGGCCACCGGCGAAGGTCATCCCTCCTGTGTGGCCTGCCTGTACACCTCGGCCGGCAGCTGCATCCGGACACGGGGCTGCGGGACGAGGACCCTGACCACCATGGCGAGGGAGCCGTCCTTTGTGGCCAGCAGCAGCAGCTCCGTGGGACTCCACAAAGACTCGGCCCCTCGGTTCCGCCTGACCCAGCTGCACCGGCCCACGGCTGAAGAGGAGCAGGCTTTCCGGCGGCGTCTCGTGGCCTGCTCCTCGTCCCGGCAGGTCCTCGCGCTGCTGCCCGCCGCGGGCGTCGTGTCTGACACCATGGCGGCCGCCGCGCTTCACCGGGTGGCCGACCTGGAGCAGGAGGGCCGCTCCCTGAAGGACCCCGCGGTGCTGGAGAAGGACACCATCAAGGCGCTGTGCTTCCAGCTGGAGCAGGACTCCGCGCGGCTGACAGACGCCGGGCTCGTATCCGCTCTCCTGGCGTGCACCCGCCTCTTCTTGGATCCGCGCAGCGCGCTGATGGAGCGGCTGGCGTTCGAGAGCCGGGAGCGATTGGGCAGAGGGCAGATGGCCGTGGGGCAGCTGTGCACCTTGGGCCGGGCCATGATGGCAGCGGAGGGTCCCGGCTGCGCCATGCTGGAGCAGGTGATGGAGCAAATCCAGAAGCAGAAGCCGGCCCAGTGGAGCCTCGCAGATCTCACCGCTGCTTATAGATTCGTGCAAGGTTACGTGGGTCAACACGGAAAACACCGCGACCTGCTGAACGCCATGCACTCGCACGCCGTGACCATCGCCTCCAGCATGGATCCTCCCGCCGTCAGCGGGCTCCTCGGCGCGCTCGTGACCCTTAACCAGACGCAGGCCATGCCTCTCGTGATCAAGCTGTGCAAGCAGGCCGTACGGCACGTGCCTCACTTCACCGACGAGGAGCTCGCCGTCGTGCTCGGGGCCTTGATGCACTTTGGTCACAGCGATCACTACTTGGTGGAAGCGGTGGAGAGGTACGCGCCCACCGTGACCTTCACGTCCCACCCAGAGACGGTCACCAAGGTGATTCAGTTCTTTGGCCGGAGGAACATCTTGTCCCGGCCCGTGTTTGATGCGGTGGCAGAGAGCTTCGTGTACCGAGCGGACGACTACAGCACCGGCCAGGTGGCCGCGCAGATCGTGGCGTTCGGAAAGCTCGGCTACCTTCCCCCCAACGCCAGCGAGGTATTCAGGAAAGTCGAAACCATCCTGCGTACGCGCTTCTCCCACTTCCAGCCGCGGACGCTGCTCGACCTGCTCCACTCCTGCACCCTGGTGGAGAGATTCCCGGTGAACTTTGTCTCCAAAGTATTCAGCAGTTACTTCCTACAGCAACTGGAAGGTGAACCGTCCTGTAAAGACGCCTGCAATATGTTCAACATTTCCACAAAGTTTACTTTTAAACTTTTAGTAATAATATAAACAATGACATCATTGTGTGTTCTTCGCTTCCATCCACAAAGAGTGCATGGGGTTTATAATTTAGGATATTAGGCTTTAAAGACACCGTTGAATAAAATTGCCTCCGTTTCCAGAGGACGGGACCGGAATGGACCGGATTGTCCGCGCGCAGCTGACGCAGCTCTACATGACCATGAAGCTGGAGTGTCCTTTCTATGAGGTAAAATACGATAAACAATGTTACAGATGAGTCCTGCCCAACAAAAGAAAGGCTGCAAGGGCCTAAAACCTGAATACCGGGTTACGTGTCGTTCAGTACGTCCCGGTTACCTGCGATAAAACCTGTTCTGGTGACTCTGCTTCCCTCAGAATGACCAACACAAAACAGTCGAAAAGGTTTGTTAATGGATAGCGAGAAATTTTGGTTGCTTTGTGCTCCCATTTTCTGTCTGGATTCCCTTATAAATTTATTCTGAGACCAAAACCGACCTTTTCCATCGCTGCAGCTTTCATTGAAAAGTGTTGTTCATGTTGATCATGAGAAATCAGAAGTAAGAATTGTTGTGTTTTTGGCACACGGTGTAACGGTTTATGCTCCTTTCCACCTACTGTCGTCTCCTCAGGGTCCCCGGCTGCACTCCAAGTACTGCGTCAAGTCCTTCCTCATGCACGGACGCTTTGTGGAGACGCCGGTGGACGTACAACTGTACAACTCTGTGAAAAGTGGACTGGTGGATTTGCTCGGGGGTCGTTCCTACTTTGCATCCAAAGTTCTGACACCGTACTGCTATTCGCTCGGTAACAAAGCAGCTGTTTATCTCCTAAATGTGACCTGAAGGCAACCCTAAAGGGGCTTTGTGTCAACAACTTTGGTTCTTTTTAGATGTGGAGATCAAACTCGATGAAGACGGCTACGTGCTGCCTGCCAGTAACACGGATGTGTACAAAAGGTGAATAGAATCAATGTAAAGTCCTTCCATAGTTCATCTGTCGAAGCTGGAGGCATTTAAACGCCGGTTCTAACGTTGCTGTGGATGTTTGATGCAGGATCGCCCTCTGTATCGACGGGCAGAGGAGGTTCACTACGAACACAAGGCAGCTGCTTGGGAAAGAGGCCATCAAGCAGCGACACCTGAGGCTTCTGGGATATGAAGTTGTTCAGGTTAGACCCTCTGTAGGCATTGTCTGGCAAATAGTTCATTACAAAATGTGACATAGAATGAAAGTATCATAGGACCAACCGACTGTTTTAACCATTTTGCTTCATCTTGTTTCTAGATTCCTTACTTTGAATTTGAAAGACTGCAAAACAACACCAGCGTGGTGGAGTATCTGCACCAAAAGATCTTCCCTCACACTTACAGGCTGAGCTGGTGATGATACAAAGGACAGTGCTGCGTTCACTTTAGCGGAGCCCAAAGTCATTTAAAGAAATCTATATTTATTTTATTTTTTCAAGTAAAAGTAATTCATTTCTAAGTTATTAACAATGCATCTCTACATATTTAAATTGGCAATAAAAGTGAATTTTGTATACATTTTTTTTGAATGACTTCAATGTGTGTTTGAAAAATATAATTTATTTTGTTCTTGTCAACAAATGCTGCAGAAACTGTACAAAGTTAAGAGAATCCCAATTCAGAACCCCACCTCAGATACATAAGATATGAAATCAAGTATAGAATTATAATCAGCTTTTAATGAAAGATACCTGATTTTAAGTTGCAGTTCATGATTCATTAGACAGAAGACGCTTTGGTTGTCAATGCTGCACTCTTAAGGCCTCAGGGAGTGTCAGTTGGATAAATACAAAAAGGGGATGATACACGTAAAACTAGCATAGCACTAGTACTTCTGATTGCACATTTATGTCGCGGGAATTTGAGGAAGGCCAAACTCGTCCACCAGGACACCATCCTGAAACAAGATAAAAGTGACCATTAATAATAAAAAAAACTCTGTAAATGAAAACGGAAACTTGTAAAACTCTTAAAGCGGTGAAGTACCCTGTTGACCGACTTGTCGCCGGGCATCCCCTCCGGGATGGAAGGAGCCGTTGCAGCCTCATCCAGGTAGGAGCTGTCGTCGTCCATAAGGAGCTCGTCTCCCAAAGCGTCCAGCTCTGCGGACACAAGTGGGTCAAGACGACTAAAAGTTCTGACGTGTTCTTGTCGAAGGTAAATTATGCTCAACGTATAATTCCTATTATTGAAGTATTTCACTGACCGGCCTCCAGGTCGTCGTCATCAAGTTCCGGGGTGCCGTAGCTTCTGCCCAGCGCCTCCTGGATGTCGTTAGCGTCTTCCATCATGTCCCCGAGCTCATCTTGAAGATCCTGAATATCAAAAAAAAGTTCAAAGTGTGCACTTCATCCATCGGCTCTGTAAAAAAACACCCTACACGAGGTTGACTCATTAGAGGAATAGGGGTGTGTCATCCTTAAATATGTATACAATTATTTACTGTGATGTCATCACATCTGCTGAGATCACTTATCTTGGTTGGTAAAGCTCTATTGATAAATCAAATACCTCGATCTGATCAATTTTCACATGCTTGTATGCTTTCTTCATGTCTTTCAGGCCGATTTTCATGGCATCAACCTAAAAGGAAAAAAGAAAATGTTAGAAAGAAAAACAATTCAGTTAGTTTTTCTTCCATTTGGAAGAAAATATCACTGATTACATCATTTACGGACTTACTGTGGTTTTAGTGTCTTTAAGGGTTTGGATTGTGTAGTTAGTTTGTTCCATGTTGAACGACTGCTGCATGAGGTTGTCTCTCTGGCCCTCGTACCTGAAAGAGAAAATCATTATATAAAGTCACACTTCCACAGCAGGTGACTCAACCAAGAACTGTGGTGGACAAGACAAACACACAGCACCTTTATAGTTCATTTAATATGCTTGATGTTATAAACACTCTTACTTACATCCGCTTCTGCTTCAAGACTCTCAAAGCTTTCTGCTTGACCATGTTCTGGTGGATGAAAAAAAGTGTGTTTACCTAACAAATGATACTAGCTGATGCTCAACACGAGACTAGAACAGAAAGCTAGTAAATGATAAGTAGTTATTCTCAATTTTTCATTACAGGGAGACTTGTCAGTGGGCTCGTGCGAAATGACAGTACACTCGATCTCACCTTTGAGGGCCCGTCCCTCATCTTTTTCATCTGGTCCTTGTATTTCACAAGTTCAACGTCTAGTCTGGCAATCTTTTTGTCCACGGACTCAGAGCGGGAATCAACCTACGAGTAAAACAGAGATAAACGGCAATCGACTTTGCGTTATTATCAGGAGATTAATATTAAAAAGGGCTTTTCAGTTCAAATAAAGCAAAATCTAACAAATGATTAATTCACAGAAATGCGTAATATATTTATTTATTTATTAATTAGGGTAAATGAGGCCCATTGAGTTCCATTACTTATATCGTCGGTGCCTCCCAGTATAATAATAGCTCTCCCCAATCAGGAATAACTGGTTGCTGTCAGTTGTTTCACCGACAGAGCGACTGGTTTATGTTGTCTGTCAGTGTAAAGGCTCAAATCCCGGCTGAGAATGACATAATGCTGATTCATGACGTAAACAGACGAACCCATTGTTTTATTTAAATACCTCGTTAGTCGACGGACACTCTGAAGACATTGAGTTAACATTAGGTAAAAACACTTCCATTGCGGTAATCCTGTCTGCAATCAATAATGTAATAACTATTCACTCGTAGACTCGTTGAATGTGACAGCATAGCATTTAAATGTGGCAAACGTTGGTCTGTTTTCTGCTCATAGAAGTTAGCTAACAGCTAGCTAAATGTTAGCCAACAGCCGAGAAGGGATCCATCTTTGTTTACTCCGTTTGAGACAGCGTTCAAAAAGTTAAATTGGGTTTGTACTCACGTTTCCTATACAGTCCGTAAGGTTCGGGGCTGGACCCTTGGGTTTTCCCCGGCCAAATATTCGGTTCATTTCGACAATGAAGGCTTTTCACTCTTAAAAGGAAGCTTCGTTAGCTCGATGACACCGTCCACAGCCCAGCTGAAGGAAAACACCCGGAAGAGAGTTGGATGTGACGTCAGACATGTCACGTGGTCGTTGCTCACTCGGCCGCGCCCTCTGTTAAGCTTCTCTCGGATTTCCTTAATTTCCTTCCTATTTGAATTATCTGTTGCGTTGAAATTCGAGCATAACCCTTACATTATATTTTTTAATAAAAAAAACTAACGTATCGTTTTCTTTTTGCAAATCAGTATAATACGCTATATAGCCCACATAACATTTAATCTTAACATTGTATCACATATTCTAAATCAATTCAAATGTTTCATTACAACACAGTTAGAAACAGGAAACTCCCACTGCACCAAAATTAATTCTATATTAAAAGAGCTAACTAATTAACTTATTTTAAATGAATTAGATTTGCATAAACCTTGTGTCTGCTTAAACTAAATAAACAATAAAAAAACAATGTTTTTGCAAAGTGAAGGTGAAGGTCCATGTTCGTCTTAGTCTGAACATCTGCTTGAAATTAGTGGAAGAACTAATGCTTATGGTTGTTGTGAATTGTCTGCTAATACCAAGCTGTGTGTATGCAATTTTACTGTAGATTTATTTTCTTTTAACAGATATATATCAGTAATGACATGTTCTGTCCTCTGGAGAGAGCTGCAGGCCAACACTAAAACACAACAAGTAAAACCACCACCCAGCTATAAAACTATCAAAGTGTAATTTAAAAAAGCCACCTAGAGAGACAGCGTTTTATTTTCAAACAAAATAATCAACATAGAAATACACTTGTAGCAGCATTTAAAGTATCACATTAAAATATTACTGAGAATTTACATATCAAAACTGACAACAAGTCGAGGTGTAACTGCGAGAAGAACATCTACATTTGTTAAGCTTGCTTTAATATTTAGCATTCGGAGCGGTTATGTTATTTATTAACACGTCTGCTGTTCAGTGGACAGCGTTCAAAGCCAATATACAGCGGCAGCAGATTTTAAAGAGACTGAAAAGAAAGCAATGAGGTCTTGGTCACAGTGTAGTTTCTTTCAACAATGTCTCTTATTTTGTTGTCAAGTAGCAGAACGTCTGTTTCTTTAATCTATTTTAACAATAAAACATGAAAAGAAATTTCCCCAAACCCACAAAGCTCTCAGTGACATGAGACAGAATGTTTTTGAAAATGGATTTTACTTCTGAATTACGTAGCTGACCTCTAAAGTGGTGCATATGTTATTATCACGAGTGGTGAATATAAGACAGTCTACTCGCAGTACATTCAAAATAACAGCGCAGCCCATCGAGCATCAGCTGCCCATGTTGCTTTATTCCATCGTAGCAATGATCATTGACATGCTGCAGATACGATATATTTCAATGATGTCTGTGCAAGTCTTTTTCTGTTTCTCTATAACAAATAACTCATTGCACATTTGTCAGAATAAAAGGTATTTAACCGACTTGTTTAAACAGCTATTCATGTTTTTAGTTTTCAGATTGCACAGATGAGAACATTTGCTTACAATAATAGTATTTCAGTAAGACTATGTGTATCATAGTAAAAAGCCACACAAAGCACATGTGATTAAATGATATACCACAAATTAAACAACTTATTAAACTGGACACAACTCCAGAGTCAAAGCTGTTAGAGAGCCCTCTGTCAAATTTTTAAAAGCACATTCAAGTCCAGGATTTCCAACTTTTCGCATGAACTCTAAAAGCTTTTTCTTTTTTTTTCCAAACACGAGTCGGTTCTTTCACGTTGTTGTCAATCAGCACAATTTACACACAGAAATTAAAAGTATCATGGCGCATATGGGATGTCAGCCACCCCTAACTAGTTAGCTGTATAAGAAAAAACAGTTCTTACTAATAGTGACTGAAATAATTTCCCTCTGTTACAAACATCTGCAATCCTGGACTGTTGAAGGCACGTTTGGTGATGGAAACACCGTAGGTGGAAACGACAGGAATACATAGAATGTGAGAAAGAAAGAAAGAAAGCAGGAAACCAAATTGAATGAGCATATAACCATAAACACACAGATGTAACAAGTGCGCCGTGAGAAGGAGCGAATCATGTCACCATTTTCTTTTTTCACATTAAATAGTCATTAATTCTCTTTGTAATTTCTGGCTTTTTATTCACGTTCAGTCTTGTGTGATATTGTTTGGGGACAATACTGACAAAACTGATAGGAATACTTGTAATCTACGTAAACAACGACTTTCTAGGAAAGGAAATGGTTCCTGTTGGAGACGAACATTTGGTCTTCCATCTCAACACACAATCTGTCTTGAGGGAAAACATGGCGGCGCACCGTATGTAGCACGAACCCTTCATTCGATCTCTGAAAAGAAATGTGGCCACTGGATAAAACACGAGTGAAATAAACCCTGCAACTAAGACGGAACTACATTGCTGATGTGACGTGCGTGAGGCCAATGTCCCGCGAGTCCTCTTTTCCAATGTGAGAGATCGAAGACAGTTCCACCGCTAGTCACGTCGGCTTTGTAGTCCCGTGCGGGTTCCCCAGGGGAACGCCGGCTTCCCGCGCGCTGGCGGTCCTCCTGCTGCCCGACACCTTCTCCCCCCTCAGCTTGGCCGAGAGGCAGAAGTCCTTGAAGCAGCGTTTGAAGTTCTCATCCAGGAAGGCGTACAGGACGGGGTTCAGGCTACTGTTTGTGTAGCCCAGAGCCACGCAGAAGAAGTAGGCGGCCATGATGGCGGTGGTTTCGGGCACGCTCGCCAGCGCCTTGACCAGGATGAAGATGTGAATGGGCGTCCAGCAGACCACGAACACGGCCACCACCACCACCACCAGCCGCGTGATCCGCCGCAGGTTGCGGTCTTTTTCCCTGGAGCCGGACAACATTCGGACGCTCTTCAGCCTCAGGACCATGAGGGAGTAGCACACGGTGATGATGAGCACAGGCACGACGAAGGCGAAGACAAACACGCAGATCTTCATCAGCGTGTCCCAGTACACGTACGGCTCGGGGAACTGCAAGGCGCACTCGGTTACGTCTGCAGGAGACGAGGACAGAGGAGAAGTAGATTAAAGGGACGATACCGCAAATTTAATTCCACCCTGTTGCCTTCCGCTCTTAATTTAGCGAGCGCCCACGAAACGGCTAATCTGCACTCAAAGGGGAACATTTCAGTCTTTAACTCTGCTCTTTTTTTCTTTCTTTCCTTACATCATCTACATTCAGGAAAGGATGACGTGATGATAGAATACATTTCTGCCCCTAAAATATTATTAGTGAGCGGTGCCGTCCTTTCAACGTTATCTGGGGGAAATCGACTTCCTCACCGCTCTTCGTCTGGGTGCCCCCCAGGACGAAAGCGGGAATGCCCGCCGCCGACGACAGGATCCAGATGCACACGTTGATCATCTTGGCTTTGATCGGAGTGCGGAAGTCCAGGGCCTTCACCGGGTGGCACACGGCCACGTAGCGATCCACACTCATCATGGTGAGGGTGAAGATGCTGGTGAACATGTTGTAGTAGTCGATGGAGATGAAGACCTTGCAGACCACCTCGCCGAAGGGCCAGGTGTTGAGCAGGTAGTCTGTGCTCTGGAAGGGCATCGTGGTGGTGACCAGGGCGTCGGCGAGAGCCAAGTTGAAAATGTAAATGTTGGTGGCGGTCTTCATCTTTGTGTACCTAATGATACCATAATATGTGTCATTTTGGCCACTAAGGGGGGGGAACAACAAAACATGGATATAATACATGACGACGTACGCAAACAGTCACCTGCAACTCACAGCGGCACTAGCGTCCATGTGGAGTGTTTCTGTTCACCTGCTGAGTGTGATATTCTCTCTCTTTTTGCTCCGCTTTTGGTCTCCACCGACTCCTCGCCGTGGGAGTGAATCAAAGCTTAAACCAAAACAACGAGCTGAAAGACGCTAAAGTGCTCTGGAGATCTGAGGGTGTCGGGGTAATTATCTGTGTGCTCATCCATAGGAGCGACACCTCTCACATCGCATGCAGTGATTTGAAACAAAGGTAAAACGTGGAGCAGTTTTAACAGCACAAAGCTTTTAAAGCCATTTAAAGGTTACAGCGCCATGTCAGACACTTCTACTAATGGCTTATAGCTCAACGGCCTCTGTTGATGCTGTGCCTGGTGTTTGGATTGGGATGATTTCCAACGTTGGTTACACTAAATCAACATAAATACTGCAGTTGAATGATCCTCCATGGACCGACTAGTAAAACGTACAGCCTTTTCCCTCATTGCATTTTAAAAAAAAGCTTCTCCTGACAGGCGGTGCAATCAATCTGGTTTCAGGTAATTGGAGCTGCCGCTGGTGCATTCCACATTACGTGAAAAGGAGATGGCTCTTGCACACCATAAACAAGAGTCAATGAGGTGCGTGCTATCAGCTTGATGAAGCACAGCTGGTTTGCTGTATGATTAATATGAACATTAATATCCAACAGTGTCACGCCAGACAAAGGGAAATGTACAGAATATTGTTATTATATTTTGGAGCTTCAAGGTTTATAGATTCATTAAAATCTCTTCAAAGGAGGCAAAATGAATTGGATGCTTTACAAATCCACCACTAAATTGAAAAATGAAAATATTAAGCTTAACAAAATGCATCAACTGCTTTGTCCCTTGTGACTTATGTACACAATTAATATTCTGTCCCGTGCCACTTAAGAAGACTTGTCTCTATTGAGCCAACGGCCATTAAGAGGAAACATGACATAGACCAGGTGGCCTTGAGGTCACTGTGAAAGCCGAGTGTTGGTGCCAGTGGCTTCTCCAGAAGTAATAACATTTACATCGACTGTGGAGGAACACATTCTTCTGTATGGGCCTCCGTTGTTTTTTTGTATTTCTGAAAACATCCATTTGTCAAAAGACTCGTCTTATTTCCCTTCAATTTCTTAAAACCTTCCTGTCAACAACAAATCTTTAAATCCACATAAATGACGTTAACCTGCCTCTCAGTGCGCTTCTCCGTCCGTCTGGAATCGTTCTTATGAAACGAGCTTACCTGACGATCACATACATGACGAGGCAGTTGCCCAACAAGCCGACCACGAACACCACGGAGTAGACCGCAGTGATGATGGGGATGATGGGCGACATGCCGTCCGGCTCCCAGTTATCATCGTGGCTCTCGTTGCGGCTCTCGGGGTATCCGGACATCCAGGAGGAAGAATTCCCCGGACAGTCTTCGAGGAGGCACTTGGTCTCTTCTTTGAATATTTCAACCGGAGTGATTTCCATTTTATCACCTGTTTGTTGAAAAAAAAAAAAAAAACGTAGCATTATAAGTACAATTAGAAGAGTATATTGAAACCATTTACGAGCCAATCAGCGATGTGATGCGGGGAATGAGTTTAGGTAAATGACGAATAAATAATAAATAATTAGGTAAGTGTCGGGGTGAGTGAGACAGAAGAACACACGTAAAAGATCAGATTGAAATAAAAAAAAAACACGATAGTGACAAACTTCACAAAACAGTCGTAAATAAACACGCAGGACCTCCGTCGAATCGCAACAAAAACCAAAACAGACAAAAACCTCCAACTCGTCGGTGAGATGAGAAGCTCGCGCGGACCGGACAGCGCACGCGACCCGAAACCAAAGTGTTTTGTGCGCGTTCCGTTTCCTCGCCGAAGGTTGCAGCTCGTCAAAGTTTGCGGATGGAACTGCGCGCCTGCAGAGCGGCGGCGGCGGCGGCGGCTTTGCGGACACTCGTGCACACGCACCGGCGGAGAGGCGGCGCGCATTCGGGATCGACCCACAACACGCGCGCGCGCGCGCACCCAAACACACACGCATTTGCATGTCACAGCCAATCCTTCACCCCAAATACGAGATGACAGAGCGACGATAATAACGTGCAGGGACACCGCGTCCTGCGACCCAATGAGGCGCAGTAAAAGGAGACATTGTCTTAATGGGACATTTCAAACGGGTTAACATGTATTTACCCTCCAAATATGACAAATAAAATCAGAATCCTGTCAAATTCTTCAGGGCCATTTACTCTGCAGTGTTGAACTGACCGTGGTGGGAGGTCGAGGTGAGACGAGGAGGGATGCATGATGGAGAAATGAAAGGTGGTCTGCAGCTTTGGGGCCACTGGGTTTCGCTGTGCACATTCCTGTTTCATCGTCCGGACGGACTGGAGAGGTTTGATTGATTCAATGACAACCCTTCATCCCATCTCGGCACACTGAACCACGACGCCTCGCGCCTCAGAAGGTTGCTGCTTTGAAGCAACGTGCACATCCAGCTGGAGGGTCCACTGAAGCACATCTGCAGCCGTGTTCCTGCTGCGCATCGTGGCGTTCAGAAGCGAGAGCCTGATGTTTGGGGCTCTTTTCTACAGGATCCCACGGTGCCAGCAGCTCTTCTCTGGCCTTCATTTGTGACACCACAGGCCCAGTGAGTGTTATTATGTATTCCGTGTTGCAGTATCACGAAGGCCAGCGAAGCGCGGCAGGTGGCAGATTGGAAAGATGCACTTCAGCAAGTTATTGTTTTCATGTAACAGCACAAAATAAATTCATAAAATAAATCAGTCTCACAGGCTCGAGATGTATTCACTTAACAGAAAATACTTTTATAAGCTTTATATGTGTAAATGTTGTTGACAGTACTTCATACAAACCTCGTCTCCCAACAGTCAGTTATTGTTCATAATACCTCAATCAATCAATCAAACATAGCAGCTTTAGAACAAGTAGTACAAGTTCTTTACAGATGAGTGACACAGTGAAAATAAAATCAATAGAAGTTAATAAGATAATAAGATATGAGGCTAAAAAAAGCATACTTTATTCTCAGGTGGAACCAGTCACATCCGTCTGATGTAAAAGTAAAATCCATTTAACATAAACATCTTGATTTTTGGTATTTTGTCACCTTCATCAAGTGTGCAAGCTCACTCCTCCTCCCTCGTATGTACCTCCTTCGTTTAAAGGAAGAATAAGCTCCTGAATACATTTCCACATTCAGTTTTTTTTAATGAGGTTGGGAGAAGAACATTGTTCTTGCAGTAATTATCATCTGACATCGAGCACTGGGTCTGTGGGACTGAGGAGGCATCGTCAATGTGAGCCCGGCACCAGAGGCTCCTGTTGTTGACCGTCATTTTATTCGCGAGGGGACTTTTGAACTGGCACAGTATGTACAATTCATCTCTTTAAAAGATCGTTGGATTATGTTCTTCCTTTGGATTGAGGAAACAGCAAACATGATACCTGCAGGCTTTGCAGAAAAACCGTGGGGCTGAAAAAAGGGGCGATGCTATTGTGTGCACATTATGCAACATGGTGAGCGAGTCATCCTCAGTATGTCGTCGCATGTTGCAGGATGTTGAAAGAGCTCATTTGCCTCGAGGCCTCTGCTTGAAATGGATCTGTGCGCTTAGGTCAGTAATTACGGTGAATATGAGTAGAAAAACCAAAAGTCAGATCTGTTTGATTGCTGACTCAAGCTAAGTATGTACCCATTTCTTCCTCAGGGATTGTCAGAAAATCCTCTATGCGGCGATCAGGTCAATTAGTTGGGAGTTATTCATTAAGGAAATAACTGCGTATCCCGAGAGCTGATCTGTCAAACGTGCTGCATGTTAAAAACACAACTACATTTTGATGAGGCAAAATGAAATTTCGCTCCACAAAGTCATTATTTATTCTTCAACTGGCAGATTTTATATATCTGCTGCCTGGAAATTCACTGACAGCACTGTGACTATCTCTGAAACACCGGTGTTCAAAAGCCCCACTGAACCGCCTCGGGGCTCCGCAGGAAAAGGTGAATGATTGAAAAGTTTAAAAATACCCCCCCCACCCCCCAAAGTTCAGTGATGCAGCCTCCCAAGTGTCGCTCTGGGGAAATGAAAAGGATGAATTGCTGAATAGATGAAACCTTCTTCTCGGGATAAAGCCGTTTTAGAAAATTCAGAGAAATGTCAGAAGGGAAAGAATAGAAGTGAATGAAGCTCATTGAAACTGTTACTTAACAGCAGACTCTCTATTGGAGATGATTAGAGAATAAAAAGTACCAGACACAACTGTCAACAAGGTAGCACGTTGAACCAATGAATTAACTCGTGTGCCACCTGCTGCGCCAGTCAATTTAAACTTTGAGAAGTAACTTAAATGTAATCCTGTATTTATCCAAAGAGAGAGCGACAGTTATTCTGCGTGCAGATGTTGATTTGAGTCATTTCAGGTCGTACTGAGGCACAGTGAGGCTGCGCGCTGTAACGGCAATTGTATTTTACTGTTGGACAACATCGCTGTGGAACTAAAGGACCTCGACTGAACCAATCGGACCCCACGACTGATCCTGACCTCCGACCCCCGGGCCCCAGAGGACTCCTCCTCGGGAATCAATAGGTCACATTAATGTTCTGACTAAACCCCGTCCTTCCCTCGCACGCCACCGCTGGAGCTTAAAGTAAATACTTCCAAGAACAGACAGAATTCTGCTCGTCTAAGTACGTCAGGCGACATCCACCATGAGAGATTAAATGGATTTAGAAGATTACTCCGGAGGTCCGTCTGTGCTCGACAACAAACAGCATCAGATGGGACTCGTGGGGCACCGCGCCCCCCCCCCCCCCCCCCTTCTCGAGTGTTTCAGTGAGAAAGGAATAAATAAAAAATGAACACACGTTGCAGTGAAGATGACGATTAATCATCTCCATCTTAATAGCTACTTTGCAGCGTGGCAGCTCTGACTAATTGATATTTTTAGTGCGACGCCTCCAACGTGTGAAATCGTACTGACGGGACCGATCGATCGAGCCGTTTCCTCACACCAAACGGAACACCCGAGACGACATTTCGGCCTGATAACAGTTTGCAGGCTTTGAGAAGTCGTGCGGGCGGCGAATCTGTCGCAGCTTCGTCTCAACTCAGGAGGCGTGAAAGGACTTCAGAGGCGAGCGGGTCAAAGGTGAGTCTTTTGAGTTCAGTCCGTGAAATTCTGAAAGAATTGATGTGTGTAAAACGTTTGTGTGCCCTGTGTTTGCTCAAGCTTCTGTCTAAAAGGAAATCCGATGGAGGCCAATTTAAGCCCGCAAGTCATTTTTTCCAAAAAAGAGGTAATATGCAAAAATTGCAATTACTGTGTGCAAAGTGAGTTTTTTGCTCTGTGCTCCGCGGGGCATTAACGTGCACTCGAGCCAACAAATGTCTTCTTTGTGGTTGAATCAAAAGCCCTTTTCTCACATAATCAAAATATGCTTTGTGTTTAAAAGCTGCTCTAACGTACAAAGGAAGAGAAGTGAATATTAATCGTCCTTCAGCCCCTCATTGGCTTTGTGTATTTTCCCATCTTAGCACGAACAGCAATGGAGGTCGTTCCCTATTTGACGCCCGCTAACAAACAAGTGCATGTTTGCATTGTTCCGGGCGAGTAAACCTCGGCGTAGTTTTTCATTTCCAACGCGAGGCAGCGGTGGAAGAATGTGCCGGCTCAGAGGAGGGAGCAGCTCCTCCGGGCCGGAGGCTCCTCTGTCGGATTCACAGAGCGGATGTGGGTGATGGAGTGTGTTGTTGTCCTGCCGGTGAATCGCTCCTCTCAACACGGAGACGGAATTAATGCCTTTTTTGCGTAGAATAAATCTACTCTCCTCGAAGCAAGCTCGCCAAGGGAAACCCAGAGGTTACCGAGGGGAGCCGGGGCTGGAATGAGAAACTGTTTAATATTCCAGTACATCAGTCATCAGTTTTTAACTTTTTTAGCCATTTCCAAACTAAGAAAGTACAAACTTGTTTGTTAATCAATATGGACGCAAAAGTCTGGCAGAGAAGAAGAAAACCTGGTAAAACTTAATATCAATAACCCACCAGAATGAATGGGAAGACAACAAAGAGAAGAATTTTACTGTCAGGACATCAGTAGTGTGAAAAAGGCCCATGAGGCCAATTTGTGATCTGGGGTCACATAAATAAAACCTAAATGGCCGTTCGGTCCAAGGCGCTTATCACATTTTCCCATCAAACACGTACAGGAATGCAACCACAGCGCCCCCACAGCCCATCCATACTGGGGGTGTTTATGGGCTCCTCTTTGAGGGGGGGGAAGCCGATGGGCCACACTGCGTTTGATCAACGACCCGGAGGAGCGGCCCGTCATCTGCAAAAAATGCTGACTCTCCTCTGTGAGCGAGCGAGACTTTAACAATCAACGGCCGAGGGCTCTTCTAGGTTCTCTACATCAAAGCGGGACAGAGAAAGGGGAGGGACGCAGAGGGGGGGGGTGGAACATTTAGGGCTTGATGCGGTGAAAAAGTTGGAGAAGGAGGCAGTGTGATGGAGGATGTGGAGGGAGGCCAGAAGGGATGAAACTTACAGAGAAAGTGTCCTGATGTACGAGATGTATGACTGCAGACTGAAATATTATGTTATTATAATATTCAACATTATCCAAGCTTAAAGGAGCTTTCGTGTTTGCTATTAGTTGGATTGCATCTTTGATAGATTTTGGAGACAGCAAAAGTACATCAAAATATTGCAGTCCGGCTTTTTAAAAAGCAACTCATACTTGGTCGATTTGTTTCCCTGCTCCATTACTGCTGAGCTCATATTAAAGAAGGGACCAGAGAGCTGCTGGAGCCTGATGTTTAACAAGAAAAAACACTCTCACAGTTTTCTGACACTATCGCCGTCTGGACTGAATGATTCGGTGTGGAAAACCTGTTTTGCATCAGCTCCCTGCAGCTGTGCTTACTGTTTCGTGAATAACAAACACAAACATTCACAGACCTTCATGCGCGCTCTCGGGTAACAAAAATCCCCATTCCGTGCTCTTCAAACCAGCGATCAGCAGGGGGAACCGACCGCCTCCTGCTGGATGCCTGCGACCTGATGAGAAGTGAGAGCTGTCAATAGACTTGATCTATAGGCGCGTTGATGCACGTCCCAGCAGCTTCGTCCACTCGTAGCCGCGGGGCGCCGCACTCCGCGAGCACACGGAGCGCATCCTCATCCAAAAGCCACCGCAAGAGCATCAGTAAAACAGCATCTTGTTGTTGCTGATTGTGTGCTGGTTACTATTTTTACATATGTAGTAGTTTTCATTCAGTACATTTCAGGTCAAACACCATTCATTTCTCCCCAGATAACTGATCTAATGAAATGAGACCATTAAAATCATCAGCAGCGCAATGTTCGGGACTTATTAGTTGTGAATGATTGTTATTATTTTAATTATTATTATTATATGATTCAGTGTCCCTACTAACGCCCACAATGCCTCAGTGCATTAGCAGCGGTGGTGATGAAACCATATTAATGATGTGGCAACATAAAGGCTTTTTAGGCTGGTCGCTGATTCTCCCGGCCTAATGCACAGCAGCCTCAGTGCTTCTGTTATAAAATGCAAAGTCAAATCAGTGCCACTCCAGTCGTATATTATTAAGTACAGACTGGATAAAGCAGCCTGCAGCCTCACAGCTCCGGGTGATTTATCACATTAATTCCTCTGACGGGGGCGATTCATTTACTGCTGAACGACAAACCACCGCCAACAAACTTTGCTCTTAATGGGAAATAGAGCATTCATTATTAAGCAGCCACATTATAAAGCAATAATTGCGCTTGCCGCCATAACAAACAGGGCTAATCACAATTTAATGTTCGAGCTTGTTCAAGTTTGTTTATGATGCATGTGGCCTGTTTACCTCAGACACGCCGCAGGTGGATTACGCCTTTATTTTTGTTCTTTCCTCAACAGTATTTGTTTCTAAAGTGTACATATATAAAAAATATATTTACAGTATATAGAGAGTAATCCATGCTGAAGGTCAACGCTCACTCCATTGTGACTGCTGGCTGCGGTTGTCATGGAAACATGAACACAACTGAGCAGCGAGTGACTCACTGCACACCCCTGCCTCCATCTGCCCGGCGCCCCGGTGACTGTGAGCGGCCATCTGTAGGCGAGGGAGGGAGACGCTCCGATGCACACGCGCATTCTCTGTTCCGACAGCGAAGACGCAGAGATGCTGTAGGCGCCCGGTGTCCGTCCCGCGGGCGACAGGCGCCTCGGAGCAGACGAGGTGGCCGCTGGTGGGCGAGGAGAGTGGTGACTGTGAGACGCGGCGGTGCGATCACATCAACTCAACCAAACGTTCTATAGAGCTTCTGACTCGCTGTCGGAAGTCAAAGGGCTCGTTTGAAGTTTTTAGCCACCGAGTCGGATGGAATTCCTGTTTTGTTACAGATGCTGGAAGCGTCACAGAGAGCAGAGCTCATTAGTCAGACGTCCATTACAATTTGGTGAAAATGTTAGTGGACAATCTATTTGTGTGCCCATTCTCTGTCTGTACGTGTCTTAATTCTGGGAGTAAAATGGTTGATTGACACCTGTTCAATGTTTTCACGTAAAGAAGAGTGACACTTTTGAGACGTTGATGGATGCTCTTTTTTTTCAGTTATTAAGTATTGTTTTGTGTTCCTCGTTTAACTTTACAGCTGTAAATCAACTCGCTTTTGGACTCTGCCTCAGTTACAACCAACACCAATGATATTTTAATGAGAATCATTCTTTTCCGTGAGCACGTTTAAATTTGGTACTTTCAAATATTTTACAAAAAGATCACAGTACTATTTCTACCCCTGGTTGTACTTCAAAGCTAGATACTGTTTTAATGATCTATGGAGACGCTACTATCTGCACTGCAAGTTAAAAACCCATAATGAAGCAAACCTAATGATCCGCGTCCCCATGTGGATCGTTTGAGTTTGAAACCAGAAGCAAACAGACGTTCACGAGTGTGACTTCACTTCGCTCTCATTCACTCCGCGGCTGCTTCTGGGAAAATAGAGCGGCAAATATTAACACATAAATCAGGCAGAGTGCATTTCTATTAAAACCTGTCAGCAGCAACTAAATCCCCAGAACATTAAGACGACCAGTGGTGACTTGTAGCTTGTAGCTGCAGACTCATATTCCGCTTTACAACCAGAGCAGTGACAGAAGTACGTTGATTGCCAGATGCAGAGAGACGGTGCTACGTTTACTTAAAATAAAAAATAAAAACAATTAAAATGTTCCCCCAGCTACAGCTTAATGAGGTACCCGTTTAGCTGATGGATGCTCGGGTAATAGCAGGAGATTACACAGAAAGTATTGGACAGAGAGTCTTTTTCACCAGGAAAAATAACATCTCTTTTTAATTATTCATGCGACGCACCGCAGATATTGTGCATGCATGCTCAATATTACAAGGCATGCTGCAGGGAAGAAAGATCCATCTGTCAGAGTGAAGAAATCCAATATTCACCTGCCATGGCGATTGAATTCAGGTATGAAAAAAAGGTGGACGAGGTTTTGACTTGAAACGTTTTGTGCTTCTGAGCTCAACACCTTGTAGGATGTAACGGGACTGTTGTCCATAAACCACAAGCACACCATGGACACCCAATGTGAGATTGTATTATTGTGGTTTATATAGTCTATTAGAAAATAACTCGATTTATTAATAATAATAATTCACCTCCACAATGCTCATTTTCACTGAGCAGAGATTCGCATCACGATACGTATCAACGCAACCTTTGTTAACATTAGTATTATATACATGTATAAATGTGTGATTATCCGATTAAGTTATTTGTTCTTTCACTACATTTTTTGGATTTACAAATGTATTTTGTCTCCGTGCTCGCTGATGGCATGAAAATAAAGCATGTACTTTTAACCAGTACACGAGTTCCTCTGTACTCTAACAGAAAGTAAACCAGTAATCCCACATCTCATTGGCTATTGTCTATTTTTCTATCTACACTCTAACCTGCAGCAGCAGAACAATGCGACGCGAAAGCCCCACGGTGGAGCGATCCCAGAGAGGAGGAGGAGGAGAGAGCAAAGATCTCTGCACCGTGAAATACCCTTTGGAGTTTCAACCAAAGGATGGAGCGAAGGCCTCCCGGGAATCCCTGCAGCAACGATCCACACGCTCATCCACTCCTCCCTTCATCTGAGATAACAGGGAGGGGGAGACATGACCTTTCTGTACACAGTATATCCTGCTTTTGAATATATTTATATTGTATAGTCGCTAAATATTTCTCTTTGTTTTTATTCTTGTATTCCCTTTTCTAAAAGTATTTGGTGTATACTGTGTTTTTGCAATAGAGAGAACATGTAAGCGTGTGAGCCATGAACGCATGTGCTCGTCCCCGAACTTGATGTCCCTTCTTTGTTCATAAGTGACTTTGTTCTTTCATTTCTTTCCTCCACGATGTGATGAGTCCCAGAGACGATCGCGTTTCTCCGCCACTCAGAGAATCTGACCGGCACCACCGCTTGTGTAGAGGCTGAAAAGTGTTCATTTTCTCCACAATGCTCCTCTCTGAAAGCCCAGCTGCTCTGACAATTACCCCTAAACGTGGATTCGACACATTAACTGCATCTGCTGCTCAGCAGTGAGGAGTTTTGGCTCCAGCAGTCTCGGCTCTCGTCCGCCACGGTGACAGCATGCATGTACGAATCTGGATGCAGCATAGGAAGGATTGGATATAAAAAAGTGACTTTAAGTGAAAGAGCAAATAGGTTGATTATAGGTTTATAGTGCGAAACAAAGGTTTCGTTTGCACAGATTTACTTCCCTTTATATTTCCGCGTGCGGCCATAAATAAGAATCATTGTATCATCCGCCCGGAGCGCCGTGTGCTTTGGTTCCGGCGCGCATCGAGTCACTGCAGGTGAAACGTATTCAGATAGACATTTAAAAGCATTGGACGATACAGTGCGAGCTCACAGGCCAAAGCAGCACACTCCAATTCTTTCTTCTTGTTATTCAGAACTGTGCTGTTCCTACTGTGACATAATGTGACACCTACATTTGGATGCTCGTTAAATAAACCCAACAAATCCAACGATGCGTTTCCTGTTCTAGGTTGGTTTAAGAAACTCGTAAACCTTTAGGCGGAATTTGTTCTTTACTTGAGACTTTTCAGGTTGTGCCATTTTCGATGCTCTGTATTTACACGACAGCATTCATTTTTGCAAACAAAAGAGCAAAATCAGTTTGTTTATTGACTAATTGAGAATTTGTTACAGTATTTCTAATTATTCTCTGATGACACTCAGAAATGACCTTTTCCCACATTGAGCACCTGTAATGTGAATATTTACGGTACATTTCTCCTGATTGTAGTTGCACCACAATGTGCAAGCTATGAATCTCCTTCTGAAAAGGCGGCATCCTGAGCACACCGAGTCCCTCCGTGCTTCGGCTGTTTATCAACCAGATAAACAGAACAGTAAATAATCCGAAGCAGTGAAAATGATGTGCAGCTTTCTGAGGCTGTGGGGGAACACACAGGCAATCAATTCAACGATTGCACTGCAGAGAAACGGATGTCATATTTCTTCAATTCTATCGCCCTGATCTTTCAGTTACACACACATGTGTGCGCGTGTTACATTAAATATGGACACACGGTACAGCAGACAGTGGCATATTGTCATGTGCACACATGAAGACGCTGATCAAAAGGCGAGCCATGAATATGAATAAAAACGACTGGATGTGCATTGCACACACGGCGAACATCAGATCCAGAGGACGTCTGAGGAGGCCCTCGTTAGCGCGGATGTGAGAGCGATGGTGGGGGGCAGAGCGCCGGGTGCAGCCCACGAGGGTACCGAGCCAATTCAGCCCTTTGTGCGTTAGTCGGCGGGAGCAGCTGGAGCGCTGATAGCAGGAAGACGTATAATCACACACCTGGAGGCTCAAGCACCGACCCAAGCGGCGCTCTGACGGCGCGTGTTGGATCTATTTTGCGCTGAGCAGAAGACAACAGGTGTTTCTGTTCAAATTTGTGATGGAGTCGCATCACTTATCCACTTGGACGGTGGCTAAGTTATTTTTTTTCCCTTTCATGACCTCCCTCCCTATGATGTCCCTAAATGTCAGGTGATTTCTTTGGAACCAACAGCTGTAAATTCTTAGAAATGTTTCTAAAAAAAGAACTTTGTGGTTCTCAAATCACTGTTGAATTGCTCCACTTCCAATTAGATCATTCAAACCTTCCTATCATGTTGGCTTATTCAAAATATCACATGACGTGACACACGTTACACTATTCCCAACTATGCCGAACCGACCCAGACAGCACATCCAACACAGCAACGCTGGCAATTAGCGGGAGGCCAGAGGTGGCCTGCAGACACGGGGCATCACTCCTACTAATGAGCCCCGTCAAAGTGGAACACACGACGCATCCTTCAGCCAACAACAGCCGCTCCGATGTCTTAAACATGCAGTGCGCTGCCTGTTAATCACAAAAAAAGGCACCAGTAGTCTCTGAAGGGATGCAATTATCTCGGCTACCGGTGATTTAAGTGAGTTGACCTTAAGTTGAACGGTGAGCGATGAGCCTTCAGGCAAATACCTGCAGCCTTCGTGATGATGTGGGCTGACTTTGGAAAGCAAAAATCTGATTATTATATAAAAAGCAGTGTCTCAATCTATGGTTCATTTAGTACTACTGAAGCAAATATTCAGCATCAACCACCTTCGTATTGCTGCAGACCTTTTGTGGACGGCTCTTTAGGCCGATAGAGGTGCCGACCATCACGGCCACTAACGGTCAGTCTGACAGCCGGCCGGCTAATAAGGCGCTCGCTCCCCCGTACGGAAACGTGGTGGCCTCACATGCGCCGAGCCGCACGCACGAGCCAATTATGGGACTTGTCGTCACTTCACCTGTCTTGGAAAACGCGCATCAAGCCATAAATACGTGCCTCAGGAAGACGCGGCCACATAAGGGCTCCGGTCAGCACGGGTTTCCGTCTCCTCTGATGTACAGCAACACCATTACTTACAGCTCATTGTGCCCGAGATCCAGAGACGAGGCCTCGGGCAAAACAAAGACCATATTTCCAGGCAACAAGCAGCACGTTGAAGGTTGGAGGAAGCCCGCTCTGTGGGAATAAAGGGGCGGCCTTCTCTCCAATCATAAAATGTTCCTTGGAGGGTTTTATTTATAATATTTCAGATGAGGAATCTTATTTTTAGGTGGATTTGGAGTACTGAGTTTACACAAAGAAGAACAAATGTGACACCACATTGTAACTCTAGTGCTCTTCTTGTTATATTAAAGATGTTTTGTGACATATCCTCCGTACCTAAGTTATGTTCACTGTTTATTTTAAACCCAATGATACGTTTTTCCTAAACTTCAGCGAGACCGTTTCACCTTGATGATTTTAATCCCGATAATCATTTTTAAAAATCCTTTGAATAGAACCAAAATGTTCTGGGATGACTTAACCTGAGGGTACAAGTGGTTAAGAAACATATTTTTATCTCATGGCAACGGGACACTTCTTCTAAAGTCAAAAACAATCTCAAATGAGGTCATTATAAACCATAAGGTCGCCCTGCATAAAAAATAAATCTGTCTCTAGTTATCACTTCCTTTGGCGACCCGCAATTAAATCCTACGCGGTTCCAATCCCTAATCAATATCTGCACCCTGTGGTGTGAAGTGATCATATTTAGAAGGCAATCATTGTAGGATGGTTTGTCATATATTCTAGTATCAAATGATGGGCCGCAACATACAGCTCAATTCTTCACAATTCAGTGTAATCCTTTGACTCCTTTTTATCAGTAAAGTACAAGTTTCCTTCGTGGAAAATAGCTCCATTTATTGACGTGTGTAAAGTAAATAATAGCATAGGAGCTGCTGCAGAAGGCTGCAGGCCAATATGGTGGAATGAAAAGAGTCCTTTTATTGTTGTAAGAAGGTTTCTTCCAGGGCTGCAGCCCCCTCACTTCAAACCAAGTCCTTACTGTGAGACGGATTGTCTGTTTCTGAAGTATAGCAAGTGCAGAACAAGAAAAAAGACCTAATTATTAAAATATACAGAAATCAAACTGTTCAACGGCGGGTTGATTGGCTCACTGCCGGTCTGATTATAAATGGATTTACCAGACAAATATTTCAATCAACACTGCATTAATTATTTGTGTCTGATGAAAAACTCCATCGGCTGATTCATGGCAAAGCAGACCGAACACAAATGGCCGCCAAAGAGCAGGAAAAGCTGGCGAAGGCGGATTAGAAACCGTATTTTACACCAGGCGTCGGGAGTGATTGGAACAGGACCCTCTCGGTGTTAATCGAGAGGAGGCTTTGATGATTGCTCACAATCCTGCAACCGAAGAGTCCAAACCCCCCACAAGATTCACCAAAGACAACATGCAGACTGACATTAGATTTGAAACCACAGCAACAGAATATCCGCCAGAACTCAGAGGAGGCCGCGTGTAATGTACTGTACATACCGAGACAACCATTCGGACAACGTCCGACGAAAACCTACTCCCAAGTGTATAAATGATTTGTGTTTTTGCCCCGGAGGACGAGTCATCATTAGAGCCAACAGCCGGGCGATGAGCCGCGCGTCTACAGTTCATGGAGGTCAAGAGCCTGATCAATTAGTCAAACGTTTCTCGGTGGTCATTATTCTAGAACAGGGGTCTCAAACTCAAATCAGCTGCGGGCCAGATGCAGCCCACTTCAACCGAACGCGGGCCAGACTAGCGTCCGAACGGCATGGTCGACAATAACACAACTTAACACTCACTTTCAAAAGCAGTCATTGAACCCCACCCTGGGGGATCGGTCCGAATGAGACTACAACACTAGTCCTCCTTTAACTCAGCGGGGGAGACCTAAGGTCATGTGACCGTGGAATTCCTTTATAGCCAAACGTGAAGTTACGTGAATCGAAGCTGCGTAGTAATGGACGGAGACGCTCGTCGGTGACGTCAGATGCTTCATGTGTTGTTAGTGTGAGTCGTAAAAGGAAAACTTTATTAAACGAGCGATGCTAACGGTTAGTCACATGATCACCTGCGCGAAAGAGGGCAGGAAACTGAATTTCACCCTCCTGCTCTCTGCACCTCGGCTGACACACACGACCCGCCCCCCATGTCAGTCACATGCATGCCACGTTCACTGGACAAGCACACAGTAGGAAACCAGAACATCATAACATGTCCCACACAGCAGCTGACAGTGGGGTTACAGTATAAAACTTGCGGGCCGCACTAACATTACACTTTCATATTAAGGATGGGGCCACAAAATATCGTCCCAAGGGCCGCAATTGGCCCGCGGGCCGCGAGTTTGAGACCCCTGTTCTAGAAGGTGCAACGCGTCCTCACTTCTCCCGCATCGCTTCTCTGCCGTCTCCTCCACACACACACAAATCCACACTAGTCTTCTCACGAAACTACAAATCAGCGTGAGACCGGACCCCCCGCTGCTCCACGCGACTTTCTGAGAGCATAATCTGTGTCTAGTGATCACTGGAACTATTCATGGCTTTTGAATTCTATTTTAGCCTAAACAGAAACCATTAACGGGACCAAACATATCCTGGTGCAACAAAGGCTCCACACCTGCCAGTCAGGAGAGGCCAGATGTTCGTCGTCAAAGCGAAGTGCACGACGCAGACGGCAACAACTCGGAACACCAAAGTACTGCTAAAGATCAAAGACACTCTTTTAACACGCTTTGGCTTAGGGCGTGAAAGATTTAAACCACGAGAGCCAGTTGTCGAAATGTGAACATGCAGGAATTCAGTTAAAAGAATAGTTGGATGTTTATGCACCCGTTACAGTTGAGAGTGAGAGGAACGGGTCGATACCTCTCTATCCGTCCGTCAAATAAAGCACGGATGTGTCGTCAGTTAGCTTAGCTTAGCATAAAGGCTTGAAACGGGCACAAACAGGTGGTTTCTGTCCGAAGGGGAAAAGCAGGATCTCTGATGCTCACTGATGAACACGTCGCATCTCGATTGTTTGGCCTTCAGTGTAAAACCGCGGTTCAAACGTTGGACGGTGTGACGCTTTACT